GCGTGACGTGTTCGTCTCACGTCCCAGGGACTTGGACCAAGTGTGACAAGACATTACCAGAGCCACGGAACCGGTAGAATTCCCGGCCAAGCGGGACGAATGATATGCCCGACATTTGGGTAGCAGTTTAATCTATAGGGGACTCCTACTATATCTCTTAGTGAGAGTTTAAAATGGCAGTCTTACTTGTCTCGACAGAGAAAGTCTGTATACTAACTAGTTGCAGCATTTACTTTCTGTAGAAAATGCTTTTTTACAAGAGCTAATCTCATTCAAGGCTGAGCTGCTCTTCTCGCTGCGCGAAATGGCTGTTTGCAGAAACATTGACGCTAATATCGGAAAAGGAGGAATTAATTTCCAGTCAGCCACTAGTTTCTTCGCCAACCACCACGATTTGCCCAAAGGGCCTGAGCCGCATTATGATCAAATTTCTTCCCATATCGAACCGAGCCAACCAACACTTACACGACAACGTCGTCGTGTCGATACATGGACTGGATGGCGGACCAACAGAGTCAACGGCCGTTGGAGGGCCAAGACCGAGATGCCCGCGGTGGAAACGAGGTCAATGCCCGAAGTGGGGAATTCACTTTCAACTGCCCCTCGATGACGGACTTGAGGGCGACAGACGGAGGCCATCCCTTGGGAGCTAATGTAGGCCAAACTTGTCCCTTGTCGAGAGCACGTTGCAGCGAGCTGACTTGGTGTGTTTTTTTCTCATCTTAGTCTCAGTCTCAGGCCCAGTCTGCGGCCAGATCAGCGTCTTCAGCAGAACATGCCTCATCAGCGACGTCCAGTTTTATCCAGGTCGAGGACTGGGATGACTCGGCTTCTTTGACAGATAGTGTGCAGACCTTTCCAGAGGAGTTTGGTCGAACTTATCATGCTTATCGTGCTGGATGTAAGCAGCCCAGATACCGGCATTTGACTGACCACTCACTGTCATATAGCATACATGTTCCCTAATGACAATACAGAGCAAGAGCGTCTCGGAATTATGGGCGAGTGCTATAAGATGATTATGAAAGGCAAGCTGTACATGGCACCGCTCTCTACTAGAAGGCCCCCGAAGAACATTCTCGATATCGCTACAGGTATAGGTGACTGGGCTATCCAGATGGGTGATATCTTCCCCGATGCTACAATTATTGGCACAGACCTGTCTCCTATCCAGCCAAACGACGTGCCCCCAAATGTCTACTTTTACGTTGAAGACTCGTAAGTTTCTTTTCGCGACATCCGCCCTATCCGCGAAGCGTTCTGATCAAGATATAACAGAAGCGACGAGTGGATGTTCAATCACAAGTTCGACTATATCCACACACGCAGCACTTCGGGATGCTGGTCCGATTTCGAGACACAGATAGCTCAGCAAGCCTTTAATGCGCTTGAACCCGGCGGCTGGTTTGAGTCGCAAGAGACGGACTGCATTCCCTTGTGTGACGACGACACGCTTGATCGTCAAGGCCCGGTTGCGACCTGGTGCAATGACTTGATAACGGCAGCAGATAAGCTAGAGCGTCCGGCTATCTTTGGCAAAGATCTCAAAGAGATCTACGAGCGAGTTGGCTTTGTGGATGTCCACCAACGTATAATCAAGATGCCTATCAACGGCTGGGCCAAGGACCCACGGCTGAAGCAAGTGGGATGGATGTGGGCTGATCATATGCTTGATGGCTTATCTGGATTCTCTTATCAGCTCTTGAACAAGGCCTTTGAGCGAACTAGTGCTCAGATTGAGGTAAGTTAGCCCTCACGTATGAGCCAGCATGGTCACCGCTATGTCCCATGGTGTTTTCAACTACTAACTCGCCTATAGGTGTCGTTAATTGATGTCCGGCGAGACCTCGTGAACCCGCGCATTCATGCCTACATGCAGCTTTATGTTGTCTGGGGAAGGAAACCAAAGTAAAGAATCGAACACCCAAAAAGGGACAAGGTTATATCAGGCGTTTGAGTCTCGTTTCTCTGGGCGATACCGGAGTTGGCGTATCAGTTATGTTCAGTCTGGATTTATAAGAGTTCAGGTACTACATACTACTAGATTGATGGTTAAATGATGTTTTCGTATACCGAAGAGCCCCACTGGACGTCGTTAGGGAAAGTATCTGATTGTATAGGCTAGAAGACATGATTGCGCAATGACTCTTAGTCATGGATCTGCCCTAAGGTACCTGTCGTTTGAGGCCCAGGCTTTCACCTGTCAAACCTCGAGAGCCCTACTTGTGCAATGTGAATATCGGTTTTTCAATAGTCTATATATTTATATGTACCTGGCATCTTCTACAGTCTATAATGCTTGCAGAAGCCACCGATCGTCTAGTAATTCATCCAGAAGCACCCCAAATCCGTTCCGTGTAAGTATCCAAATCCGAGCATCTAAGAGTCAAAGATGGCTCCATATGCTGGCACGCCCCGTGTTTGCATACCAAAGACAACCTTCTCAGTAACCTTGGGGTTCGAGATGATATAGACTGCCTCTGCATCAGACTCCACCACAAGTTGGTAAGTCTCACGCACAATATCCGGATAACCCCGCTCGGTTGTGTTCCATATGACTGCATTTGGGTCAGCTCGTTGAACTGCACCGACCACGGTTGGCCCGTAGGTCTGCTGAGGGTCGCGAGTAGACCAAAGGACACGGCGAGGGGTCTCGTCAGCGTGGAGAAGAGAAAGGCAAGGCCCGATACCAGAACCAGTAGCGACAATAACGATTCGACGAAAGAGCTTTGATGTATAAAGAAGCCCATGAAGAGGGGCACCACGAACCCAGAGCTTTCGTTCGCTGTCATTCATGATCTGCTTCTTGGTGAAATCTCCAGCATTAGAAACGACAACACTGAAGCCTTCGACTTTGCCCGACTCCGGCTCAATATCCGGAATAGTAGCAAATGCATGCCACTCTGTCATGGGCTTGTCGCTGATCTTGAGGCCATAGAACGGCTTCATTCCTCGGTATTTGAAGTGAAGGCGAGTTGCATGATCGCTCAACTTCTCGGGATACACAACCCGGCGGCGCAATCGGGACCAAGATGCGACCGTGCATGAGGTTGTAACACAGATACACCAGAAGTTCGGAGATCGCACAAGAGCATAACCAATAGACTCGTCCCACTCATGTGCCGTAACCCGAGCTGATACAATGTTGTGTACCCAGAACGCGAGCAATGATACCCAGCCGGCAAATCGATGGAAAGCCTCGAAATGGTCGTGGAACTTTCTTCGAATGCTGGGGTAAGCCGCGATGAGGATGATGAGGAACATGGCAACAACAATCCAGCCGGTGATCATGTTGACGAGTCTGTACTCCTTTCTGTCCGCAGCCCACTCTTGAGTGGCAAGGATGGTATAGGCCATGTACCACGCAGTAGCAGCAACTCCAGCGCCACTATGGAAACCTCCGTAGTGGAAGACCTTGGCCAGACGTTTTCGTATTGAGAGTGGCCATGAATGAGGAGCCAGTACGACAATTTCGTAGCAAAGGTTGACGAATTCTTCTTGTCGAAATAGGATGCATACCATGAGGTTTGCAGAAGCTGCGCTGGCAGCATCTCTTGATAGGATGGTGGCTTTAGACGTGGCGAGAAGGGCGACAAACACTGCCAAGTTGGTAATGAATATGAACGCGAAGATTCTTCTATACGTAGAAGCGTGCTTGTCTGGTATGTATTAGTACAAGTGTCTGGCAGTAGGTGAGCAAGAGAACGTACATCGAAGGTTGCATGTCATTTCCGAGCCCTTTTGATCTGGCAGTGTGACCGGAGGTAGAGTAGCCGACACATTCTCGATTTTTCGGCCGAGAGACTCTTGGGCATTCGTATCGCAGTGTGACACTCTCTGCAAAGAAAGGTCAGATGTTGATTCATTAAAAGAGTGAGCTGTCTCAAGTTGAGAAGACATGGCTATTGGATTATTGAGGAAGTGATGGGCTGTTTGTGATCTTTGGTTCGACGATAGATACTCTGGTTTATATAATGGTCCAGTTGTCATCGACTTACCTTGTTTCAACTCTTCGAAAAGAACGAACACTCCAACAAATGGTTGTTACGTTTCACGCAACAAACTCCATTATCGTCAGTCGTATCCATAGTATCATTACAGGTTGCGCGTGGGAGTCCAATTGACAACGTCATTAGTGAAGCTACGGTTTTAAGCGATGTAAGCTTTGCACAAGCGACAGATTCAACACGAGCTATGGCTAGCATGTGCGTCCAACAATAGCAACGTGGCGTATGGGGTCCCCGAGCTCGCATTCGCTCAGCGTTCAAAGAGCACAGCCTCAATACCCTTTGTGATTGGATGACGGCATGCTGAAGTCTAGAGTTAGTCAAAGACATTAGCCCATCTGGCACTTAGCGCTTATACAAGTCTGCAAGCTTCACCTTCCTCTGGTGCCCTCAAGCTTGGGTGGGAACTGTCTGGTGGCTGAAAAGAAAGCATCGCGACGCAAGCAGTAAGGAACCCCTCCTTTTACTCAAAAACGGAAAGGCGTTAGCTCATCGTCTCATCGTTACCTCTTCATGTGTTGCTGCTAGCAGAGATTGGAATGCCAGCTAAGCTTGTAATAGCTAGCGATTCAATGGTTGAGCGCCACAGATACTAGTGGGCAGCCCCAAGAGCCACGCGAGTTACGTTACTTTACTCGGTACTGAATCAGAGATGTTGTATCATCAGATTGGTCTAGATTGCGTATTCTAGAAGGGTCAGAGAATGATTATTCGTGTCTTGTTCAATGAATGAAACAAAGTCTGTTGCAATACGCCACTCTGAATCACTGGATTCTCGCACTGGCATGTGGCGCTTCCCCTGTGAAGTAAGGAGTGAGGCGTGTGATGTCAACGTCCGCTATAGCTTCAACACATAACTCTACTGCCTTCGTATGGGTTTCCCAAAGCTTTACACTGTTTTACACTTACCGAGGTCTACTCTAAGAACTATTGTAACCACGTTACCACTTGTGCTTCCTAAACGTCATGTCGTCGTCTGCTGGAGGGACTAACATGCTCGACCAGGATCTGCTTCTACAAGGCCTAGAAGATCAGCCCTGGTTCGAGAAGAACATTCCCTTGCTAGAGATCCCTGATATGGCTATCCAAGAAGTATACTACTACCGCTGGTAGACGTACAAAGAACACCTCATCTACACTGGAACTGACTATGGTTACATGGCCAGTGAATTCTTGAACCCCGTCAGCTATGGCGCCCCGTATGGTGGTATCGTGGCTGCTGCAGGTCATCATATCACTAAAGGCCGGTGGATACGTGATACGAGATATGGCCAGGATATCTCAAAGTATTGGCTCGCTGGACCAGGCCAGTTCCCAAAGCCAATGAGAGACGATATCAACAAAGATACCTCCGACTGGGCGCACGAGTACAGCTTCTGGGCCGCTACTGCGTTTTGGAGACAATACTTGGTTACAGGAGATAAAGACTTTGTTATTGGACAGCTTGCAAATCTGGTGAAGCAGTATCGAGGCTGGGATAACCATTACTCCAGCCCACTGGGCTTGTACTGGCAGGTCCCTGTCTGGGATGCTACAGAATACACAGCCGCTTCTTATGAGTCTAGTGATCCCTATCATGGGGGTGCTGGTTTTCGGCCAACGATTAATTCCTATCAGTACGGGGATGCCATTGCGATAGCAAATATTGCTGCTTTGGGTGGAGACTCTGATCTCGAAAATGAATATCGACGCCGGGCAGAAAGTCTGCAAGCTGCGGTACAAAAGCACCTTTGGGATAATGAGAGCGACTTCTATAAGCACCAAGCTCGTGACGACAACCCCTCCGGCTCCTTGTTGGGTACAAGAGAGATTATGGGTTATCTTCCATGGATGTTCGACATGCCGTGTAAGGAGTCCCAACTCGCCGCCTTTTCGCAGCTCAAAGGCTCCCAAGGATTCTTCTCCAAGTTTGGTCCAACTACGGCTGAGCGAAGAAGCAAGTGGTTCATGTATGAGGCAGAGACCTGCTGCCGATGGGATGGTCCTTCATGGCCATTTGCAACCTCGCAGACTCTAACTGCCATTGAAAATGTTCTCCACGATTGTCCAGCGCAGAAATACATCACTGCCGATGACTACTACGACATGCTGCATCAATACGCTCGGACACAATACAAAAATAGGCAACCCTACGTGGCTGAAGCTCATCATCCTGATGATGATAAATGGATGTATGATGGCTACAATCACAGCGAAGATTATAATCACTCGACCTTTGTCGATAATGTGTTGGCTGGCCTGATAGGGCTGCGAGCCCAGTCTGGTGAAACAATAGTTGTCAATCCCTTGACTCCTTCAAACTGGGACTACTTTGCCGTTGAGAACATAGCCTACCACGGCCATCTTATCACTGTCCTGTGGGACAGGACAGGCTCAATCTACCACCGAGGCCAAGGCTTACGAGTTTACGTTGATGGTCAGCTTGCTGGGAGTCGCGAAACAATAGGTCTTACGAAAGTCGAGGTCGGTCCATCTGTCCCGACACCAGTTTCCTCCAGAATAAACATCGCAGCAAATAGTCAGCGAGATCCTCGACTTCCCCTCGCTTTTGCTTCATATACTTCCCCAGTCGATGATCCCATGCGAGCCATCAACGGAATGATCCTCCGAACAGGCATACCGCAAAACAGCCGCTGGACTTCGTATAATAGTCCAAATCCAGAAGACCATCTTGGAGTCGACTTGCGTAAAGATCAAGCTGTCGATAATATGCGATTATTCTTCTACGATGACTCTGACGGTGTCCGGATTCCTACCAATTACGATCTTCAGTACTGGACAGGCAATGCGTGGTTATCAGTGCCTAGACAGACTCGCAGTCCAATGCCGACCAACTCAAATGCTGAGACCAAGATTGTCTTCCCTTCTCTATTGACTTCTCGACTTCGTGTTGAGGCACCCAATGCTGGGTCTGGTGTTGGATGGGGGTTATCTGAATTAGGTATTTGGTCGTCTAGTGAATAACTTAGATGACATCGTTGATGATCTACGAAGTATCTTTTCAACTTATTACATTTTAGGATGTTGCTTGTTTAAACTGTAATAAAAAGCACAATTGCTTACTTGATAATGCTCTTGAAACATGAGATTGACATGAGACATGACCTGATTTCTGCTTATCTTAGCGCGATTTTCCTTATCTCAAGCCAGCCACCAAATTAATCTCACCGCAGCCAGCTCACCGTGGTCTCTTGCTACCCTATTATTATTCTCACTTCAGCGCCATCGGGTTGTCGTCTTATAAGGCTTAATGAGTCTATGATAAACTGGCTTCAGTCAGTAGTTTACATTAGCCAGCAATTTTCCCGTGCCACTCCGTCCCATTGGCTCAGCCTGGCAGTTAGCTCAAGCCCTTTCTCTGAATCATACTCAATGCACCTGACATGAGCGAGAACATTGCCGATGGCATTGCCAGTGGCTCAACTACTCTCAATATCGCACCAAACACTGCAGATCTCAAGAGGAAACGCGAGGATAGCACTGCTTCCCTAGCTCTACCACCGGAGCCTAGCGTGACATTCCATGTCCGCAGCGAATCGCGACAGACCCCCCAGTCTTCATTCCTATCATACGTATGGGGCACCGGCCTTGACTCTGATTGCGTATCATGTGGAAAACATTTCCTTCCCGACGGGGAACCTCCGATACGAACCATAACCGCTGGAACCAGTAACTCACAACCGTCCGTCATTGATATTACTCAGGAGCCAGTATCACCATGGAATCTGAGAATATTGAACAGACATATGTCTTGTATAAAGGCTAAAAGAGTCAACTATGTCCCCATTTCTCATGCCTGGCACCCCACGGTAGCCACCGCGCAGGACCTGCGTCTAGAGAGCATTGACGTTTCTAGGCTGGTTTACCAAATAACATCCAAGACCCTCCTTGCGCTTACCGCTAAGTTTCCCGGTTGCGAAGTCTGGCATGACTACTTGAGCGTTCCGCAATGGCGCCCCGAGGTTCAGCAACGGCTCCTCCTTCTGATACCGGAAATATATAACCATGCCGCGAAAACATTGATCCATCTGGACGACGTCAGGGCAACCCATCTCTCAGGCCAGGTCAAGGATTCTTCCTACGATAAATTTATCGTTGATCTTGCAGCCATTATTCGGTCTCGATGGTTCGATCGCATGTGGGTGACACTGGAGTACATTCAGAGCAATGATGTCCTCATTCTCACCGAGGATTACACGGTTTGTGATGCTTATGCCAGGGATGTATGTCATCATCTAGACACTGCGCACTCAAAATGGGTCAAGAAACGAAGCAATTCGATTGTCACAGAGGACATATGGAAGCAAAATACGACTCTAAAAAGGATGACTTCATGGATAGATATGGAGGCATGGAAGAATGAGCACGATATGCATAGAACTCTTGGGTGGGCAATCGGAATTCTAGGTCATAGGAGGTGTCAGTATACAAGAGACTACTTCTTGGCTCTAGGAAAGATGCTTAATTTCCGACCGGAGCAAGATCCTCTTGTTCTCATCGAGAATCGCTTTGTATACTTCTTTTCTCTCGCGACATATGCGCTGCAACAGGGCGATCACTCCCCCTTATTGTTCATCCCGTCGCCAGGTGAAGAAACGGACCCTCGAGCACCGTGGCTGCGTGGATACTCGACAGGAACATGGAAGCTCTGGGATATGGGCAGATGTCATAGGAAAGCGACCTCTCAGTCAGTTATTCGGGACGGCAAGATCCAGCCCAAACTCCAAACGGTTGGCGTCATTGAGACTTTTGAGTACTACAACTTCGGAGGAGATGCGGAATCGGTCGTGGACTATGTTTTATCCAAGGTAGTCCGGGCTAGTGGCCAGGATCCACAAGCTCTATGTGAAGCTATGGATCGCATATTCCCCCGGAGCGAAGAGAAAGCATACAACATGGAATGGAAAGACGTAAAGACAGTAAATTTCTCTTCTTCAACAGTTAAGTATGACCTGGATAAGATACAGGGACATTTGAAAAAGTACGGGCCGTTGTTGGAGGTAAAACCAGGGCAAGAGGTAACTCAGCAGAGATTAGAGATTGCGAAGAAGTTGATTAGGGTCTTGAAGCTGAGCAAGGAAGGCAAGCTCGCACGGGAGTCACGGCTGGAGCTTGCAGCAGGAGAAGCAGATTGGTTCCTGCGAGAGTACAGTACACCAATGGAAGGCATCAGTCAGATCAGATGTAAGATTTGTGGGCGGCGGTCTGTGTTCCGACTGGTCATGTGGGGAGAGCCTACCCCAGACGTAGCCCAAGTTTATAGAATCCCTGGGTTGCTTTATGATGAGAATGTCCCTGATGGTATCGGTATTGTGGTGGAGCGCGATATGATCATTGGGAAGATGATATATGGGACGCCGGCTTGTGGATGCTGTAAGTTCGAGTTTGTTGAATTAGGCTCAGCAACTCTTTAGCCAATACCCATTGATCTGGAGAAACAGATTTAGTCAACAGACTGGCACGATGATAGCGTATTATAGTCAACGTTGATTTGTTCACGATACTACATTTTGAGGGATTATTTTTATTATTGATCCTCTTCTATACAGGCTCTTCTTATGATGATCTACTGTAAACTGAACCTAAATGAGCTTGAAATCAAGCTCGACAGAAGGCACTCCCTGGAAGTCGGAAGGCATCGTGTATGTGAAGTTCCAAAACTCGAAATCCCGAATGAGACTGTCCGCTCCACCGTAGCCACCAGCAAAAGATAGGGCATAAGTCGAGTTGATGTTGCCGGAGACCTTCACCTCTAGACCTTGGACGTCAGCCCAGCTAGCGACAGTACGCTTCTTCTCAAAGGTACCGACGACAAAGGTGAAGACAGAACTGGCATTGCCGTAAGGGTAGGACAAGCTGAGCTTGCCGGGTTTCACGCTCGATTGGAGAGCCATCTCGGTTGGGTATAGCTGGAGAATTCGTTAGCTTTGTGCTTCTGGGAGAAAACTCGGGGTTCATACAGAAATGAAAGAGATCTCGTTTCCAGTATTCCACTGCACCACTGCGGGGTTGAAAGACCCCTGGGATTGCGATGGACCCCCAATAACAATCTCGTCGTAGGACTCGGCGCCGATAGTAAGATCTTCGGATAACCATGTAGTAATGTTACGCGACGCGGTATCGAAGGGAGGGTAGTAAGCGCTTCCCGTAAAGGTATGTTCCCCCTGGAACTTTGAGAGCTTGCGGAGTGTCTTCTTCGGGATGAGCTTCTGGTGCGTCTTATCTAGAGCTGCGAAAAGAGGCGCCCAGGCGTAGTCAGCCATATGCGACATGACTTGAGGCTGCGGCAACTGTATCAGTATCATATCAAAAGTAAATAGAAGGTATTGCATACGTGAGAAGTCAGGGAAGAGCTCTCTTTTCCAGTCAAAGTCCAGAACCACAAAGCCATCAAGCTAAGGTAGCGGTTCATATCGTAACCGTAAGCTCGATCCCAGGGACCAGCTATGTTTTTCATACCAGGGTGCCACAGCTGGGAAACAGCATCCCACGTTCTTTCAACCATTCGTGGCCCATTCTTAGTCATGACAGAATCCTTGGGCAAATACTTGCTCCATAGAATAAGGCCAAAGAGAGATACACCGGTATAGGTACCCGAATTGAACTCAGAGAGGGTGTTGTGCTTGTTGAAGAGGTCAATGATATCTTGAGCGTACTTTTCGCCACCAACAGTCATGTTTCTATCATTCAGGCGACGGCCGGTCCAACCAGAAACAAAGGCACGCATAATGGACTACAGTCAACAGTGGTTAGAGCACATACAGAAAGTGGAACGCCAGAGTTGGAAGTACTTACAGGGTTACTATAAGAAGGGTAAAGGTTATCCTTGGTCTTATCGAGGTGGCCGAAACGGTACTCATCGCCCTTGGTCGCGTTATGTAGAGAGTGCAGAATCAGATTCTGTGTGCTCTTGCTGAGCAAGTGGGGAAACTCTTCCATGCACATTACCAACGTCGTTCCAACAAAACCGCGCCAGTTGGGGTCCCAGCTACCGTAGATCTTGGGAGGATAAGCTGGGCTACCAACGTAAGGTTCTTCCGGCTCTTGCTGATAGTCGCCGTACCTAGAGCACTGTCAGAGCTGAACCAGTTACGCCATTAGCTGCTGAACGTACCATTCGTCAGCAGGGACCTTGTACTGAGCATCAATGGTGTTTTTGATGATCTTCTCAGCCTCAGCAGCATCAGACCCCTCGTTTCTCGCCAACAGACCAAATGCGTACCAGACTGAACTACGCGTTTCATGCCGGAGGGCTACAGATGCGCTGAAGTCGTACAGGTAACCTGCCTTCTTGTCGTAGAATGTGTCCATCCATTCCATTGACTCAGTGAAGAGCTGTTGGGCATTTGGTGACATGGACTTGACGTAGCTACCTGCAGCATCTCCATGGCTGACTGCAAGAGCTGCAAGGCTGATGAAGGAGTAGAAACGCATGACTGCAACTCTGTGCCAACCTGTAGGAGTGGATAGAGACAGAAGAGGTGCGAGGACACAGTGCCATGTTATAAGACATGTTAATATACAAGGAAACTAGTTGCGCGAGTTGTTGGCCCTAATCTACCATGAATGCCGAGTTCGGCATCATGTCATGCGAGAGTCTGCCGATCAACATCTTCGAGTTCAGACCTTCCAATTTCCACGTATCGCAAATGATAACCCTAGCTCGGTTCCCCGATGCTAGTACATGAACCATGTGGAGGTGCTGGTTACCCCGCGTGGACTAAGGCCTTATCTGGCTCACAAAGCCGATCTCTTAGTCCAAGATATCCTATCTAATCAGGTCTCGCACTCGGTCTTCACCGGTGCTTTAGCCGAACCGGTCCGCAGTTGGCCGTTGATTGTGCATCTGTATTATCGCACTTGTATCCGACTTGTCTCCGCGATTGGAGAGACTCGAAATATGGGGTTACATAGACCCGTTCTAAACCGGGGACGTGCATATCGCAATGCTTACACAACATGTGAGCGTGCGTTGTGCCGACTACCCGATAAGCTATCGTTCGAGAATTAAGATAACATGCTAGGGTATGAATATGCTTATATCTCGCGTGACCCCGGAAGTCATAACGTTGGTATTGCAGCTGCGATATTACAAAGAACAGATTGAGCCAGCAGATCACAACTCAGCTCAACGGCAATGGCTGCATCAGACAATCAAGGTATATCCAGCATGAAGCGGAGTCTGGATATTTCGGAGACGAAAGCCGAAATAAACGCTGATGAACTTCGTCTGGCGCAAATGGGTTCGTCAAACAAATTGCAACCACTATTTCGAGTGGCTGGTCATACTAACTCTTGCAATCAGGTCATACCCAAGAACTCAATCGACATTTCAGTACCCTGAGTCTGATCGGCCTGGCCTCCACGACGACCATCTCATGGACGGGGTTGGGTCTTGGTCTCATCACCGAGATTGGAGCTGGAGGTCCTGGTGCAGTTATCTATGGCTTTATCCTCGTGACAATTCTGCAATGTTTTCTTGGAGCGTCACTTGCCGAGTTTGTGTCGTCTTACCCTACCGAGGGCGGCATGTATCATTGGATTGCGGCTGTGGCTCCAAGGAGAGCAACTGGCATTCTGAGCTTCCTGACTGGTTGGTTCAGTGTTCTTGGCTGTAAGTGATGGCAGAAAAAGAGAGTTTCATCCACTGACAGGTCAGGGATCTTCACCACTGCATCAACAAACATCATCTACGCACAAATCCTCATGGCATTGATCGCTCTGTATATATCGGACCTCGAGATCAAGGCCTGGCAGACTTTTATCGTCTACCAAGGGTTGAACTTGCTCACCGCTGGCGTTGTCATGTTCGGCAACAAGATCATCCCCGCCTTGAACAAGTTTTCGCTTTTCTATTTACAGATCGGTTGGCTCGTTGTGCTGATTACTGTGGTTGCATGCGCCCCGACGCACCGCGATCCCGAATTTGTGTTCAGGACTTGGATCAACACGACTGGGTGGAACAATAATGCCATCTGCTTCATCACTGGCCTGGTGAATCCTCTGTACTCTCTTGGCGGTCTTGATGGTGTGACGCATATCACAGAAGAGATGCCCAACGTATGTTTTGCTAATCCTTGAAGATTTATGAGCGTGAACTGACTGAAAGCAGCCTTCGAAGAATGCTCCCCTAGCCATCGCTATTACCTTGGTCATCGCGTTCTGCACTGGCCTCACGTACCTCATCAGTCTCATGTTTTCGATTCAGGACTTCGACCAGCTGACATCCGGCAACACCGGCATGCCGCTTGCAGAGCTGTTCCGCCAGGTGACCCAGAAGACTGGCGGTGCGTTCGGTCTTTTGTTCATCCTATTCATTGCCCTCGGTCCCTGCGTGATCAGCTCCCAGCTCAGCACTGGCCGGATCTTCTGGGCCTTCTCTCGCGACGGAGCTATTCCGCTCTCCAAGATGTAAGTCTCCGGTCATCCGACTGGAGAGGTCCATTACTAATCATACTTCAGCTGGTCCAAGGTCCACCCAAGCCTCAAGATCCCTTTCAATTCGCAGCTTGCAGTCACGGCAGTTATCGCTGCTCTGGGCTGTTTGTATCTTGGCTCATCGACCGCATTCAACTCTCTACTTGGAACGGCCGTCACCATCAACAACATATCCTATATGTTCCCAATTCTTACCAATCTGTTAACTGGTAGGAAGAACATGCACAAGGGTGTATTCCATATGGGTCCAACCATAGGGCCCATTGTCAACACCGTGACAGTTTGCTGGCTGACATTTGCCATCATCTTCTTCTCCTTCCCTTACGTTATGCCTGTCGAGGTTGCGAACATGAACTATACCTGTGTTGTCGTCGGCGGTCTAGCAATACTGATTGGCGCATGGTGGATAAAGGCTGGTAAGGAGTATACTGAAAGAATGATGAAGGCAAAGGAAGAATAAACTTGACTAAGCACGAGAGCTTTCACAGTGTATGGAAGACATCATTCATCACATATAAAAATGGCTACTGATTTGGTCTCGTGTGTTATGATCCGGAATAGCTACCCTACTTGCATAATATATGCCTTATCTAACCAATGGTAGTATCTGCCCATGGCGCTCTTTACTGTCTACCCAGTTGCCGTGAATCTGGTTCTTAGTCCGGAATGGCAGTTGGATAACAGCGACGGGCTTCTCAAAGTGTCTAGTATCCAACACGATCAGGTCGCTACGGTTGACGTCCGTTCTCTGCACCATGGCCAACACCCACCCATCTCCTTCTGTAGCACTCTCAGAACGAGGTATAAAGATTGGTTCTTCGGCGGCGGCATGAGGCCCTGGATCAAAGAAGGTACGTCGGTCAATGCCTTTCTCAAGCATGACATAACCATTGAGGCATAGCGGTACAACTGGCGGTGCAGTATTTGGCCGATGGGGTAGCAAGACTGGCACGAACATGCGGTCGTACGTACGCGTGAGAAACCTTTCATCAATGCGCGCAAACTCGCTCGGGAGATCAAGTATAACTTGAGGATCTTTCACCTTTGTCCCCGTTGGCTGGTTGATGTCGATCTCCCAGCGAACATAATCGGCTTTCAGATCTTTCATGTCGGGCTCTCCTGGGGGCTCAAACCAGGGAAGGGTGTTGTAGAAAACACGAGAGCTTTCAAAGTAGAGTTTCCCATCCTCATCTTCCCAAGACCCAGCGGTATGTATGGCAACAGAGTTTTCCCAGTGATAGACCCGTGACTCGCCCTTGCTCCAACCCGATGGCAGAGCGCCAGGCCTTCTTGGCACTACAATGAATGTCGCAGGACGATCATAGCTGAAGAGCCAGTGTTGACCGCCAGACTCAATTCTATCCAGGTGGGCCTCAAATGGCCACAGAACAAGAATAATGTAATTAGCGGTTATGGCACAGTCATGGATAAACGCACACCAAGGCGCTTCGATCCACTGCTCGTCTTTGATGTTTCCAATTTGATCGAGCGAGTAGATTACAATATCCTTTGTAGCTAAGCCCTTTGCTTCATAGCCGAAGCAGACCAGCTCATTGGTGAATGGATCGACTTTTGGATGAGCAGAAAATGTTTTCCCCGGAAAGACAAAGGGGTCGAATCCGAGAGTATGGAGTGTATCGGGGTGAATCTCATATGGTTGGGCCACTTCCTTAAGAGCAAGAAGTCGCCCAGCCCAGTAAATCACATTTGTGTTTGCTGTAGATTCAATGGCTGCGCGTACGCAGGGATGGTGTGTAAAGGGATTTCGGTAGAGACCAAAGAGTCTTTTCTTGGCCTGCCGTTCTAATTTGAGGCGCTCTGTTTCGACATATTTATTCTTCATGTCGACACGGCCATCTTGAATACGCAGCGCACAGATATTGCCATCACCCTCAATAGCGGGATTATTGGGCATCAAGGGGTATAGAGGATCGATCATCATACGGTAGAAGGTGCCATTGATCTCCTTCGGTATTTCTCCAAAGACCACCATATCAGCGACCTCGCTCTCGAATCGGCCTGGCATACCATGCTGGGAAAATTCCATGGCCTGCCTCCATGCCGAGGGGAGGCCGAAAAAGGTTTCTCCGTCGTTCCCGTGAGTAACTTGCGGCATATTTAATGTATTCAAGGTGTTGAAAAGATGTATTGAAGAGATTAAAGGGGTCTGTCAGAAATGTATAAATTGGATGTCAACGACGACAATTTATATATAGCCAAAGCACGTAAAGACTATAGCTTGTCCTTTATCAAGCTGGACAAGTACCGTACTGAATTGCCGATTCAGTCTCTCCTTGAGTTACATGCATAAGACTGACGCATCCTTTTCGTTTTCCCCAGAATGCTACTCAAAATTCGTTATTGGCTCGGCTTTGCCTACGTGGAACTAGCACTATGGAGCATCTTGCTGGAAGAATATCCGGTATCCCGGAAAACCGCAAACCCAGATTCGAATCCTCTTCCGGAATCTCAGCAAGTGCCGCTTATGAGTCCAAGGCCACCTCTCCTAAGCCGGTGTTTCAAGGAACCAAGGCTATGCTTCCGCATACTTCTACCAGAACTTAGGAATTAATCACATGCCCGGTTCGAGCCTTAGTGCTGGTAAGTACAAGGTATCAGGATAAGGGCCCCAAAAGATGATTTAAAACCTGGCACAGAAATCAAACAGGAAGGGGGCCCAGTACTCATGTTACCTTGCAACGATATTAGTATCAGAAATACAAGAGAAGATCTAAATTATCAATTTTTTGTGAAGTTTATACTCTGGAACGCGTCCTGGTTAACGTAGTGCCATCAACTATACATTTTGTCGCGTGAATGGACTGTAATGCAACAATAACTATTTACTAGCTGCCGCTATTCAAGATCTTTCCCCGCATTCCCTCCCCGCATTCTCTTCTTATGATTTCCGATTTCCGGTAGATCGTGGAGGTCCCAACTCTGCAGGTATCCTTGTTACTCATTATTGATGTCTCAAAAAGGAAAAACTGCCTCGGGAGCTATTCCGCGTCAGGTATCGCTCCTCTGCGACCCTCGGCATCAAGCCTCTACTGTCCCGAATACCCTTGGCTAAAGCTTAATCGTCTCAATATTGCGGAGAAGGTTCAACCATTCCACATGAATTACTCAAACCTTGTTTCCCCAGACTTCTAAGCTAACACCGGCGATTGGGAGCCTATGGTGCTAGTGGCTAGGCTCTCCCCTTATGGCTGAGAGGCACTGATATCTCTTTACTTATATAGGAGCCGCGTCATTAATATAAATATGTGCAGAAAAGAATAATAACTCCATTCCATCTCATCTCTTACCTCCAGTTTTGCTGCTATTTAGGCAAGAAGTGAACTCTATATACAACAAAATGCATCGACAACATGAGAGCACAAGGCATGTCTAACACCCATCACTAGATTACGTGCTTGAAGCATAATCCGACTCTAACACAACCTAGTGGCATTGAAGAACCAAAGGTGCCTGGCACCATTGATATGAAGGTTACAGGTATGAACCAATCTTCAGAGCACATCATATAGAGTTTGAAGTCAACAGATGTTTAGACGACAGTAAAACTGCATACGGTCTTTCTCTAACACCAACTCCCTCCGCCGACCCAAATGATCCACTCAACGTATGTACCATCTCTTGTCAAACTGCAACGACGATAAAGACGAAAATAATGACCACTTTCTATTAGTGGACCCAAAGAAAGAAATACTTGATCCTGTTCCTCGTCTCCATGTACTCCTTTCTAGCCAACGGCGCCTTGATCGGCCCAAGTGTCTATGTCAACGTCCTCGCCCAGCAGTTTGGTAAAACACCCAGTCAAACATCGCAGCTGGTGAATAATCCAAATCTTCTCTTCGGATTGGGTAAGAACAGTCTACTGAAATCAGGAACACTGCTAATGTCAGGACTCTGGTTTTTGTCTGAGCAGGCTCCCTTATTTTCGTTCCTATGTACCAGAAAGTCGGCCGCAGACCCACAATGCTAATCTCGATCATTGTCGTGAGTTCCAAGCCTCGTAAGACAGAAAGCATTATGACTGATATATGTGAAAGTTCTGCGGTGGCCTGCTAGGCTGTGCTCTGTCCAAATCATACAATGTCCTGATGGGCTTCCGAATGGTTCATGGCTTCGGCTCATCAGTTTGCGAAGCATTACCAGCACAAGCTGTGGCCGACGTCTTCTTTTTCCACGAACGAGGAAAAGCCTTGGGCTGGTATACCTGTAAGTATTACTACTCCTTTTAGCCATTCAGCTTTATCTCCGAAACCGTCACCACTGACATGTAGAGTCAAAAGTTGCACTTGCAACTGGCTCTCTAAGTGCTACTGCTGCTAGTTACATGTTGTCCAGTGGGTTGTCGTATAATCTATTCTTCTGGATAGAATTCGCTCTCGGATGTGTACTCTTCCTCGCCACTCTTGCCTTTTTTGAGGAGACAATGTACCTGGAGGAACGTCAACCTCCTTCACCCTCCGGCCAACAACCGACTGACGCTGATTCCACCAAAGACGAGCCCCAAGCAACTTCGGAGTGCATGGAATCTAGGCTTGAGGAGTCTGTAACAGTTCCACCGAGGAAGTCCTACTTGGAGCAGTGCAGGATCTTCGGAAAGACGGACCCCGATACCCAGGTATTCATGATGATGGTAAGACCCATGAACAGGGAATGTAAGAGACTAAGCACTAACAGAAGACTTCTAGATCCGATCTTTCACTTACCTCATTGTACCCCAAGTGTTCTGGGTCTGCTCTACCTATGGTTAGTACTTGCTCAGAAATAAAAACATCGACTAACTTAGTATAGGGATGGTCATTGGGCTTGCTGGTCTCGCCTTCACTTCAACTTTCCCAAGCATTGTGGCCGCTCCTCCATACTCCTGGCCAATTGTAAGATACCCTCTAGTGAACTTGTTGTTCCGACCGCGCTTTGGATGAATGGCCTGATACTAAATATGAAACCAGGAGAATACCGGCCTCGTGGCAATATCAGCATTCACTGGCTATTTATTAGCAGCAGGACCCTTTAGTAGCGTCCCGGATCGAGTCTCCGCTTGGCTTACGCGTAAGAATAATAATATTCATGAAGCTGAGTACCGCCTCTGGTGTCTAGCGATTGTCTTCTTCATATCCCCAGCAGCACTTATCCTGTATGGATATAGTGCAGGAAACCACATGCATTGGTTCGGACTTGTCTTTGCTGTGGGGATGTTCCAGTTCGGTATGTGTGACGAGATGGCATTAATAAGGGTGCAAGCACTAATATGACTTCTACAGGAGCTTTCTTCTATCTCACTTACACGCTCGCATATGCTATGGACTCTTATGAGTCCAAGATGCCTGAGATGCTGATTGCGATGAACATTGGCAAAATGTCTATCTCTTTCGCCTTTGGTTACAAAGTAATTGACTGGGTCCAGGCCGAGGGTTATATTAAGGTCTTTGCAGGCATCTTTTGTGGAGCATTGACTATTAACAATCTCTTTGTTTTTGTCTTCCTGATTTTCGGAAAATGGTTCCGACAATGGCTCAGCACCACTGGTCTCTCGAAGATGCACAGAGAGAGTCTGGGTTGAGATGGCAGGGCTCCGAGGATGTCTATGAGTAATCTTAGTTAGTTTTCACCTTTGACTTTGTTTAGCTACCTATGGTGTTTAATCCCTCGTCTCAATGATGTAGTCAGTTTAGTTGCAATACACCACTTGGGTTCCAATGTCGTGCTCTCATTCATCACCTGTGTTCTCAGCCTAAAGCTTGTCCTCATAGGCTGCAGTCGGCCCCATAGATGATAATGCTGAAGGAGCAAGGGATTACATTGAAAGCATGGTTCTTATCAAGTTTTGACTACATGTTGCAACAAACTGGGAACATACTAAGATAATTATACTTTGAACATGTCTATTATATGATGAGCGTTGAGTTTCTTCATCTGGAATTTTAATAGGCACGTAGGATGACTCGTGCTACAATGTAACCATGTTGACAGGGTTCGACCTCGTATCACGACTCTTGGCGGGGAGTTCATTTCTGTTCTGGGAAAAGCTCCGTATAAGGGGCTCGAGCGCTGCCATTTCCCCTTTGACATATTAAAGCATGATCAGCTAAGCTCAAAATCTACACAATCTTCCCTCTCTTCATTCTCGATTCCAAGATGCGCTTCTGTCCGACACTGGCTTTCGTGGCCTATCTTGCATCTGGCGTTCAAGCGCACTTGCCTCGCTATAGGCATACGCGAAACCCTAAGGCCTTGACCGTCTCTCTGGAGCCTGTATCTGGACAATCGGCTCAGGTCAATGTATCTATCAGGAACGACGGACATACTGATCTGAATCTCCTCAAAATTGGTACAATTCTTGATGAGCGACCTGTCAAGAAACTGTCTCTGGTGGCTGAGAGCGGTACGTTATCCTCCGAACCCAGAAGCCAATCTACTAACATGAGACAGGAAATGAGGCATCTTTCATGGGCATTGAGCTGAGCCTCTACTATGATGGACTCGTGGCCAAGCACTTTGAGACGCTCAAAGCCGGGTCTTCTATCTTTCGAACTGTTGACTTATCTACCATGTACGACCTGAAGGCTGGTATATACTCTGTATATGCTGAGGGTAGTATCCCTCTTACTTCAAAGGAATCTAGCAAGCCAATTTCTGTTTCCTTCAAGTCCCCGGCTCTACCGATAAAGATCACCAAAGCTTCATCAGCTGAGGCAAAGCAAAAAGCATCCAAGCGTACCATCCTGCAAGGAGACTCCTGCACTGCTGATAAACTCGAGCTCACTGCCAATGGTGTGAAGAACTGCGAAACTCTTGCCCGGGCTGCAGCGAAAGATGCATCTGACGTTCACTCCGCGAGGTTCGTCGAGTACTTCAAGTCGAACGAGACCACGGCTCGTGAGCACGTGACCGGCCGGCTCCTCGCCGTTGCTGAAGAGTGTTCCACTTCAGATAGTGGTAACACACGGGTCTTTTGCAGAGATGAAATTGGGTACTGTGAGAGCGATGGTCCCTTGATCGCTTACACCACCTGGGTCAACGGCTATGTCACCATGTGTCCGCTGTTCTACGATACGCTGCCTCCTCTACCGCAAAAGTGCCATAAGCAGGACCACGCCACCACGACAATCCACGAGATGACGCATGCTAGAGCCGTGTATGAGCAGGAGGTTTCAACTCAGGATTATGCTTATGGCTATGAGAACTCTACTGCTTTGGATCCTCTGTCTTGTCTTTACAACGCTGATTCATATTCTCTTTACGCCAACGGTAAGTTCACTAGAATCCAAGGCCCTATCAATGATTGAGATGTGCTGACAATCCTCAAGCGGTTTACTTGGATTGTTAATAGTGTCAGGTGTGCAAATACGAGCACAGTGAACAGTTCAAAGAAGTTACGATAGCCTGCTATTGAGTGTGATATGTAAGAATAAAATATATAACATAGAAGTGTAGACGCCCTTATTTATTTCACCCGAGAGTTGATTGATCCTGCAATTTAGTTGACGTGGGCATTGAAGTTGGTGACGGTGAGCTTAGCATTGCTTCCACTATTGACTAGTTAGTATGTGTCTGTCGAGACGAAGCAAGGTTAACTTACGTGAAAGGCTCAGTACCGAATTGGAACGCTGTAGTTGCAATGTTAGTCAATGAATTCACGTAGAGTACAGAGGTACATACTGAGGAGATACTGCTTGCTGGCGGGATAGTTCTGGCTGTTGGCAAGGTAGTTGAAGAATTGCTTGACATCAGAGTTGAAGTTGTTGACAGGGCTGGCGGCGACGAAGCTGAAGACCTTCATGCTACCGTTCATGCCCACCCAGAGGTCCCAGCTGCGACCCTCAATGGTGACGGTGGTCTGCTTAGATCCAATAGGCTGGACGTTGCCATATCGGCCGAGCCTATCCCGAAGCGTATTAGTCCCTCTGCAATATCCGATGTTAGTCAGGGGGACTCACCAGATCATAAGCTCATAGTCACCACTGTAGGTAACATGGTTAGGGTCAGCAGCCGTGAAGAGATCGTAGGCAACGTTGGCGCGAACGTTGGTGCCGCTGTAGGACCAAGCAGCAGCAGACTGCATGTTGCTGATGGAGCTGACTATGCGCTTGGTGCCAATCTGGAGAGCAGAGTTGGGATACGCCTTGACATTGTCCTGGCCGCCGGACCAGGTCCAGTCAACGTGCCATCCGGCGCCGTTGCTGTTGGACCAGTCGATGTAAGTGCACTGAGAACCAGAGCCAGAACTCTGACCCCAGCGGTTGTTGTTGAACTCGTAGCCGCCGTTGGCGTAGTAAGAGTACTGGTCGCAGAGAGACTGGGCGAGGGCAAAGGGGGCGAAAAGCCCGGCGAGGAAGACAAGAGAGCCCTTCATTGTGAGCTTGTTGTAAGATAGAGTGGTTGTTCCGAGAAGATAGGCAATGAGTTACTATTGATTTGAATATCTGATGAAGGACTATATTCTCAACATCTTATGCCTTCCTTTATACTCATCTCTCAATGGAGAATTTATTCACATGCTATACCGAATTGAACCACGGAAGTTTCTCCGTGAACATATCGAGGCCTCAATCTGGGGCTCATTCATCTCAACTCACAATGATGGCCAGTTACGATGAAGCTGTCGTACATTCAGAGAACATAGTCGGTCCTTTTCTCAAGTGCAAGGCTCACTTTCTTGCAGACTAACGGAGCTTTTTAAACATGAGCCGACGGATTTCCCACCATCTTGGCCATAGCTCAGCTATCTACGCTGGAACCGCAAGACACCGAAGTGAGATGAATCCCTGCTACTGTCACTCTGAAACAAACGCAGGTTAGTACACCATTTGTCATCACCCTGGGGCTTGGGTCGCGTTCTCCACTGAGCTCGGCAATCCTTGGTGGAATCGAGGGTTGCATCCGGAGCTCTGGATAAACTAACCTGCTCGTTCAAGCTCGTTCATGGTAATTTTCCCGCGGGACTGATGCCATGGAAAACAAGCCCCCCTGGTTTATAGATGGGACACCTGCCAGACTTGGTGTTGAACTCCCTAGTCGGCCTATCACGGGGTCTACCAAACGGAGGCTAGACTCCGTTCTGGAATGGGATAAGTTCAGAGTGTGGGGAAGCGAGAACAGCTTCAGGAACAGGTTTGGGAAACGGTCCAACGGGCCGGGAAAAACGTCAATCATTCTTGATTTGGACGTCAACCCAGCTTCGCAATCGGCCCATTTATGCCAGGTCAAAGTCTATTCCACTGTTCCTTGTATGATGGCTGATAAGATAGTTGGGACGACGATAAGGCTTATCATCGAAGCCACGGGATGTGGGGGATTGCGTGCTCTACCCGGGAGCAAGAATGAATTTATATATTTAAGAGGACTGCTTCTCTCACAGACACTGCCAAAATCACCCTATACTCGTTTTATCAGCTGTTACCAATTCTTTGCCAAGAAACGGTTAAATTGACAAAATGTTAACGTAGCAGTCCTTTTACCTCCGCACTTACTTGCATCCAGTATGTAGATCGTTGTTGTCAGTGCATTCAAAGACTCAATTCCTACAGGCGCGCATAGACTCACAACACGAGCTCCGGAAAAACACCAGTACCATATTTGGTAAATTTGATCGTGTTATACATTTCAAATATGCTATAGCCATCACACTGTTCTTTAACAATTCTCCCGTTGCAGCCTCGCCCCATCAGGAAAAACTTGTCCGAAGTGAGGCAGCTTATCGATAAGCCCAACAAGGCATTCAGCTCGGGGCAAGTGCCCAAACGGTACGCAGCTTGCGATGGGATGTCAAGTTTTCTGGAAAGATTTAAGGTAATACTCCTAATTTTACGCTTGTTTGGCAATGATTGCAGGCGAAATTTAAGTGCCAGCGTCCAAGAAACAGACCTCCTCAGCAATTGATGGAAAATGATCTACCGGCTAATAATGAAACTATTGCTGTTTCGAAACATCCCCATGCAAGTCTCAGTGCGACAGGGGATGTAGCCCACGGACCCACAGACTCCGGATCCCTCATTCGATCATTGATGGACATTGTCGGCTGTTTGGAGAAATGGATTGACTACCGGGTGAACTTGTTTGGACTGCGCATGACAATGATCTGTGCATGATGACCGGTTTGGGAAACCCCTTGTGAGGAGTATTCAGGGCTGGCACGGGTGAAGCTTCGGCAGCTGGAAATCAGGGCAACATCTAGCGATACGAGAACTATATAATAATCTTCAATTCTTCACCTTTAAGAGATTTAATTCTTCTTCATCACACAAGGATCTGCTAGACAGAACCAACCACCTTCTTCTTCTTCTTCTTCTTCTCCACCCGGAATCACCAAGAAGAGGCTCGGTCCTTTTGTTCACAATGAAGTCTCTTCTCACCCTCACCCTCGCCCTCTTCGCCTCAGCTGGGCTCGGCGACGCTGCCTCAGCTGGCTGTGGCAAGCAGCCTCCCTCCAGCGGCGTCAAGACCATGCAGGTCAACGGCAAGAATCGCGAGTACACCCTCCAGCTGCCCAACAACTACCAGAACAACAAGCCCCACCGTCTCGTCTTCGGCTACCACTGGCTCAGCGGAAACATGGGCAACGTTGTCCAGGGCGGTTACTATGGTCTTCGCAACTTGGCTGGCGACTCTACCATCTTCATCGCTCCCAACGGTCTCAACGCTGGCTGGGCTAACCAGGGTGGTGAGGACATCACCTTCACTGATCAGATGCTTGCTTTTGCCAAGCAGAATCTCTGCATTGATGAGAAGCAAGTTTTCGCTACCGGATTCAGCTATGGTGGTGCCATGAGCCACAGTGTCGCCTGCTCACGACCCAGTACGTCATCATCCTCATAAATCCCAAGTCATATACTAACTCATCATAGACGACTTCGCTGCTGTCGCCGTCATCTCTGGTGCTCTCCTCTCCGGCTGCAACGGTGGCAACACTCCCGTCTCTTACCTCCACATCCACGGATCCGCCGACAACGTTCTCAGCATTCAGCAGGGCCGCCAGCTCCGCGACAAGTGGATCGGCACCAACGGCTGCCAGCAGAAGCAGGTTAACGACCCCTCCCCCGGTGCCCAGAACTACGTCAAAACCTCTTACACCTGCAGCCGCAAGCCCGTTACCTGGATCGGACACGGTGGTGGCCACGTTGGCGACCCTACTGCCAACGGTCAGAAGTTCGCCCCTGGTGAGACCTGGAGCTTCTTCAACGCTGCTGCTGGTACTAGCGCTAAGCTCCGCTGCTAAATAACCTAAGGGTTTGCAGACTTTGAGGACAGCCAATGCTTTGACTACCTCCAAGTCTTGCATTTGAGAAGTGGGGAGGGAGATCTTACATTCCTTGTACATTGCAACCTGGTGGAAGTATTATTATATACAAATGGTCCAGTCCTACCGAGGGATCCAGCACATCCTTCACTGTACATAGTTAAATCCTCGGTGGACTCGGATGACAATACATCACAGTATATATTCGCATGACAGAAAGACCTATGATGACAAGATAGGAGGTGATGCATACGTAGTATGACGCGTCGTATTGACTGACAAAAGAAATTATGCAAATTGAGGCTTGCTGCCTGTCCCCCTCTGTTCATCCTCAACATCTACCATGCTACTTGGGACATTCGCTAAATGCGTAGCACTTCCTGTCATAAAATAGCGAAGCCTGCTTCCCTTTACCCGATGTGACACCAAGACCTTTGAGGTTCTTCCCATATAGTTGACACGTCTTATCCTCACCATATCCAAAACTCATACACTGTGTACTCTTCAAGCAGGTCTCGGCGCAAGTACTCACGTTCTTCACAGAAGAGGCCGTGCCGATGATGGATTTGGAGGGGACACGAGCCTTTGCCACGTTCCTCTTGCAGACTGAACGTGGAGGGGCCTTGGTGCTGGCGACAGCCGAGGGAGTACATGCTGGTGCTGCCTTCTTGGAAGTCGTGGATGCTTGAGCCGGGCTTGCCTTTTTGTTTGCAGCTTGGGTAGCCTTGGTGTTTTTGGTAGTCGCTGTTATGACACTTGAGGTCTTGGTCGGTTTCTTAGTCTTGGTGCTGATAGGTTTCTTGCTAGTAGTCGATGTCTTGGGCTTCTTGTTGGAGGTAGCCTTCTTATCACTGCTGCTGGACTTATTCTGAGTGGTGCCTTTCTGTTTAGTGGACTTGGTGTCGGCCTTCTTGCCAGTCTTCTTCTTGGATGTTGGATCAAAGATAGGCGCTGGCTGTGACCCAACACAATCAGCGAATAGACCGCTACCACCGCAGTCCATTCCGGTTCCAGACATGCCCCCCTCATCATCAGATCCATCATCACCAGTTCCATCATTGACGTAGCCAATGCAACCCTCAGCAATGGGATCACTCTCCAGGGGATCAATAAGAGGAAACTTGTTTGTGTCGCTACCAAGTGTGATAAAGGCCTCAAGAGTGTTCTCGAAATGGATGTTCCAGGCGATACCATAGCAATCGCCATCAACATCCGTGACAATCTCGCCGTCATCAGTGACTGTCGCACTGACTTCAAAGCTCCCTTCCAAAACAACTGATGGTGTATCGACTACTCCGCCTTTTGCTTCCCATAGTCCTGATAAGACATTGAGCTTGACACCAACGCTAGCAGGGAGGCCTAGAGATGCCTCCATCTTGAGCTCACCAGTAGCTTCAGTTCTGTGCGTAAACACCGGCGTGAGGCCATTGGAGTGGCTATTGCTGGAGTCTAGTAGATCAATCAAGATATCTATGTTTTCCCACTCAACCGAGGCTCCAATAAGTAGGGTGCCAGTTGCTTCTATAGTCATTCCAGCTTGAACATCGAGGCCGATGTAAGGCCCAACAGTGCATAGGAGTGGAATGCCAAAGTTCCAGGGAGAGAACTCAGCGACAGGATATGTCCATTCCTTCTCATACGTGACGAAAGCTTTGAGCCCAAGATTGAGCCCAGCTTTGAACTGAGCGTTGAACTGGATCTGAGCTGTCTCCATGCCGCTGAAGATACTGGCTTCAATGGTTCCAGTAAGTGAAGCCTTGCCGCCAAATCCACACTCGACGCAATAGAGGATCAGACCGTAGGACAAGTCACGCTCTGCCAGTGTAGCGTTGTCCCAGCGTTTATGATGGCCGTTTGGGTCAGCGACCTCGCCCTTGGAATATGAATCATCCTCTTCTCCGCCTTCTGAGCCCCATTCAATGAGCTTTGCAGCATTTTCCCATGGCGCGTCTTCATCTGTACCAAGGATGTCTTCGTTGTTGAGATATTGAGACCATTCATATGACCAAGTCTTGCTCAGGCGCTTTTCAAGCATGTGTGGCTCAAACATCTGTATCCAGTTAGTTTAAGCTCGGACGGTTGACAGCAGCAGTTGCAGCTTACAGCTCTCTTATCGATGGCCCGCCTGACATTTAGTGTGCCGATCTTGCCAAAGTCGAGCTTGAAGCGCTCATATACATCAGCATATTCAGTTGTGGAGCCCTTGGCAGTGAACGCCTTTGTGGTGTCATTAAATGTGATGGATTGAGAGAGAAACAGGTCATTGGCATGATCCTCGCCGCAACCATCCACAGAGGTGATGAAGATAATCTTTCCTGTGCCTTTCCACTGCGCCTTGGCATAATTATATGCAGCAGAGTTCGTTATCGCGCCACTCAATGCACCCTTGGTGCAAGATACGCTCGAGACAAAGACAGAATGATCGAGAGGGATGACGGGGTATCGAAAGGTAAAGTTGGCCTGCGAGAATATGGCGTTATCGCGCTTTCGCATTCGTTTCATCCCAGGCTCTGAGTCTGGTGTACCGGCCCAGGCCAAAGTGACCTGCTTATCAAGGGTGAAGACTGAGAAGTCCTTTGGGTCCACCTCTGGGGGAATGATGGGCTCGAGAGTTGTGCTGTTGTCGTTACTGCTTGTAGCGTTGGCATCATCTCGGCGGTTGAGAATTGGGAGATCATGGCTTGGAGCGGCAGAAGCACTAAGCATGAAGGATTGAAGCACAATAAAAGAAGCCAGGTGCTTGGTGAGCATCATGATGAGCACCTAATGGTTTGATGCACCGAGGAGCTAATGCACTGAGGTGAGATTGAAGAGAAGAGAAAATACTACAGGTGACATACAGGACTGCCGGAGACCAGGGCATGGGAGTCTAATAGCAACTCAAAAAGCCATGATCACTCTTTCGTATCGCGATGACCCCTGTGATCTTGCTAAGATGGTCAGACTCTCCGTGGTCAGCATTGTGACTATTCCTAAAGCCCGTCAACAGTTCCATAAGTATCCATGAGCCGCTTGAGTAGGGTATGAGGAACAAGCCACCTATGGACAACCGGACCAGCTTGTTTCCCTTACAATATACAAGCTAATATCCAGCAAAGTCTGGACTCCAATGTGCATTTTGAATGCAGTATTTCTTAGCTTAATCGTCCTACTTTAGCCTTCACAACCCTGATGCGTATCTACTTCACAAGTAGAATATGGCTGAAAGAAAAAGGTAACTTATCGAATTCCAAGCGCTCTCCCGTGTACAGGAAAGCCATGCCTGATCTGAGACTGGTTACTACGGACCGCTGGTATGCATGGCTGAGCTAGCATTGTCCCGGTCCGCCACGTGCGGGTCGTGCCCGAGGCAAGGAGCTTTCTCGCCGAGTCCAAGTTCGCCTATTGATAAAGAAATCAGTGGCTGAGATCGAAAACAACGAATTGGATGCATCGGTGAAGGGCATTTATGCGTATAGCAATAAATCCTCGATGCAATAAATGGTGGCGCTAAACGTGGCGCTACTATCTTTTGTCTAGTCTTTGCTTGGGACGGGGAGATAAGCTTAACCACTCCAGGCCTTGGACTCACACGGAATGGGATGCTGAACCAGGTAAGCAAAATGCTTATTTGGATAAGCGAATGCTTGATTTTGCCAGGCTTGAATGCTCAGCGAGTCTGGTATGCTTCGCAATAGTTGTAGACAGGATGAGAAAACGCAAGCGACGTTACGAAGTCCCATTAAGGGTTATCCAGCCTTCGTCCAATTACATCGTGAATGACTGTGCAATACCACGAGTTGGGCTCAAGTGCACCGCCCAGGGCAGATGGCGGCCACATGGAATCGCAGGCTTTAGCAGACGACAAATAAATAGTTCTTAACGGCCAAGATCTTCAGAGACCTCCTCTCCCGTATTCTCCTGTAAATGAAATCGAGTCTTTAAGCTGGCAAATCCCCCTGATAGGGTAAACAACTGTTCGTTATCACCCTGCCTGTCATTGATTGGCTCGCAGTTTCTTTCTGGATCTGGCCAAGACAAAAAGTGGCTGGCCACGTTTCGAGAATATGGGGAAAATGGAGCTAATCGAGGAATGGAAGGGAGACCACTTTCCCATGTTCACATTCCGAGGCTTGGGGTCTGGACAACGCCATCGCGGCCGACCCTTCTTCTCGAGAAGCTTTGCGCTAGTGTATTTCTTTCGAACATGATTTGGTCCGTCCTTCAGAACAGGGGAATGGCCGTTTGCAGATCGCTTTAGAGGTTGCGAGTCCTAAGATTCTGGATTTTTAGACTGTGTTTTCTGAAGTGGCAAAACCGCATTCATATACTATAGGAGCTTTCGTAGGATATGTAGACCTTGAGCTGTATATAACGACTGCTGCTATGAAATTCCTCTAGTTAGTAGAACAGCACAGAAATTCCTTATCCCTCCTCAATCATCAGATCTTCACCATCCACCATGAAGACCACTCTACTCTCCGCTCTCCTTTTCCCTCTTCTGCCATCATCCGTCCTCGCAGCCGCCGACGACGATGTGACCTGCCAGACAAAACTTGGCAAGGAATCAGTCACAGATGTCCAGACTGTCACTGTCACCAAGACAGACAGTGTAGTCCCTACGACAACAACCACAGTTATTCCGACTGTGGTGAAGAAAGCTAACCAATGGTCAACAATCACGGTGTTCTCCACCAAGACTTTCACCGTCACTGGAAAAGGCGGCACCGACACTTTCAGCACTACTACCACGCTGTTCAAGGTGGCCACTGTTATCGTGACCGCTACTTCTACTACTACCAGCACAAAGACAGGCACAAGGACTTCAACGTCTACTACTCAGATTCCAACCACTGCTGGGTTTAAGTTCATCTCGGATACAGTCAACTCAAGGTCTCTGAATGCGCAAAAGCGTGACAAGCTGTTCCAGAAGCCCCATGCCCGGGCGATAATCAAGCCTGGGATAAAAGCTTTCAAATTCCCTTCAAAGGTTCAGTGTAAGTTCACTCTAGTGTACATTTCTATGTCTACGGACGATTGTCTGATCTCTTTGCACAGGCACGAAGCTTCTTCCAAATGCCAACACAAAGGTTGTCCAGAAAACTGGTACTCCAGTTACCAAGACAGTGGCAAGTATGCAGACAACCACTGTCGTCAAGACAATCTCTACCACCACAACCCTTATTCCCAAAGACGTATCCGTCACCAAGTCCTTCACTACTTCCATGAAAGTCACCACCTACTCCACCAAGTGGAAGACAGCAACAAAATCTGCCACCGCCACCAAAACAAAGGTAATCTCCGGCCCTACCGAATATGCAGCTTGCAAAGAAGCAAACATGTTTGGCCCCGACTTTAACAGCGCAAGCACAGGCTACTACGTTACCAACGTTCTCAACAACGGCCCTGGTATTCCCTCTGATTTCCAGATCGTCGCAAATGGCGCCAGCAGTCCTGAAGAGTGCTGTAGCTCTTGCATGCAGTTCACTGGCTGCGAGACGTGGAGTTTCCGTGCCGCTAACCGCAACTGTTTCCTTCTGTACCACGCCGGCTCGACGTGCAAGTCGCAGAGCAATCATCCTAACTACTTTATGTCTAAGAAAGGCGCTGACACTGGGGCTGGTTTCATTGTTGGCAATGGGAAATGTGGTTTCACTTATAGCGGCAATAGTGATGGCTCGGTGTTTGCCGTTGATCTTTAAGTTCCGAAATAAATCATTTCCTTTGTTTTAACACTCTGACATGGCCACAATTTAATAGCAAGAATGAATTGAATTCGCTCAAGTGTAACCTATCTACTTAATACCTTCCAAAGGAATCAGGACTTAAACGCCAGTTAGAACATACAGCTCTCCCGTAGAATCACTGGTCAGGAACAGCCTCCCGGATTTGTCGAATGCCAGGCCTGCCGGTCTAAAGCAACCAGAAGGGCACTTGGTATTGTCCGTATTCCACATCAGCGGCACTTCAGCTTTAGGATCATCAGATTCCGGCACTGGCTCGCCATTGGCAAACGCCACCTTGCTAAGGCGGTAGCCATCACCGGGGTTGCGGTTCCTGGAATCAGTTAGTGACTACTCGTGCAATAAGGTAAGTCTTGTCTTCCGGGCACTCACCAGCTTCCATGGAATGCAATGTATGCCGCACTACCATCAAGGAACTTGATGTCCAAGGGTGCAAGGTGTGATCCGAACGTGATTCTAGGAGCTTGCTTCTCTTGGCATTCCTCATCGGTGAAGCCCAGATCTGTCTCACCCTGGGGCGTGCCAGCAAACTGCTTACCAACCTTTGCCCCGCCTGGGTAATCCTTGATGTTGGAGGTGTCGTAGATGGAGAAGCATCCAGGATATCCATAGTTGGCACCATATCGGGCGCTGGAGGTGTCATTGGGAAGGCCGTGGAAGTTAAGTTCCTCGCCAGGATTGGTGTTATGGACATCGACGTCGCCGCGGTAGAGATTATCGACCGAGTTCTCGACGGACCACTGTATGCCAGGTTAGTTCGAAATGTCTGCCATAAAATCCAAGTTTCTGGCTGAAAAGGAAAGACTGCACGTACGATATGTCCTGTAGAAGGGTCTTCCGCCCAACCAACACTGTTACGAAGACCCCAGCCAAGTACCTCCGCCTCGCCATACACCAGAGGAGCTTCCGCCGCCAACAGCTCATCAATCTTGAAGACCCTCACCTGACTGCGCACAACATCTTTGTCAACAGTCTCGACATCCAAATTACCATCAGATCCGCCAGCCACGAGCAGCAGGTTGGGATTGCCAGCGAGAGGGATCGTCAGGGTACGGGTAGAATGAGTCGAAGTGGCACTCATACCCGTGATGACTGTCCGACGAGAGCCGACGGTGCCTTTCGAGGCATCGTAATCGTAGGCGTATACTTCGCTGGGAGTAGAAACGAGAATGGTTTTACCGTCAGCGGTCAGAGCAATGCCATGGTTCAGCTATGTTCACACAGTCTTGTTAATAATACATCCTCGTCGCTCAAGAACATGCGTGATTGGAGAGACGTACATTTGCGTTTGAGATCAAGGCGTCGTCAGAGTCGATGCAGACATCGAGGTCTTTGCCATCATCGAGGACAACTCTCCTTACGCCCTTGCTACCAGCCTCGGTGATCAAAAGGTTGCCCTCGGTATCGGCAACGAGGTGGCGAGGGCGCTGGAGGCCGGTGCGCAGGAGCTTGAACTCGACGCCATCAGCGGTAGCGATGCTGGCTGTGGGGGTGAGGTTGCATTGTGCAGAGGTGAAGCCGACGAGAGTGGCTCCGGCTGCAAGGAGTACCTGTACGAGACGGGTCATTGTGTTTGTTCTAACAAGGCGCTCGCTGTTACAGAAAGAATCCTCGGCTGTGCGAAAAGAGGGTGGCTAGCGAAGAATTATATATATTGAAGGGGGCCAATCACTGCCTTATGCATCACCATTAACATTCCGCTGTCCCCTACCATTCACGGCAACAAATCCATGAGTGACATCATACCATTCTTCCAAGACCGTGATGGGGCGAGAGTAGAAAAAGTCCCTACTCAATTCAAGACTCTATCCCGTACCGTATCCTTGCAAGACGTGACATCGCCCGGATATTGCCAAGACCGCCTTCCCATCCATTCTATAATGATTCTCCACTCGGACGGTACTAGAAGGGAAGCAAGCGGCATATGATATAAGCTTAAATGCTTATATTGCTAAGCTGTCAGCCACCCAAACCCCCGCAGCCTAGCGCTGTCAACCTGGCATCCAAAAGATATATCTTCTCGACTCAACAGGTCCGCATAAATCTGCGAAAGAATCATATTCGACAGCAATTTCTACAGGAAGCTGGTCCATTCCTTGCCTTATCTAACTTCTCTAAAGTTCGCAAGTTCAACCACTTGCCCGATAAGGTAGCTATCGGCCGGTGCTCCGATGACCCAATCAGGCAGGTGTCAACCAAGGCTCCGATGGATGCTTACCAATTAACCTTTTTGAAACCGGCTAATATCCAGTATGTCGATTATATTCCTGAATGTGAGTGTTTACTTGGAAAGACTTTTGTCGTCACTGTGTCCTGGGCAGTACCGTATCCTCTACTTATTTCTATCCCTGCAAGCAGATTTTTGAAGTAAATCGAACAGCGTAGCAAGTGTATTCCCATAGTGCACGTGGACTATCCAGTCAGGCCGCCCTCTTCACCGGGTACGCCCTCTTTCATACTCGCATTAATTGGGTTCTCCTGGCCACTGATGAAATGAACGCCGATACCGCGTTGATGGATATTTCGGCCGTCCAGCCAAGTATCCCGTACCTTCTTTGTGGCATTGTCTAGACCTTGGGCAACCGTGCTGTCGGTCGTTCCACTGTCTCATATTCCTATTTCCCCAATATAAAGACTTAACTATATGAGTTTGGTGAAAGAAGGCTGTGGAGTGACCGTTTTGCCTCAACAGCAATAAATGCTTGGATCATCGTACAATTGCACTCTGAATGCTGCAATAATAGACTCTTGAGATCCAGTACTTCGTTGGCCAGACCATTGCAGCGGGCCCGCAAGATCGCATTCTCCCCTTGCAATTTCTGCGTGTAAGCTTCTAAAGCCTCTGCTTCACATTGCTTGCGGCCTCGGTACTTGCGGGCAATGTTTCGATTCCTCTCCCGAATTCGCGATGCTTTATCTTGCATGGAATCTCGGTTCTGGCCGTCTTGCTCAGAATAGCCTTGCTTTGTGATAGTTGTAGTCTGCATGGAATGGGACTTTCTGTCCTGCTGAACTTTTGACCTTGTATTTGAATTATGATCTCGAGCAGGCCGAGCGAGGATCTGGATCCCGTGCTCTGAACATGCTGCCGCTGTCGACTCTTTGCAGTCAACTGAGCTGGTGACGGCTTCCGTTTGTACGTTTCGAGAATTATCCAACCATTTTTGACAGAACCAAGAATCGATCTGAACGCTTTCACTTGGGCCATTGATGAATGTGTTTGTCGATTCAAGAGTGTGAAAGCCGAAATGGATATCGGGTGGTGTTGGAAAGACAGGATACGCTGAGATTTGATGCCCTACATTGTCGACAAAATCAGACGTGAAGGAATCCATTGTAGTCACGACTTGACAAACCCTGTTAGTTGTCTCCCAGTGTACATTGGCATGAGAACTTCGCTTACTATGTCGTTTTTGAATATTTCTTGGCTTCGGGTTTGTAGATCAAGTAACCGCAATACTCTGTCCGCGCCCGCGCGGCCACTGCAGCCGTTGCTTTTGTATTCCCTCTATTAGCCTTCCCCACCAGCTGTCATGTTTTCTCTTTGCTTCTTTGAAGTATCTGAGATGGAACGTCACAGTAAGCGCAAGGGTTATGTCAGGGGTCGATGGTCCAGACCGCCGCCTTTGCCGGCTCGTCACTGAGAAGAGATCTGGATAACATGTTTTACCGTCATATGATCATGGCAAAAAGCCACATTTTCTTTCTCAACGATCCGATTTCCGAGAATGGATAGAGTCCGATGCAGTATGCTAACGAAGCTGAACTCCCGTTAGGAGGCTGAAGTCAACCAGGCACTCGGAACTCAGACAATGGTCGAAGGGCGGTCGTGGCGTCATGTGCATAAGCAGCCACATTCTCACAGGGGACTAGATAATTCGGCGAACAGAGCAATGCCGGAAGGAGGGGTTTAGAGTATCGTCAATATCGTGCCACCCGATGATTGAGAATCCATTTCTCACATGACCTCCCATTTGAACAATTGCTAGATAGAGATATGGTACCCAGGTTGTCGGCCTTACAACTCCGCCATACGAGACACTGACGATAGAATCTGAGAGAAAGTACAAGCATCTCAGCGTGCATAGCGATGTAACAATTATCCGTCCTACCGCTTGCCCCACGATACCAATTGTGCCACGTTGACGTAGCACCGGTAGTTTGGTGGCATTTTAAATAAAGTCTTACAATTTTCTTCAGTGGCTTGGCTTTATTATTTGCCTTGTTCTGGGAAATCAGCTACGCCTCCTCAGAAGTCGAGCTTCTGTTAGGCCGAGGCCTTGTCACTGGTTTAGGACTCAAGAAAAGAAACATTACAACAGGAATCGAGGGATGTGGCGTGCTGTGCCGTCAAAAAGCAACGCCGGACATAAGATCGCAGCACCATAGACGCCTCAAATGGGAATGGTTGTAAGCTTTACTATGGCTGGGAATGCACAGACAGGGATTGGAAGTGCGGCGGTCGGCGATAGAAAAACCTGGTGAGCGACGAGCATTTAACAGGTCGGCAATAGGTTGCTGATTGCTAGTGCCAAAGCTATGGTAGTGTTTAATTTGCACAAGGAACCCAAACAAGGTCAACGATCTGAGGCCAGATCTACGGGCTGAAAATCGACATTTGTTGTACGGCCATTTTTGCTGAATGAGAGGGCATTCCCAGACCTTGGCGCATGTTAAATTTCGCTCTTTAAGCTTTTAAACCCCGCTTCTGAGTGATGGTGACGCGTCTTATGGCCCGGTCTCGACCTCAGCCCAAAACAACAGATGGACTGGTCTAGACTCTTTCACAGCCAACATTGATTTGCTGACATGAAGTGACGGAATTAGCCGCGAGCCCGGCTCCCCGACGCCATCATGTTATCAAAACACGATAAGCATTGGGATATTGACCCTGTAGAAGGGTCGCGAACGTACGATCGATCGCCAAGTCTCAGAATCAGTCGACATGTTATGAAGTGCGCCACTCTCTCGGTACAGGGCTGGGTTATTGAACGGGATGTTAATTGTTGCGGGGCTTCAGTCACGGCGCACCACGAAAATGAGATTCATTTAACAGCCAGGCAGTGCCAGTTGTTTTGGAAGCTAAATCAGTAACAAGCCGATTTATTTGGCAAATAAGCTATAGAAATCGTTCAACCAATCCAACAACAAACCTGCCAACTACCAGATACCAGCTACAGTCCCAGATGACCGCCTCGCAATTCAGTCGTATCTCCAGCACCCTAGATCAAAGCGTGAATGACTATCAGCCCCTGGTAGGTTATTCACTACATCCTTACCGCCAGCTACCCACCACTACTTCCACTCTAGCTCTCAATCATGCCACCCATGTCGATCAACGACACGAAGCATTTACTGACTCTCACCAATCAGATGCCCCTTGGCCTAGTAACTGAGCAGGGTAAGTCGGCTCCTCTTTCCAAGCTGATTGTTAATGCTTATTCACGTGGTTTCGATAATAGTCACTGCTCAAAACCCCCCGTGGAACGTGGACGAGTACTCGTCTTCCGAGTATTTCTCCAACACGCCTAGCTCACCCGAGCTTGCTGATCATGCACAAGCATGTTACCCCTTCAACTACCTTACGAATTCCACGACACCACCAAACCACGACGTGAACATGATATCCCCGACAGAACATTCTTCGGCGAGGGAGCGACAGATCCGGTCACCAACGCAAATGATTCAGGTCCCACAGATGACCGAGACTCAACTCCGGGTAGCATCACGCAAGCCAAAAAACCGCCGATACAAGGTGACTTCGAAAACGCCAGCACACGTCCGAGAATGTCATCACCTTGCCGAGAAGCAATACCGCACTCGACTCAAGGCGCAGTTTGAAAGTCTTCTAGCGGCACTGCCGGCGTCCAGAACAAACACCCTAGCTGATAGAGACAGCACGCCAAGTTCAGGGCAAGTCTTAAGTAGGGGTCAGGTACTCGACCTTGCGCGAGAGCGTATTCTCGAGTTGGAAGAAGAGGTTCGAATCATGGGGAGTATTTTATCCAATGTGTATCCCTTAGCTTGATTCAATCCGATAGCTCAATACTCTGTTTGGTGTAGTATTGGTGCGTTCTATATCTCCAGACCCACACCCCAACTGCCTCAGATGAAACGCCGAACTCTTACTCTTTACTATTATCATTGGCTAGGCATACAATCTCTAAGGTATTGAGAATAGATTACATCACTAGTCTAGTCGTTTATCCGGGCTGAGCTGAACATGCATAGCGGTCGGAAACTGGTCTAGGATAGACAATCATCAGGTGTGATATCCCGCCCAGAAATGATTCAAGGGCTCCCTCGCCGACTCCATCAGTATCGTTCTAGACTATCCCTCCGAATTATACCACACTGCTCTAAAAGCCAGGGAAGTCAAACTTCTCCTCCGGCTCTTGGGAAATAGCACCCTCTTCGCGTTCCAATGACCCGAGCATACTGATATGCAGAGTGTGAAGCAGCGGATCCGCCTTTAACAGCGATGTCTGGGCAATGACATCTTGCAGATCCTGTTCTACATCGTAGTATCTGCCCCTCAGCACATCCTTCGCAATCCCCGTTGCGAGAGCTACACATGACATGCCAGCCAAGTGCGGCGAGCCGGTGAACCGTTTCATCCACTCTTCAAAGCGGGAAAAGACTTGAGGGAACTCTGCAAGTGCGGCATCATGGTGGCCATCTAGTGGCGTCACATGTTCCGTCAGCATATGTTATAGCAACTGATAGGACTCCATGTTCACTGACCTGCAGTCTTCATGCCTGAACGCACCGCGCCAGGGTGGATCGCGTATAAATTGATGTCGGATGATGGTGTAACTTCATCCACCTCGGCCTGTAGGACGCTTGTTAATTTGATCAAAGCCGCCTTGCTAGTACAGTAACTAATGTTGAACGGAAAGTCTACGGTGGCAGCTTTGGAAGCGATATTGATCACGCAACCTCTGCGTCTCTCAATGAAGCTTGGTAAGACCAAACGCATTAGCACTAGTGGACCATTGAAGTTAATGGCCATGTCTCGTAAGAAAAGAGCAGGATCCTGCTTATGGAACTGGATAAATAGTTTAGCTTAATTCTCGCATATTAGTTAGTAAATGTTCGATACCGGACACTTACCACGCGGATGCCAGCAACTCCGGCACCATTGATGAGCACATCGATATCGCCTACGGTGGAAACAGTCTGTTTACTTCTGTTAGTGAATATGCCATGGCGTACTGTTGGGTATGGCTTACTTGTTTCACCAGTTCCTCGCACTCGTTGGGGTTGCCGACGTCGCAGCGAGAATAATGCACTGCATTAGCGCCAAGATGCAAAAGATGATCCTTGGTAGAATCTGGCAGCGAGGGCTGAATATCGGATAGGAAGAGACGGGCGCCGGCAGTGGCAAAGCATTCTGCAATAGCACCGGCGATGGTACCAAGAGCACCTACTTGGCGTTAAATGGTGACAACGGTTCTTTCCCGAGACACATACCGGTGATGAGAACAACCTGTCCCTTTAGAGAGTTTCTGAACTTTGATGGGTGAAGGAATGGGTAGATCTCGTTGTGAATGCGGGGGGGCTGCTGTCCTGCCATGTTGACAACAAATCTGTATCTTGAGACTTTAGAAGATGGGTTAGTCTGACGACCGATAACCCACGTCTCAAGAGCCTAGGAGTGTATTTATAGTTGCTGCATAGCCTCTCGGGTGCTTATAGCTTCCGTTAGGTAGTAATGACGAAAGGTAGTCTTGCGCAAATTGGCAGCGCCTCCAGTTCCCCAACACTCAACTCCCCAGATCCGATACCATTCCGACCCGATGCTCCACCATCTGCACGGATTGGCTGTGATCAACAGGTAGAGTTTCGACTAGGACAATTCAGAACGGGTACTTACGTATATGGCTTGGAGCCTTCCTTATCTAGACGCGCTACTTATCTAGTCGCCTCGGGTTTGCCTCGGCCTTGACATTGCCGACCAAGATTATCTCCTCGATATTCTGCACATCAACCCTCCCTTCTTCTCAGAAGGGGGATAAATGGTAGAACCTTCTTGATCCACGGGAGAGCGTCTGGTGTCATTCCCATCAAGCATGCAAGATAGATATGGTCGTTGATAGGCGGTAATCGGGCTAGATTTCTCTCATCCTGCGAGTTAAAACTTCTGCTAAAGGCAAGCTCACCTAGTACATCAAAGACATAAAAGGCAATCATGTTCTTCAGATCAACATCTTGGTTGCTATCGCAGAAGTGATCCAGGTTTCTCCTAAGTTTCAGGATATGGCTGTCAACAAAATACTCCATCTCCTTGATGGACTGCATGGAGAAGGCATGGGCCATTTGGCGACGCCTGATGGCGTGAATCTGATATCTAGTATTAGTGGAACACCCTCGCATGGACAAAGCTTGGCATACCTCTTCATCTTGTGTTCCAAACAAGTTGGGATTGAAAGTCGTAAATCCATCATAAAACCCCGTCTTTTGTAGTTGTCAGCCTGCCTTGTAGATAGTGTTGACAGCGTCGGGATTATGAAACGACAGGTCATTTGGCCCGACCCGTACGACATCGCCATACTGCTCATGTAGACGAACAAGCGTGTGCGGGAGATGCAAGTTCCAAGATGGTAGGTCTTCCACAGGTTGGTGACCGAGGCAAGAGGAGGACCGGGGTACTTGGCTAATGGGTTGAAGTAGCGATAGTAGACAATGTATATAAGTACCAAGAAGCCGATCACCGTCGACGCTTGAAGAAGAATGGGCAGGCTCATGGCGCGGATGATGAAAGATGCAACCTCAAGTGATATTTTAGTAATGAAATGGATATTGGGCGAAAAAGCAAAATAAGAGGTTATAGCTCAAGCTTTTATAATTGCGTTGCACATCTATCCCGACTCATAGCCAGCCGTCACGGAAGCTCGGAGGCGGAACTTGCGTACTTGTACACCACGTAACTGGCGGGTGCATCGGATCTAGTGCAGCAAGTTTCCCCGCACAATCAACTGCCGATGATTTAGAGTTAAGACCCTTGAATCAGAAAAGGCATACAATGGAGACCTAGACAGCTCGTTACCAGTCTGGCCGAGGCCATTCAAGCACGGCTTGTATATCTTATCCTTGCTATTGGTCTTTACTTGATCAACCGCCGCTTTAGCCATTGTATAACCAGACTTCAGTCGTCTATATTAGGCATTCCCATCTCACTGAGGTTACTACTAACGGCTTTGAAGGAGAATTTGGATCTTGACGGGCCCCAGAATTCGGGAAGGCTTTGCGAAGTATCTGGCATAACTCGAGCTTTCTGAGTATCGCCGTAGATAAGCGTTGATTGATTTTTATTTATCTTGGAATCACCTTCGGCTGTCGTGTTACCGGAAGTGTTAGTATGGACAGGTACGGTAAGTGTATGTAGAGGGCTCGCCCTATTATGAAATATTAACATAACCTACTGCTAGGATCGTGACAACGCACAAGGTCGTATACGGCTGACTTTGCGGCATTTCATACACGTATATCGACAGGTCACCTGGAGAATCTCAACCTAAGACTATGCATGCTGTAAGCTTTTGGACTTGGTTCCAGGATGAGGCCAATATAGAGCTCTCCGGCTACCAAAGTGCAAATAAATTAATGAATCAACTACGTAGATACCTAGGCTATATTCGCAACGCACAATCTTTTAGGACAAAGGTGCACTCATGGTAGTCCGTCCGCCTCGTCTTCTGTCCCTGTATCCGGTCGCCCCTTCAGCTTAAAGTATCGCGCAAAGAACATAGAGTTGGCGGCAAGAATAACAGGGACCACGCTGACCATCTCTCCCAAGCCAGCATACCGAGGCGGAATCCTGAACTCAACCCAAGCGCCGCTAGCCATCGTGATCGCAAGGATATTATAAACAGCAGACCAGACAAAGTTGAAGTACATGCGCTGGAACGAGACTTTGCTGATATCAAGAAGGAAAGGAATGCCTTCAAGACCGTTCAGAAGCACGACATCTGCTGCACCCTGGGTCACATCGCTGCTTGTCAGGCCACCTCCCATTTGAGCGCCAACGTTAGCTTGAGCTACAGCAATGGCGTCATTCGTGCCATCACCACAAAAGAGAACTCTCCTGCCTTGTTCCATCAAAGAAGCGACGTAGTCTCTCTTCTCAGGTGGAGTACGCTCACCAACAACATTCTCAGCTGGAATACCAACTGATGCTGCAACAGCTTGGACAGCCTTGATTTGATCTCCGGAAACGAGATGAACGTTGATGTTGCGCGACTTTAGCTCAGAAATAACTCGCAATGCTTCGGGGCGGATCTGAGCTGAGAGGCCAAAGGCAATGAGAGGAACAGAGTCGCGAGTAATGACAAGAGTTGTGAGGCCACCATGCTGAAGGCGCGACACATCGTCCAGCTCATCAGCTCCAGTCCATCGAGCATTTCCAGCCCTGAGGGTTGAGTCGAGGTAGTCTGCTTCGACTCCAGCACCTGGGACAACCTGAATATTGACTACCTCGGGCATGGCCTTGATGGACTGTCCTTCTAGATGCTTCTCGACGGCAGCCGAGACAGGATGCTTGCCACCAGAAACAAGAGCTTTAGCCAAAGCGAGGTTACTTGCCACATCTCCGCTAAGGTTCACCTGCTCAGTTACAGCAAGCTCAGCCTCAGTTATCGTGCCAGTCTTATCAAAGACAACATCGGTCGTCTTGCGAGCTCCTTCGGTTGTATCAGCCGATTTAATGATGACACCACCTCGAGCGGCTATACCACCAGCAACGACGAGAACCATGGGGACTGCAAGGCCAAGGGCGCAGGGGCATGCAACTGCTAGAGTAGCTACTGCATAGGTGATGGCATTTCCAACGCTCTTCCCGGCGTCGTAGTTAAGGACCTCCATACCGCAAGCGATCCAGATGACAAGAACAAGAATAGCCACAGTAGCCATGGCGGGGACAAACCAACCAGCGACTTTGTTAGCCAGGTCTTGAATCTCAGGTCTCGACTTGGCAGCTTCCTCAACGAGCTGAGCAATGTCGGTGACCGTGTTCTTCCCAGGAAGACGCGTCAACTGAACAGTGACTGTACCATCTCCATTGACAGTACCCGCAATCAGGTCACTGCCCTTGTGCTTGACAATAGGAAGTGTCTCCCCTGTAAGCATAGACTCATCTACCTCAGTCTTGCCAGAGAGGACGATACCATCTGTAGGAACTCTGGAGTGAGGCAGAACCTTGAAGACATCTCCATACTGAAGGAGACGAGCGTCAATCTCACGATCGCCTTCCTTTTCGGCGAGTACAGCAATGTTGTTCTGCTTAGACCGGAGAGATACGGCCGAAACAGCCTGGACCCGAGCAAAAGCAGCGATGAGGCGACCAACGAGGATGAGGGTGATGAGCATAGTGCTGGTCTCGAAGAACTGACCCTCATCAAGAGGTTTACCTGCCATTTCGAAGCTGAATGCAACGACGGAGTAGACGTAAGCAGCGGTGATACTGATGACGACGAGCATGTCCATCTCGACTGTTCGACTGTACCAAACAGCGGAAATAGCAGGGCGGTAGAACTCGGGGATGGCGATGCACTGAACGAGTGTACCGAGGATCAGCGAGACAATTCCCTCGGTTTTCTTGTCAACTAGGTTCTCGCTCCATGAGACTACTGCCACGGGGATGGTGAGGGCAGCGGCAAGGAGGGTCTTTGTGAGTTGATCCCAGAGACGGCGGCGGCTGTTTTCGAGTTGAGGATCTCCACGGGGTTCAGCCATACCATTGCACTTGTCTTTTATCGACTCCAACAGATCTCGAGCTCCGATGGTAGTCGGCTCATATGACAGACGAACTGTCTTCTTGTCAAGCGACTGCACATCCGTCACACCCTGAGGCGGATTGTCGATAAGCTCCTTGCTTTGCGAAGTCATAGCCAAGACATCGAGGTAGTAATTCCCGCCGATGATCTTGCTGAGCATGAAGCCACTTGCCCCAGACACAAAGCTCAGAACCTCCTCAGCATTGGTGAAAGATGCATCAACGTCGAACTCTCCTTTGCCCATGACAAAGTTGACTTGAGCGTTGGAAACGCCAGTCATGCTGCCAAAGATGCGGAGCAACTTGTCTGCGCACGAGGTACAGTCCATACCGCTGACAAGAAACCCAACTGTCTCAAGATTTGCAGCGTTTTCGACGTCGACCTGCTTACCACCTGTTCCAGAGGGCTTGAACGCTGGTATAACAGGTGTAGCCTTCTTCTTTCCATGTCTGCTTCGATGCTTCTTGTGTCGGGTCGTTCGGGTGCTCATGCAGCATGTTTCGAGGGACGTCATCCCCTGTTCGATGGCGCTTCGGCAGATGCAGCGAATTTGTTCGAGGTAGCTGCTGTACTGGTTGAAAGCAGCTTCTAGATGGGTACCACAGGCTGCGTCGGTCTTGTGAAGGCCATGGTCGTGTTCGTGGGGTTGGTCTTGTGAGCCTGTTTCTGTTAGGTATCCAGTGACGATGCGGTATGGAGGTAAGGTACCTTCGTGGCCTGGATCATCGTCACAGGCTTTCTTGCACTCGAGGGCAGCAATGGCATAGATGCATTTCTCTATGATAATCACTGGTGTTAGAGAGCGTGGCAAGACATATTGGCTAAGTTTAAGGGGACTAACCGCTGCAGTGTTCCTCGCTGCCACAGCAAGTCGAGGCCTGAGAGGTGATACTGGAAGCATCGGAGTGATCGTCGCAGCATCCTCCATGTTCGTGGCCATGATCCTCGCCATCAGCATGAGCATGGCCATGGCCATGTCCATGAGAACCACCGTGCTCAACTGCAGGAGAGTCGCTGCCATGATCGGTATGCGCATGGCCATGGTCTTCCAAGCTGGCACTAACATGCTCAGCCTTAGACCCGCAACAAGATGCACCCATGGTTTCGAACGGTATATTGTGGCAAGGGAGTAGTGGGAGTGGTAAAGTTGAATACAAGGGGTGATTTTAGAGAATGCAAAAATTAAAAGAATTCCAATTTTATTAAATACTCGAAACATCGTGAGTTGCAATTCATGCTGAACCTGTTTCTTTGTGTTCCGCGGATGGCTCCACCACCGCTAAAGTCTCCGCGCCCCGTTTCCGCGCCGCGTTCTCCTCGCTAAACCGTTTTAGACTGCGAAACAGGAGGCGCGGGGACTTTTCCAATCAGTCATTCTGTGCGACATGATGAGGATGCCCTCGTGATTACATTTACGTCATTGGCAGAAGAGAGAGAGTTATTGAGAGAGACAAGGCATCGGGTATATTGCTAAAACTTGTCAAATATTCATCAGTCATAATCGTGTATGCAATCATCATGCCGAGATGATTCTTTGCGCCTCTGCTATCGCAGCCTTGACCTGGTCTACAGTCCTGAAGCATGCACAAGCAGTCGTCATGTCAACTTCCTTCGGACACACCTCAGTTGGATGTTTCGTTGTCGGTAGTGACTCTGTATTCGAGCAGCTCGTCCCCGTCTCGCAGTTCTCGTGACCTTCGGTATGGAGCTGACTCTGTCTCGTCGCCAACCCTTCACCCAGTTTCACAAGACAATCCAACTCCCCTTTCAGACTTGCCTGTAGAAAAGCGATGTAACTTGGTCCTTCGAGGGAAAGCTCAACCATATCCTGAGCATCTGGCTGTTGTCCGACGACAAGACGGATCGGTGTACCGGATACCGAGGACTCGGCGGTTTGCTGCTTCTGTGCGTAGAAAAAGTCGCCGTAGGAGGAGCCAATGCTGGATAGAAGGGAGCCCAACAGATAGACATTCCGTGATGTACGTGGGCTCTTGATGGATTGGAAGCAGACTGTGCATTCAAGGATGGTCCTTGCTGATGCGAGAGACTGCTTCAAGACTTTGAGGGTCTGGAATGTCTCGAGCGAGCTCTCGATATCCGAGAAGTGCTGATTAACCAGCTCGATGCAGGAGCATTTTTGAGACGAGAGTCCAGCTGTCGTTATGTTCTCGGTATTCTGAGATGTCGGCGTCATGTCCATCGCCTTTTCCGCGGTTCCTGGGTACACCCCGTTCTGGTCCTGTTGCATAGCCGCTCCATTAAACAAATCCGACGGCAACGCTTCCTGTCCCTGAACATTATCCTGCTCTGTCGAAAAGCCCATGTCAAAAGACGGCAGCGGCGTCCCCAAATCATCAAGAAACTGATCCATAATCCCAGCAAAATTCCCCGTATCCATAACCTCAGGCGACGCAGCCGTCACCGCCACGCCATTCGCTCTATACCCCAGCGGCTGCCCCCTCCTCGGCCTCCCTATAGTCCTCATAGGAGAGTACTCGCACGTCAAAGCAAAGTGAGAACATCGTTCGCATAAAGGAGTGTGGCGAGAACATCGGACTTTTCGCTTGCCTGTACGTCATCAGCTGATGATTACAAAGAGGGGAAGAGGGGAATTAACTGACGGCATGGGTCGCAGGCGCGGTGCTGGCTCTTGTCACTTATACTTTGAGGGTTCATGCCTACTAGACCTTTAGGGAGCAGATCATATATAGTAGCGTGTCGTGTTTGCGCTGCTGGTTGGTTTTTTGGCGACAGGTGCGGCCATCAAGGTTCTCTGCCGAGGTCTTTTGCCAAGGGGGAAAACCTGGGAATTAAATCCACACCGCGGGGCGGGGCGGAGACTTTTGAAGGACATGATTGGTGGTCTGCTCCACTTGCTACAACTGTTTTTATAACGTTCTTACCCTATAATTCCATCCCCTATCTAATGTCAAATTCTGATACCAAGCTATAATGTAGTTTAATTTTTAGCTATACTATATAACTATTTAATATTTAGCTACACTTTAACTAACTTAATTGACTTAAAGACTTTTCCCAGGCTGGACTTCTGGCAGCATCCCAGCCTTGATAAGTTCATCAATGAGATCCAACAACATACCATCACATCCCTCAGCGGCCATAATCCTGACAGATACCGATAGATACTCTGCATGCCTGCTAATGCTGCTATGATACCTGGCTTGACCAATTGGAATAGAAAAATCCGGATTTCCAACCATTGGTGAGATGAAACCCGTATTCAGGCCGAGCAGAACCCCTACTAAATCACCAGAACCCATGGCGCTGCCGTAATCGCTTCTGTATTCAGGTGCAGCATCCCTGAAAGTATAGAGCATAAGACTTTCTGAACACGTTTCAGAGTTCTTAGGGAGCATGACCTCATCCCACCAAGTCTTGAACATGGTCTTGTTTGCGATTGCTTCGTCAAGCAGCGGAGGAAGACTATCAGACCAGCTCCAACTTCCATTGGTGGAGGGATTCACGAAAGGTACACGTCCATCGTACGCGGCTGCATAGTCCTTGAAGAATGGATCTCGGACAAGGCGAGTCTGTTGTTTGGCCGAAATCACTGCCCATGTCGATCCAACAAACTCCTGCAAGTCGCTTGGCGTACCGGCTGGGTGACTGCGAGACCATTCTTCTGTATGATTAAACGTTGAGAGGTCGGCTGATAGAAACTCGACTAGCCTATCAACGAATTGAACGACAACGCGGTCCGAGTCTGAAAGGTCGGCATCCTTTGTTGAAGGAAGGTCGTATGTAAGAACTCGTTTCGGATATCGCGTATAATTCGTTGTGAGATTCGAGTACATGACCTTGCAAGCAGTCGCCCAAATCTCTGCATCGCGAGCCAAAAACCCAGCTGTATCAAACTCAGGTCCCAGCGGTATAACCCGCGACAAGTCCACCAGACCATGCGTCGGGCGGTTCCCGAAAATTCCGTTGTCCTCGGCTGGTACCCGAATAGACCCTCCCGTATCGGACCCCAAAGCTAGATCCAACCAATGGTAGGAAGCGATACCCGCCCCCGCTCCGGACGAGGAGGATCCGACTTCTTGATACCCGTCGCCTCTGGGATTGAACGGAGCCTGGTAGTCAATGGCATCTCTCGCATTTTCGGGTGCGGCGAATTGAGTCGTCTTCATTTTGCCGACCAGGACGGCTCCGGCATCTAGTAGTTGTTGTACGGCGGGTGCAGTGCCATTGGCCTCGGGGTAGATATCATAGTAGGCGCGGCTTCCAGCCCCAGTCTTGAGTCCAGAAACGTCATAAATATCCTTTACGCCGATACGCACACCAGCGAGCGGATAGTCATCACTTGGCGGATGGTAAATTCTCGAAGGAACACCCACTGTAATGGATGAGGAGCCAGGGAGAGCAGCGGGGAGTGGAGCGAAAGATCCGCCCGAGAGGGGTATGACGCCTTGGGTGAAGGCACCTTGAGTATCGAGATAGAGGCGGTACGGGGTATGTAGGGAACCTGTCGATGGGTTCAAGATGTAAGGACCGTTGGGAACGTTGAAAGTGTAATCAATTTCTTCCCACGACGATGACATGTTCCCTTGATATTGGTAGTTAGATAGACCGGGGACATCATCCGAGTCTTTCTTAACGTAGATTTCTGTAACTGTGAGCGTAATCTTCTAATTTTGAGAGATTAATAACGCACCTTGTAAAAACCCTTTATTGAAAACATCATCCTGAGCAAGCCAAGCCTTGATGGTGTCGTTGAAAGTAGACTCATCGAAACGATTATCTATTGCCTCAAAGAGCGTCACCGGGACAAATCCGAAATTACTATGGTGATGCAGGCCAGAAGATGAGGGGAGAACTCCCACCGGCTCAGGATCGACGAAGTAATAGACACCATTGACAGTCACGGTTGCGCCAAGGTTGACAAGGCCGGCACGTGCAACCCCATAGAAAGCTGCGAGGGTAAGAAGTGATACAACATACATTGTTTGTACTGCTGAAGCTCGATATCTCATTTGCAGTTGAGGTGAGTGGTTGGAAGCGTCCGGAGTTCTGATAATGAGGGCGGTCGAGGTAAGGCGCGCGGTTCCTTTTGAGACATTTGATTGGCAGCTCAAGTTCCACTTGCAGTTTCATAAGGCAAGATCTCAGTTGGCACTATGCCGAATCTGTGTAAGCTTAGCTCTTGGATTATATCAATAGTAACAGCAGGATTCTCAATTCTCAAGGAATTTCAGGACTCCGAGGGAAATGCTGGTTAAGCTATCTAATCGGAAATTGCGCCTAGATAAGATATCTCGTGGTGCAGATCTGGATCCTTCATAATCACTAACCCCAAAAGCGTAACGTGGCGGGGTTAGTAGCTAAGGAGCCGCTGAATAAGCAGTCAGCAATGCGATGTAAAGTCGAGTACTTAAACAGGAACCCGGGCTGAGGTAAAAGTTTTATCAGGATTTTTATAAATAATCTTACTCTTTACTCTCTCTGTTATATCTCTCGTTCATCATTATGTCATCTGAGCGTCGCTGGGATCAACGCCGCTTTCGCCTCGAGGAGTCGACGACCCTCAACAATGGCAAGCGCACTATTTTTATCGAAACCATGACTCCCGGAACCACTGTCCCGCCTCACTACCATACACGCTTCTCAGAAACATTTGATCTCATCGAAGGGTCTATTTCTGTCTACAAGAGCACTGATCCCGATGTGGAAACCTTGGAAGCTTCTGCCCAGCCACTAGAAGTGGGAAAGCCTCAGACTGTCACGCCAAACCTCTTTCACAAGTACCTCGTCAATGATGACGGAGGTGCTGTTTTGCGAGTCATCCTTGAGCCAGGCGATGCGGACTTTGAGAGGCTGTTGAAGATCATGAACGGGCTGGATGCAGATGGAAAGCTGGCGAAGATGGGCGACAGCTTGGTGCTTATGGCTGTTGTCATGGAGCTTAGCGACGCTCATCTTATTGGTCCCGCGAAGGGTATGTTGGATGGCGTGAGAAGAAACCAGAAGGATGAGATTGAGAAGCTTAAGGCTGAGTTATTGGAGGCTTATGATACTGAAGAAGCGTTGCAGGGGCTCCTACAAGGGCGATAATAGTAGCTTGTAGCTCTACCCATTTATCTGCATCACATATCGGCAGCTTCAGTTGCCTCGACCATATCCTCCTTGAGAATAACCACCGCCGTATCCCCCTCCATGTTGTTAACCTCCGCCATAACCACCTCGACCAACGTTATAGGCACCACCACTACCACCTGTAGAACGAGAATTGGCCATATTAACAGTGATACGAGGTCCATCAAGACTAAGTTTTACGCTGTCAGATCATCATTCCAAAAACCTGACTCTCAGAACTTACTCCTGATGATTTAAGGCGGCAATTGCATTGCTGGCTTCCGTTGGATTGCTATAGGTAACATACCCGAAGCCCCGAGAGTTACCAGAGTCACGGTCCCGCATTACAATCTGCTTAGTGGATTAGTATCTTCACTAGATCCTGCCCGATGTAGAGTTTGGAAGACATGTTGGCTTGTATTATTATGGAGGGATTGATCACAATGTGTAGTATTTCGCTTTTGTCTGGGTTGTTTGAGAGATAGCCTCAAGTGAGAGAATGGGGTTTTGCCATTCTTATACCCAAAGTTAGGCCAACGACATATTCCCCTTGCTTACATTTGTGACATTGGGGCATTCCAATCGCCCGAGTCATTCGCGTCATCGTGCAGAACACGGCACAGTGTCTTTGACCTGGAGCCAATATGTCTTATAGCGAGGTATAGTTGAGCCAACAGTTAAGCTCCTTCTAGTCTATGTTCGGTTAGCCAGATGGCCTCGCTCTGCCTCCCCTACATGCCTCAGCCCAGCTGGGGACCGACTGCAGATCTTCAACTATCGTGAATGAGTGTGATGACAGATTTGACTATCACAACCCCTCTCAGAGTCAAGATTACGGCATGGCTGACATCCAAGAGCTTGATTGCTCCGAAGACCTGATGTTCTCAATTCATGGGTCGATATCATAACTAATCACCACTCACACAAATGCTTCACATATTACGCAATTATCCTGCGAAAGAATATTAAGTTATGGTAACATCCGTCGATTACAGAGGTATGATTATACTATTGAAATGGTAGCCCAGCCAGCCTTAGTAAAATGAGGCAGTAATGAGCATTGGACAGACTCCTCCTTTTCTTTCCAGGCAAAGTTTACCACTGACGAGGCGTGATTCAGTGCGTATTCTCGCAGGCCCGAATCAAATCCCTTCTCCATTTCTGTAATACCTTCGATATTTCCACGCTTTACCTCTCCAATGCCTTGACTGACAATAGTGTTGCTGATCATGGGTCCAAGCTGAGACGAACAACTCCAGTCTTCTTGCCACATCCCAACCCTGATAAACTCGCGCTGTCCAGCGCAGAAGCTCTCTTCGAGAACAAGTCCGAGGCCTTCAGTATCGTCAGGGCTAAGCTTTTGGGGTTCAGCCGCATTCTCCTTGCGCAGGTACAGCGGGGCAAGGAAGTAATGCAAGGATGTCTTGATCGGCTTGCTGAAATTAACCTTTATTTCTCCGTACTCCCTTCGACCGTTGGGAAATGAAGCAAGCTGTAATATGTCAAAGCCCATTGATTTCAACTCAATTTCGTGATGGAGCTGGAAGTAGGAGGGTAGATCTCCTTCAGGTGCGAAGCCACCAAACTCGACTGGTATGAGCAAACACCTTACATGTAATATGGCACGTTCGATGGAAATAGAAGGGTCGGTATCGACTGGTAGAAGGGTATTTCCACTCAAAAGAGCAAGCGGTCTGAAGATATTGGACTCGAAGGAGTTCGGATCTGTCCTTGAGATCTTTGGTCCGTCTGTACTGAGATAGACTGATCCCGAGAAGCTAAGCCAAGACCACGAAGGCAATACCATAGGAGGCAAGTCTGTATGGGATGGCTTAGGTCTGTGCGGTCGATCTTTTGCTTGATCGGACTCCCATAGAAGTCCGGTCATCCAGTTCTCGAGCCAGATACCAACGAAATAAGTATCACCAGTCAGAGTTGAGATGACTTTTGAAAGCCCTGATATAGCAACGATCCTATCTTGTTCGTACGTCAAGTCTTGTTGGCTATACTGCTCAGCTATCAGACTCCAAAATAGGCCTTCGTCGTTGTCGGTCAGTGGCTGGAGCGGCAGGCGGTTTCCAAAGCTTGAGAAACTTTCTGGGCAGGCTTCTCTTGACATGCAACTTCTACTGGATTCGCCTTGGCACTCCCAGTATAGCTGATCACTACCAATGCACAGGATGCGCCGTGAAAGATACCTCTCTTGTAAGACCCAGGCTCTCTTATTGATAGGCGACTTATCCACGTCAAGACGATAGTCATTGGTCTTGTTCTGTACAACAAAAGCAAACTCTTCTGCTTCGTTGGCGATGTCATTGGCACTCCTGATGCAGTCCTCACGATATGACTTTGGTGGATGTCGAGCTATTCCACGAGGTCTACGCTTTCGGAAAGCAGTGGTTTCTCCAAATTGCCAGCATATCATGACTGTGAGAAATGCATACCGATATACATCCATCATCAAAGGTGCTTCGTGGCTAAAATCAGCACCATTATCATCTTGGATGATGCACAGAGAGTCAATCCAGAGACAGCGTATAGGGAGAGCGCGGCAGATCTCCAAAATATCTTTGTAGCTTTGGGGTAATAGCGCATCTGGTTGAGGATTCAAGCACTCTGCATAGTCCCTCGTTAGGAGTGTTGGTGTATCTGCAGTCCAGCGATGTGAAAGCGCAACATATGGAACCTTAACTTGTTGCGTCTCAAAGAGGCACCATGTGGTTGAGTTGCTGTCGCCAAGGTCTAATAGCCGCGTTGGCATTTTTGCTTCTGGGGGCGATGTGGCACGGTCGAGACATGCTGGGTGCTCCTTATCACAGATGCTGATCCAACGGTTCGCAGCTTGGGCAGCCGATTGAGGGGTATGCTCAGTGGGCAAGGGAGCCTCGACTTCAATCTCTATTTGGGACTTGGTAAGCTCGTATAGATGGACTGCGGAGGTTGATACTTTAACCTACGTTCAAAGAACTCTTTTCTTGTCTTCCAGAGATTAAGGAGCACCATTGGCACCTTTAACCCCTGGCCCTCTACAGAAACTGTGACAATATATGCAAAGCTTTTGGGGTTGTATGTTGCCCTTTGGATATCCACTCGGAAGTCTTGGACAGTCTCCTGATCTGGCGAAGCGATAGGCGAGGACCTCATGTTCCGCCAGATTGTCCAGCAGATGGGGCAATCAGCCTCCAGAGATTTCGTGAAAGACTCCCATGATAGATGCAGAAAAAGGTGACTTTTTGGGAGACTAGGGCTGATGAAGACGATTTGCTTTGATGGGGAAACCTCGTCAGTATCTCCAGTAGGACCTGAGGAGGGGAAATTAGGTAAGGCTTGCTGGCAGGGTGTGCAAAGACTCATGGTAACGACAGCATAGTTCTCAGTCTTTGTTCTTGAACGTGGAGGTCTTCTTCTGACAGTCGGGGCGATTGCTACTGGTTGTTATGATTCTGTCAAGGATGGGTTGATTCTCTAACTAAGTGGGGGCGTTGCCTGTGTTGCGTGACGTGGCTCCAACAGTAACGCAAAAGCATGGCATGATCTGATATAGGTACATCGCGGCAGTAATTGGTAGAGAGAGGCATTGTCTTAGGCGCGCGCTTAAGAAGGGAAATCCTTCTATTCATTCGGTTTGACTTGAGACCAGGATTATAAGTGCTCTTGTCATTCTTAAGATACTTAATAAGCTGCTGAGTACGTTCCATTCTTTCTTATAGTTATATAACCGGTACGATGACACTTTTCCATCGGAAAGAATTGCTCTTCTTATCTGTATCTAGATACTATCGTTTATCGATAAGCCGTATGCTGTATAACTCCAGCCAATTAAATACTTCTAGACTGAATGCACTGGATATAAGCATCTAGCACATACTGGACGGGAATGCGGTGACATGCCCAAATCGGCCGAGTGCGTTACAGAGGATTGCCTACCCTGTATCATAACTGAAGACTTAACTGGCTAAGTAATACGCAATCCGATACAACTGATAGACTGTTACTTAGGACTTTCGGCCATTGATTGTTCCAGCAATGGGAATGATAGGCAAATGATCTGAAACTAATAAAAATCGAGATCGACACTGGTAATGCATCTTTGCGAACGACACTTCGTGAACCCACAAAAACCACGCGACAAGAACAAGCATTGTCCTCTGGGTCTAATCTGCAATTTCTATTGGGCCCAGTCTTTTTAAGCATAGATTACTTCTATTCTTTAATCTTGGTACTACTACGAGTATTCACAATCCATTTAGTAGCCTCATCCAAGATCGTCTTGGCATACATTCGAACAACCTGACATACCACGATGTCTCTGTATCGCAATCTTCGGATCATGAAATTTCATCCCATCTCCTCTCCATGCAGAGTCATCCACATGCTCGTACCTCGGATGCATCAACCCAAGACCAGCCCTGTCCTTTTCAAAGCATCTCACACCGGCACGATTCCGCATCGACTCCTCCCCCGGACATGATGATAAAAGCAGCATAGCGCCCTCCCAACCATGTCAGCTGAAACCCCGCACTACAAATCCGGCAAACAACCCGACCTTAACCCATGCTAACAATACGCGGGTTGCCCTTCTCCTCATTAGCTTGGCATTCCTCTCATACCATCACCACCTAGCTTAGCAATGCCGTCTTGCGCTCCAATCACGAGGAAGCGCTTCTATGGAAATGTCACGCGCTGTTAATGGGCTGGTGTCTTAGCGTGTCTTCGGCATTGTTTCGTGTTTTTTCGCGAGGCAGGCGAGGTTACATCCTGAGTGCCCCATTCCCCATGGGGACCTTTTACGCTAAATGCATTGAGTTCTGGGGATATGGACTCTGGGAACGCTCATCATTGGAGCGCGAGAAGGGCGATGCGACTCTGTAGCTCCAAGCTTCTGGGTCGTTGATGAAAAGTATTAAAATCTCTTGAAATCCCCCCTCCTGTCGATCACTTCATACCCATCAGTCTGCATATCGTTGAAGCAGTCATCATGAAGCCCAAGGTTTACCAGTTCCTCGTCGGAGTGTTTGCGTCCTTTGGATCGCTGCTCTTTGGCTACGATTTGGGTGTCATCGCCCAGGTCATTGCCTCGCCATCTTATCATCGGGAGTTCGACACTAGTGACACAGCTGCCGACACGTAAGTTGCCAATCGCCGCGTCGAGACTGTTTGGACACTAACCTTTGCAGTGGTGCTGTAGTTGCGCTCTTCACCGCTGGTGCTTTCTTTGGTGCCATGTTCGCTGGACCTACAACCGAATACACCGGTCGACGATGGACTATCACCATTGGTTCTATAATCTTCACTCTCGGAGGTGCTCTCCAGACTGGAGCCCCAAAGATCTCATACCTCATGGCTGGTCGCTTCCTCGCCGGTCTTGGCGTCGGTTTCTTGACCATGATCATTCCTCTGTATCAGGCTGAGATCGCACATCCTTCCATCCGTGGTCGAGTCACAGCTCTCCAGCAATTCATGTTGGGAATTGGAGCTCTTGTCGCTTCGTGGACCGGCTGGGGCACATTCACAAACTTCAGCGACAACCGACAGTGGCGAATCCCCCTCGGCATCCAGATCATCCCCGCCGTTATCCTCGGTGCTCTCATCTTCGTCTTCCCCGAGTCTCCTCGCTGGCTTATGGACCAGGGTAAGCAGGACGACGCGCTCAAGACCCTTGCCCGCCTCCACTCCAACGGCAACGAGGACGATCCCTGGGTGCGTGCGGAGATCGAGCAGATTCAGGAAAGCATTGCCGACGAGCATGCCAACGGTGCCAAGTCATACCTCGAGCTTTTTAGGGATGTTTCTTGCTTCCGTCGCCTTTTGATCGCTTGTGGCCTTCAGGCGTCGATTCAGATGACGGGTGTGTCTGCCATTCAGTACTACTCTGTTACTATCTATGGACAAGCTGGAATTGGGCCTGGAGATGCGCTCAAATATCAGGCTATCAACTCAATCATTGCTCTAATCGCCCAGGCTCTTTGCATTGCCTTCATCGATCGATTCGGTCGCCGATGGACCCTTATCTGGGGTAACTTGTTTAACATGCTCACCTTTATCATCGCCACCATCATGCTTGTTGTCTATCCTCCCGGTTCCGGCAGTGCTGCTCAAGGCTGGGGATTCATCATCGTTACCTGGGCATACAACTTCTCCTTCTCAGCCACCTGCGGACCTCTCTCCTGGATCATCCCGGCCGAGATCTTCGATACCCGCACCCGAGCTAAGGGCGTCTCCCTCGCGACCATGACTTCTTTCGCTTTTAACACAATGATTGGCCAGGTGACTGGTATTGCAATGGGAGCTGTTGGCTGGAAATACTACCTTGTATTTGTCATTTGCAACTTCACAAACGCCCTCTGCGTCTGGGCTTTCGTTCCTGAGACCAAGCAGCTTCCTCTGGAGGAGATGAACTATCTCTTCACCAACGCTCCTTGGTTCATTCCCTTCGTCGACAAGAGCGAGTATACTGCAAACCTTCAGGCTGATCTCGCTCGCAGGGCTGAGGCTATTGATGAGAAGCTTGCTGCTCAGCATGAGACTGGAGAGCACGTTGACAAGATCTAATGTGACATTTTGGACGGATTGGGTAGTTAGATGCAGCTCCTGGCTTTTCATCAGCTAGAACTGGCAGTAGACATATCAATGCAATATAAACTATTATTAATGCTTATGCTTATAGCAACGCTATGGTATACTGTCGCGGCTCAAATGCCGTTTCACCTCCTCTGCTCTATCGGCCCCAATAAATCTCCAAGCGCCCCCCGTCTTTGTAAAATCTAGTATACTTAATTTCTCAGGAACCTTTGAAACTAAAGACTCGAGCGTCTCGTCACCCTTGGGGATTTGAGTAAAGAACAAACGATTCCATTGCTTGCCGGTTCTCTCCTCTTCAACGCGTCGTCTTCTTTGCGACTCTTCTAAAGTGCTCTTATGAGCATAAACCTTTTCGATATTATGTTGCTTGATCGCTTGAGTAACTTTGAACCAAGCCCGACGTGACTCCCAAGGGGTTTGCTCTTCTACGGGCGCCACCTTGAGAGGTGAGATTGGGATCTTGTCGACGTGAAACTCTTCGAGAGTTGTTTTAGCTGAGTCTTCAACTTTGATCTCGCCGGTCCATTGGCCTGTGATACGATATAACGGATGGTCCTTGTCATTCGGAGCAAATACTTCAGCGACGACCTGGTTCTTCTGACCGTACCCGAGTCTCCCTTTGCCGTGAAATCCAATTTTCGTCAAGTAACCGCTCGAACTGGCAATGTAGGCCGGACCCTCCATCTCTGGATATGGGTTCCCGGTGGTCACACCCTTGACCAATATTGTTGGCATCGTCATGAGACTTTGCTCATTATGCTTATGGTCTTGGATAATTGCACATCCTGTTGGACGCACGGTGACGCCATTGACCAGGCTGAAGGATGTTTCCTGACCCGCGAAGCCAATGGATGACATGCCACGCTGTTTGTTATATACAGAGCATGCTGTGACAGGCGGATGGTGCGATACTTGCTCAATCACCAGTTCCGACTTTGACCCAGACTTGTCGGAAAATGAGCCGAGGAATAATTCACCAAGAAACGGGTTCAGTGGCTTCTTGGCGGCGTCCGGGGAGTCCGCATTGACGAGCTGCTTAAGACTGCATATGTAGTTCTTTGCCAGTAAAAGAGCCCTCACTCCAGCATCAGGTTCATCTGCAGGCTGAAGAAAGAGGTCATGATGACAAGCCCAAGCAGCTGGAATCTCAATGGCTGATCTGGGAGCGAGGATGAAGGGAGGAGCAGTGACATTTGATAGGTCCCCTTTGACAGCGGCGAAATAAGTGAGCACGTCTTTGAGACGGAAGAGGTTTCCGGAATCGGTGCCGACGTCAGCCATTGATCTTGGAGAGAATGGTGGTATATCCGATGGGGATGGTGTTTCTGGTGGTGATGCCAAGGATGTATCTGGTTCGTTAGATTGATGCATTGTCTATAACAAAAACAGCTCGAACAATAGGTTATTAAGATGAACTGAAAGACAGCTCGTGGAAATAACGGGATCTGAGATTAGGTGCTGGATATCGATGATCAGGGTCTTGACGTCATTGACATTGGCGTCCGTATCGAGAAACGGTTAACGGCACAGCCCATATCGCACTCGCTAAGAAAGAAGCGAGTAAGCCAATGACACACTACAGAATTAGGCTTTGCCCCGCAATATGCGCTGAAGAGGCATCATCTCATATGCCATTCGTCTACCCTACGTATTGATACTTTCTTAAGCATGTGTATTTCGTCACACAGCCTCATTTACACACGCAAACAGAGTTAATCTTGGCTTCTCGGCAATAACACACCCCGGCTTGACTATACACTGCCTGCCAGAGCTAGAGCATTTATCTTTACTGCGTCGTCATTTTTGACGTAAGCCCTGCATGTTATATTTCAGACAGACTAGCATTGACTTCTAAGATACACAATTGTTTCGAGAGCCGTACGATACCCATAGTTGCCAAGAGTGTAGACTAAAGGGGGTAAGATGAGCTAAAGGAGGAAACCCGACAGTTATGGTTGGAAGTGCTTGAATTATCAAGATTATCAGCCTTGACAAATACATTCAAAACGCGACAGAGACAGAACTAAGAGACAGCCACGCCTCAACCGTCTCAAACTCCACCTCAATCGAGACCGTAACCCCGTCCACCGTAGAACTGATCTCCCTAGAAGACACATAAATACTAAAAGTTTCACTCTTTCCAAGCTCCCGCTCCTCCACTACCTTTTCGCTGCCATCATACACCGCCACAGTCTTGATATTTGCAGATTGCGATGTGAAATTGAGTGTGATCTCGTCCAGGGACTTGCCGGGAATGCTGCCATATACGGGCAAATACATCCAAGCTGATAGATCAGTGGCAGATGATGGTTTTATGGTCATGCTTCCCTGGCTTTGGGTTTTATTATAAGAGGTGGTGGCGGCACTGTCGCCGCTTGCTGAAAGTACAGTAGACATATTTGTTGGCTGCTTGGTCTTTTAAGCTGTTGTCAGGGCCTTTGATGTACTACTTTAACATACCAGGGTTTCTTAATTAGGAAAGTAATTACAAGACATGAGATGAAGATTCCATGAATTATATTTGTTCAAGACTCTTGTATTAGTAGCTTAAGATTAAATTATTCTGAGCTATCTCTGCAAATCCCGCAGCCCTTATACGTGGCCACTTCTGAGAGGCAGCGCTAGGAGCAATTCGTTCAAGTTCAGCTTGCACTTACTTATCATGACTCCCCGCTTATCAACAAGGAAGCAATGTGGCTGAGTTTAGGCCACAAAACAGGAGCTGAACCCTCAATTCGGCCTAGATGCAATTGCCAACGGTTCGATTCCAGCTGGCAAGCTTTGAGACTGGTGCTCTTCCTAGAGGTAGATTAACTCACCTGCGCATTCGTGATGGTCTTGTTTAATTAATAATATAGCCAGATTTCCAGGTTTCACAAATTGCTCTTAGCCTCGGCTGTTTTCCATGAGGAAGACTTGCTTCTTTTGCTTGGCGTTTGGGCTTTAGTAAAAGTTTCAGGACTCAGTGGCGTTTCAATGTAGACGAAACAGAAGGTATAAGCATAAACGCATCTTTACTTTATCTGGAAATATTCGCGAATAGTGTTGAGACCTGGGCCAGCCAGTCGCATCTCAAGTAATCAATGATAATCGGAGAATTACCAATCGTGAGACTGGCCGAGCCGAGGATCTCGGCACTGACGCTGGTTTGCGGTTTGCGTTTCTGCCTCTTTTCTTCTTTGTGTAGGAGCTGAAGCTGTAATCTTGTGTAGATGAAACGAAGATGTTGGGCAAAGACGAGAGTCCTAAATGCAAAGAAGGGTGAAGCTACGAGTATATAAGACACGGCATGGTACTCTGCTTCAGTGCGGCAAAGCTTCAGCATCAACAGGCTCAGCATCAGTCCCCTTGTCTTCGTGCCTAGCACTTTCTTTTCAATCATTATGAAGTTCTCTGCTTTGATCGTCATCGCCAGCGCGGTGGGGCATACGCTTGCCCATCCCCAGTTTCTATCAACCCGCGAATTTGTTCCCCAGGAGTGGATTGCTCCAACTCCAGACGCCTGTAAGCCCCCACAATGGAGAGTATCACTAGCATCTGTGTGTTGTACTAACTGTTTGACGAAGCTCGTGGCCCCTGCCCCGGCCTCAACACTTTGGCCAACCATGGGTACATCCCTCGCGACGGCAAGAATATCACACTCGACATTCTTAAAGACGGTATGCTTACCGGCTATAACATTGAGAACTTGGATGCTGTTATCCTCTTCACTCAAGCTATCAAGACCAGCCCCAAGTACCCCAATACCCGCAGCTTCGATCTGGCAGATCTTGGACGACACAACATCCTCGAGCATGACATTTCTCTCAGGTAGACCTTGCCATTCTACTATCCTAACAAGTACTGACCTTCGCAGTCGTTCCGACGCATTCTTTGCTGATCCGAACCCATTCAACGAGACCGTCTGGGCAGAGTCCCTTACCTACTTTCCCGACGACCTGATGACAGTCGAACAAGTCGCCAAGGCGAGAATGGGCCGCTTAGCGACCTCCAAGAAGACAAACCCTGAGCACTCGCTGTCCACGCTAGCTGACGGCTTCAGCTGGGGTGAGATGGCGTCCTTCTTTGAGATCATGGCCGATGGCACTACCGGCACGGTGGAGAAGAAGTTTATTGAGTACTGGCTGAGTACGTTTCTTCAACTTGGTATGATAAAGCTGACAAGGCGTTCTTCTGCAGAAAACGAGCGAATGCCGACGGAGATTGGATGGCAGCGACGACCTACGATCATGCGAGGAAGTGAACGTATCGAGTTTACTAGGAAGCTCATGCAAGCTGCTGGCGTTGCCCGTCGCGACATCAAGAGTAATGCTTACGGTCGTGAGCTGGTCATGTGAAATGGCAGTGGTATGTGAGCGCGGGACGTTCACGTTACTCAAAGGAGCGCAGGATTACATCGAACTCAGGAGTCATTAATGCATGCCACACTGCAATGATCAAGTAAAGATTTCTGTATCTACTACATTTGTTGTCTGACTTCTTCCTATATCTGGTTGAGAAAAGACTGCGTGTGTGATGGAATGCTACAGCGGTAAGACTTAGAAGTTCTCTTTCGGTTATTACTAGCTAGGTACTCCGTAGTTATCGTGATCTGCGTTCTAAAAAGCGAAGTGCTAGGCCTTTGGTGAGGAAGTCGTGAAATAATTCCGCGCGAGACATGTTAATTCCGCACACCATGAATGCCATGTCGTGACGGAGCAGGGATCAAGCTCGCAAACGGCATAGCTCATCGCAAGATACGGCAACAGGCGAATCAACTCTTTACACTGTGTCGTGAGATTACAGCGCGTAAAAATCGATAGTCTCGACGCAGGCGAACATTTCGGGCATAGCAACCGTCAAACCTGCACTGTAGGATATCCACGTCCGTGGTGAAGGTGGAGCCTCTGTCAGCAGCCGATCAAACAATGTCTCCAAAATCTCGATATTGCACAAGTTCAGTTCAAGAACTATCAGATTGTCTTGTTACGCTGCAATTGTTTTGTTTATTTGCCTGAATAACTTGGAACCATGCATCCTCCTGTTCTACACGTTATCTATGCCGGCCGTGGCGATGCCATGGTTCTTGAATGCGACGACAGTTCTACCCCTAATAAGCGCAACTTTATCCTCGTGGATGGAGGCCCCAGAAAATACGACTATCTGGGCGACAACGCCCCTTATCATCGATACCTTTTGTCTGCCTGCCGACAGATCATGGGCCAGAAGAACAGGTTCGCTGGTATAATCTTTTCGCACCCCCACGAGGATCATTAGGGCGGTTATCTACATGCTATTGCCGGATCCCAAGACATTGACAGTAACAATGTATTTGTACCGACTCCTGAATCTGATACAGACACAGTCAATGCATCAATACATGTGAAAGCTCAGATACGATGACAGTGGCTCAGTTCAGTATGGACTAGTTACGGACAAGAAACTTTCCGATCTTACACTGGGATCTCGTACCTTTTCGGGACGGACCATTCTTCAGCCAAACGGTCAGAAGCTCATTCAAGGGCTCTTGAACATGATGCACCGGACAGTACCAGGGACGTCGGCAGAGGACGAGATGAAACCATGGGTTGAAAGTTTTTTCGGGGGTCAGGATCTTACTTTTGGACGGCTTGATGGTTTCACTGATCATCTTCTTACTCTATGTCAAGGAGCCCATGCTATCCCCACGAACCAAGACGTACGAGCGCAGGGAGAAGAGATCTTTATGGATGAAGAGTTCTGCGAACCTTCCAGGGAAGCATGGAGGACGTGTCATCTGGAGGTCTTGATGTGACTCCATACGGGACATTTCACGACGGCTTGTCGTATGAGACCTTGAATAGCGCTCATGCAGCTGAGTATAAGAGCCGGTTCTTCCAACCAGTGACTCACGGCCAAGCACAAATTACTCAGTTCAACATTGTCGACCGTTTTGGGCAGGTCATATATGCTCATGATCCGCGACCAGAACAGCCCAAAGAGCCTCTGTATCCACACATATTGGATCTATTCTGCTTTGCGAACTGGATAGTGACGCGTTACCCAATACGGCATTCAAGACATCAGCGGGCGACGGTGAAGAGGACGGTTGCGAATGGTTTCAGCTTAGCCCACGGATCAACCAAGATGCTCGTCTCCATGCTGAATTTCTAAATGATGAGGATAGTCCTGGACCACAACCAGTGACTGATAACAACACGGCTGTATTCGCATGGCTATTGATCAACTTTCACAATCAGTCTATACAGGTCTATGACAAGGATAGGACTTTCAAGGGAGAGGTCCTGCTTCCTTCTGAACCCAACGAGTCGGTCCATTGGCATTCTCTCCTTGGGGTCGATGTCTCTTCTGACATCATATGATGCCGGACGAACATGACTTTCGACTACAAGCTCGACTAGATAAAGTAGACACGTCGGCGCTCAAAGGGTCCAAGCAGCCCATGACTCTGAACGACCTGATCGCATCAATGTCACATGCACCTTTCATCATTGGTCTTTGGAAGACCATAGTTGCTGCCCAAGATCATATTCAAGCACCGCCAGCCCAGCAATTCGCCCAGTTCCCTTCGGCTCTTGTTGGTCGTCCCGTTGCTCTCGCACATCTTTCATTGGCACTCGAGCTTGCAACTCCACCTATGCAGAGCCAAGCCTACGCCGATTATGCTGAAGACGAGGCCAACGATGTCACTGGTGTGAGTCTGTCTGAGACTGTGGATGGGGAACTCACACGATATGAGTTTGGCATTAAATTGGGCGACATGTTGGGCCACCAAGATGGGTTGATTGGCTACTTCACACATCCAGAAGCTGAGGAAGCTTGGAACATTGTCACCGACTTTTCCATCGACGATTTGTCTCTACTGAGCGTCAAACACACAAACAATGCACCTCCTCTCACCGTGTCCCCCAGCTATCCACCTGTGCTGTCTGCGGGTACTTCTGACCCCTTCAACATCACCGACGAGGCAAATAATTATCAAAAGCGGAAAGCCGAGGCCTTGCAATCTTCTCTCGTCACTGTACTCCTGGACCCCTTCCTTCCAATCCACGTACGATCAGGGATACTCCCTGCAGTTCAAGTCCAGCTAAACCGAGACGACGTGGAGCGAGACCTTCAAAATCTCGGCGTTTGATTCCGTTCAGGTCCGGTCATTATTGGGTCTCGTGGCTCAGACCCTGTCTCGGCACAAGAGGGCAAAATGCGTATAAAAATTATTAACGATGGCAACGATCCGAAAGCCCCTCTTGTACCAGTGCATACCATGCCGACCACAACGTCTGGTACGGCATGGCAATGGGTGCAGCCTGTGATGGAACACCTAAACGAAAAAATGGGGACCGATACTTTGAGTTCTGGAGTAAAATATGTGCATTTGAGTGTGACGAATCCATTAAAGCAAGGGTTTGATGCAATAGTAGGAGCCGATCACGAGAAAGCTAAGGAAGATGAATAGAAGTAGCTGTCGCCTTAAATGGATATTTACTGCTCAGGCGGAGCGAGAAGAGTACCTAAACCCAAGCACCAGATGTTGGACTTTAGTTTATAGAGTAGTGATTCCTTAAATATAAAGCTAAAAATGATTTATAAATCTAGACTTCTATACAGGGCTAAAGCTCTATTAAAAGGCTTCTAATCTCTCCAGACTATAGCTTTGCTGAGATATCGTTTGTCTTATTATGAATTTTCCTTTGAGCTACTCGCCTCATCAGGAACAGACTCGTGCTTATCCTTCTGTACTCGCGTATCAATCCAACCCGTAAAGAAGGCTGCTGCAAACATGGCCGCAGCCGACCCTGTTCCCAGATAGAAAACACGATCGATGCTGAGTGAGTAAGCCTTGATGACTCCAGTCAACTGGTCTGCAGGTATGAGCTTGCGCATGTCTGCTGCTGATGCTCCTGCTGCGGTGACTGTGGCTGGATCAATCTTGGGCGCGTAGACTCTCAACAACGACTCCAAACTGGAGCTGAAAACAACGTTTGAAAGTGCGAGGAATATTGATCCGCCGATATACTGACCCAGTACCATAAAGGACATGGCAATGGGAATCATCTGCTGCGAACATGAATGGGGAATGGCTGTGTAAGGTACTTGTTGCATAAGGCCTCGTCCAACTCCTGCGAGAAACTGATAACCAACCCACTTTCCAGTGGATGTGTATGGGTCCAAGGTACTACAGAGGCCTGTCGCGACTGTTAAGAGAGCCGTACCGATGACTGCTTGGGGTATATAGTATCCCACTTTACCAACTGAACAGCAGAGTTAGCAGAGGTCCTTATCAGATTGGGCAGACTGATCACTTACTTAGGATACCGCCCACGATGCTGAAGACAACTGAAGCCAAGATATTTGGCAACATGCTTACACCGCTACTGATAGGGCTCTGTCCACGAACTGCTTGGAAGTACACCGGTAACCAGTATGACAACATCAGCGCTGAGCCTATCATGAAGAGGGTCAAGAAGAAGCAAGCAATGACTACTCGCTGCTTCAGGAGCACCGGCGGAATCAGAGATTCATCGCCCCTATTCCAGCTCCAGGCGACGTATGCCATTAGTGAGGCAGCCGATCCGCAGAACAGGCCGATTGTTACTGCGCTACTCCACGCATAGGTAGTACCGCCCCATTGCAAGGCTAGCATAAGCATGGTAGAAGCACCCGCGAACATAAAAAATCCGATCAAGTCAAGACGCTTAGGAAGTTCACGCACTGCTTGCGCGAAGGGTGGCACGGGCTGTTGATCTGCTATTTTTATAAACAAGATACCCCCCAGGACTATGGCTCCGATGGGTAAGTTGATGTAGAAGCCTGTCAAGGTTACTGCGTTAGTTTAATATCTCATCCCCTGGAATAAGGACACTTGCACCATCGCCATGAAGCACGCTGCGTCAAGGCTCCTCCGATAAGAGGGCCACTGACAAGACCTAGTTGAGCAACTGATAGTATCAAACACGGTCAGTGATAGACAAGAGGGAAAAGAAGGGTTAGGTAGCACAGTGCACACTGACCTCCCATCATAAGTCCCATATTCACTGTCCATCGTCAGCACCAAACGAACCGAACGCATTACATGACGTACCTGATCTCTTTTCGGGGCGAATGGCCGATGCAATGATTGTCAACCCCCCAGCGAATATCCCCGCAACGCCAATGCCTGCTATCGCGCGTCCGATGATAAGAACATCCGACGAGGGCGCGACGCCGCAAACAAGCGACCCGACTTCAAAGATAGCAAAGAAGGCGAGGTAGACCCACTGCAAGAACATGTTAACACTAACCTGCGATGGTTGATATTTGGCGGCTTCTTACTTTGAGAGAGAACTGTGTATATAGCTTGCCAACCAGAGGTTGGATTACGGCGCTGGAGTAGAAGATTGGTTGGCATAGCTGGACTCAAATCGCGCAACTGGGAAGTTGCATACCTTGACAACTGATAAGCTGAGCCATACCAGCTGATGTCTTTGAGCGAGTGGAAATCGGAAGTGATTTGGGGAATAGCCTGCAAAGCTATTAACTTCTGTGCTTGGTATGCCTTGTAGGCGCACAGCACCATGACAAAGGCCACTCACAGTTGCTATGATTGATGTGTCCAGCAGTACAAGGAAAGATGCAATGGACACAGCACCCATCACAAGTAGCAAAGGCAACCCTTCCACGTAGCTCGTCCCAAGCTGCGTGGATGCATCCTCCGTAGCCGAGCTGACGTGTCCATTTGGTGGTGAAGGCTTACTCTCGATGGCTTGACTATCCCCGTTACGTGACTGGGGGCGCGACTCTCCCATGATGTTGTGGAGTAGCGGTTGTGGCTATCGCAAAATAGTCAGTATGTCAGGAAGACGAAGGTGATGGGATTACAAACAAGCAGGAGTCAAGCTGACTTTCCGAGGGAGTTTTGAGAGCATTTCAATGGCTCGTGTCTGTGCCGCGTACCCGGAGTCCCTGCTACAGATCGGCAAATCAGCAGCGTATTAGTGTAGCATGTCAGATTTTAAGCCCTGCAGAGCGCCTGCGGGCCGCGCTGACGGGGGCGTGTCTCGGTTGGCCAGGCTGATGACTAGGACTTTTGGGGGGTGTTCTATTGCATATTCTAGGTACTTCCAGGCACATTGTTGCGAATGTTACAGTAGAGTCCGTGCCTTATCATAATCTTGAGTGATTTCTCAACGTAGTATTTGTTGGTTGGGACTTGCATGATCCTTAGTTGCATGTGCGAAAATAGATTCTCAACTGAGTCAGACGGAATGAGACATTGCTGACCAGATTGAGTAGGCCGCACGATATTGTTTATCTGCCGGGGCACAACTCCTCCACTCCTTCACATATGCAACAGGCAACTTGCCGTAGCGGGGTATGCACGTAAGCGTCTGGTACAGGGAGTTTTATAACACTGTCAACACATCATAGCCAACGGCCTGTATTGCCAAGAATCAACCCGACATTGCCAAGATCAACGCAACAGTCATGAACCACACAAGCTCGACAGAGTCATTCCATCTTGGAAAGGAAGGTTACTCTTTGGATCTCACCACAGAGGCCGCCAAGATCTTGGCGATGCTGTCTCAAGACAAAGATATGACGGCGATTATCTGTAGTATCCTCGTCGTTGCATTGACGTCGTGGTATCTAGCCAGTCAGCGCAGTCAATACCCGCTCATCAACCCGCGAGGAGCCTTCCAGTTCACGCATGGCAAGGTGAAGCAGCACTTCATACACAATGGCCGACAACTTCTAGAATATGGTCTCAAGAAGCACAATGGCAGACCGTTTCGTATCATGACTGATCATGGAATGATGACGGTTCTTAACCCTAAGTATACGGATGAGCTTCGGAATATCCCACAGTTGAATCATGCACGGGCAATCGCCAAGGTGAGCTATTCGAGGCCAAAGTTGGCAGAGATTGATAGCTAACTCGTACGGCGTAGTTTGTGAACTCTCACTTACCTGGTTATGAGCCGTTCCATACTTTTGGCTACGGAGGTGATATAATTCAAGATGTAATCAAGCTTAAAGTGACTCCGGCACTAGGTACGTTCGAAATACTCCAGCGACACTTTAGATTTCATACTGACGAAGCTTAAGGCCAACTAACACACGCTCTATCTGAAGAGACATCTTTCATGCTAAAGAGCTCCTGGACGGACAACACTGGTGAGTTACTCCCCGACTTGCACAATACCAACGGCTAATTCTGGCTGATAGATTGGCACAAGATCCATGTACACTCAAATCTCCTCAGAGCTGTAGCCCAGGTGTCGTCTAGGGTCTTCCTCGGAGACAAACTGTGTAGAGACCCAGAGCTCCTCCGTATCACCACCACCTACACTCACTCACTTACAATGACGGTGGGCAAGTTAAACGCGTGGCCAGCTGTTCTTCGCCGCATAGTCCAAAGGTTTCTGCCTCACACTCGTGAACTGCAGCAATCTGTCAAGGATGCGCAAGTGCTCATAGGCGGGCTCGTCAAGGAGCGAGAAGCTATGAGAGCTAAAGGAGACTCGACAGAGTACGCTGATGTGCTGGAGTGGCTGCCACAAATCGCAAAGGGCCGCTCCTATGATCCTGCGTTGGTCCAGTTGGCTTTGTCGTTTGTTGCTATACACACTACCGCAGACATGGTGGGGCAGCTGTTGTTTGATCTGATTCAACATCCTCAGTACGTCCAACAACTACGAGATGAGATTATTTCGGTGCTTCAGGAGGGAGGGTGGAAGAAGAACTCTCTGTACAACATGAAGCGCCTCGATAGTTTCATGAAGGAGTCTTTGAGAATCAGGCCCATCAACCAGAGTAGGTCTTGTCAGACCACTTCTTGCACAGAGTTTATCACTGACCTACCATCCACCGCATAGCTACCATTCAAAGAATTGCTGAAGTACCAATCACTCTCTCAGACGGCACAAAGATCAGCCAAAACACGCTTTCTATCGTCCCTCTTGTCCGCCATTGGGACCCTGAGTACTATCAAGATCCAAACACATTTGACGCTTTCAGATTCTACAACGCTCGCCAGGAAGAGGGCAAGGAGAACAAATCGCAATTCGTATCCACTTCCCCAGAATACCTCAGTTTTGGCCATGGTCTACATGCTTGTCCTGGACGCTTCTTTGCGTCCAACGAGATCAAGATCATTATGTGCCATATCTTGCTCAAGTATGAATGGCGATTGGTGGAGGGCGCCAAGTCCCCACAGACCTTGAAGCATGGCTTCAGTCTTGTTGCAGATCCATTCAGTTGTCTCGAGATCAGGAGGAGACAGGAAGAGGTTAATATTGATATCTTATAAGTATCAAATAAATCGAAAATCCATTTTATTTAAAATGCCTATTCTTTTAAGAAGGCTACCTCAATTGCAGATATACTTTTAACAGTTTATAGATTATTTCCTTAAATTAAAACACTTACATAAATTTTTAAAATCTTAATACTTAAGAGCTCCTAAAGATAAGCAGTATGCCTGCAATTATTATATAATGTTTCCCCCCTCATCATTCTGCAATTTATTTTAATATTATGGTTATGTTATGTTATATTCTCAATTTCTTGCAGAACGTAACTCAACTCCAGGGCAAGTTGAGAAGCAAATGTCGTTATCGATAAGGAGTGACAAACCAGGTGACTAAACCAGATTTGGTGAGATCGTTATAAACCCATGTTAATACAGTAAACTTTCACCGAATCAATAATACGATCCAGTCATCTGTGAATTCTCAGATCATCCTTTCAGTATAATTAAACCTGCTTCTCGGTGCATTTGTGCCAGGCAGTAAGACTGTTCACGGATATTCGGCACAAGATAATCACCAACCAACATCCCACGAATCCTTTTACCCATTGCCTTGCATATAACAGGCATCACAATACCTTGCTGATGCCCCCAACCAACCACGCACGCCCCTACCAGAGAAAAATCCCGGTCGGACCTTGCTGACATGCATAGTCTAGTGGTTATTCGTATAGCGCCCATGCGTCGGGGGATCTGCAGACCCGCGCCCCTTTACAAGTTCCCGTGTCCCGTACCTACTTGAACTAGCTGTTGCTCGCTACAGGCCATTTTGTGCTTCTTACTGCAGTAGTCTAGATCAATCCTTTATCTGAGAACCCCTTGTAACTCGCCTGATTTCTGCAGAGGATGTTATATAGGGTTGCATTGGCGGCTCATAAGCTTTATTAGCCTATACTTTGCTGACCGGGGCGGAGGCGAGAGCCTACCGGATGCGAGTGGGGTGGTCTACTGTGGCGTTACATGGCAAAAATCATGACTGCCAACAGCATATACTCCATGTTGATTGTGAACACCGATGTGCCTCTTACTACATGTCAGGAAGATTGCTATTGATAGTAAGATACCATTGATAAGCTAATACTGCACGTGCAAATAGCCACGTAAGGCTTCATTGCGACAGTGGGATGAAGGATTCTTGTGATTCCCCTGTACTGGCTGGTTTCATCTCAGCGTGGGATGGAGAAATCCCTACAAGCCTGGGAGTTACGAGTTAGGACTGAACTGACCTAGAACATGTAAGAAAACGTGACCTGTACTTCTAGACAATTCCGGCGTAGAGACCTACCAAGTCTATTTACAGCCGAGGCAGCAATAAAACACATCCTTACGCATGGTTCAGGCCTTTCACACAGCATTTCCCATATATTTGTCGCTTAAACCTGAGGGGCGTCTCATCACAGAGCAGCAAAGTAAGCCTATCACACACACGCCCACAATGTCTGCAGCTCCTCCAACCCTTGGAAAGCTCGCCACTATTCCAGAGAGTGAACACAGCGGGCCCCCGCAAGTCATCTCTGTCGGACTGTGGCGGATGGGCACTGCATCTATGGCCGCTGCGTACGATATCCTAGGCCTACGACCTCATCACGCTTTAGACATGGTCGATCAACCAGAGCAGTGGAAGCTCTTTGAAGCTGCCGCAGACGGAAGTTTTCCTGATCCGCGCACTGGCAAACTCAAACGGCCACCGTTTTCCCGCCAGGAATGGGACCAGATCTATGGAAAATACGGCGCTATCACGGAGCTTGGATCGGCCTTTGCAGAGCAGCTTATCGCGGCGTACCCAGAGGCAAAAGTTGTCATCTGTCGCCGTGACTATGATAAGTGGTGGCCCAGCTTTCGCGAGGGTATTGTTCTGCCACTTTACAGCGCCAAACTCCGCTTCGTCATCTACACGATCTCTTTCGTGCTGGGCCGACGCGGCGGACATGCCATGATAAAGACAACGGAAGGCTTTTTCCGTTCTTATTCTGTACAAGACTTTGACGCAAACACAGAAGCTGTGTATGACGTGTACTTCAAGAGGATTGACGAGTTGCTCCCTCCAGAGCGCAAGTTGGTCTATCAGCTGGGTCAGGGATGGGAGCCTTTGTGCGAGTTTCTGGACAAGCCTGTGCCGGGAGTGGAGTTTCCGCGCATTAATGAGGCAAAGGCGCTTAAGGAGCACCAAAGGGCGGCGATGGAGCGGTGGTTGACTGCGAGCTGGAAGGCTGTTAAGCCATGGCTGATTGGAGCGCTTGGCCTTAGTATCGCTGTTGTCGTGGCTAGAAAGAAATTGTGATTTGATAGGCCAATGATGAGTTTTACTCGTACGGATTAGAGTCTCGTGAGATTCGAGACAAAGGCCGGTAATTATAATCGTGGCGCCGAATACGATAAGAAGTGAAAGGTCATTGAACGATACAAGATTGTCAAAAGCGATATATCAATCTTAGTTACAGATAAACAATGACTCTATTTGCTGATGAAGTCTGACGACGACTTGCGAGTATCTCTTATCTATTTCTTGTCCTTTACACCGATAACACCGGCCAAAACGCTTTGGTAAAAAGTGCCATCAGGACCCAAGGTCCCCTCACTCCAATTGTCGTTAAAAGTACCACCCATACCGGTCCTATACTGATAAGTCGTCTTACCTGTAAGCCAGTCCACAGCAGCAAGATACCACACATACTCTCCCTTCACTGCTCGCTCTGTATCCTGTACCGAACTATATAGTAGTCCGCTCTTAGTTGACAGAATAGACACCGCCTTAACAGCCAGGTCAGAGTTCCATCTTACGCTACACTCCCCTTTGGGTGTGACGTCAACTCTGACCATGCCGCCAGCCATACTGCTCATATTGTTCCAGGGACCGTTCAGCACGAAGGGAACTCCCGGGCTGGAGAGACGGACTGGCGGGGCACCGTAGTTGTTCTGGATCATGACACCAAAATTCTTCCCGTCAAAGTGGGCCAAGGCTGCATTGTCGTTATTGCTCTTACCAGCTTCGAAAAGCGGCACCGAGCAGACGAGTTGCTCCTCGGCTGACTCTTGGGTCTTTTGATGGTACACCAACAAATTGACCTTTGGGTCGGCATTGTCCGTAATAACCACGAACTTGTCGTCTAGCAGCACAGGCGTCGCTCCCGTTCCGCGAGCGATCTCACCAGGCTTGCCTCCAGCCCCAGAGTCATAGGGAACTTTCCACTTAACATTGAGATCGCTGGAGCCCGTTGCGTCCATGGCCCACATGTAACCAATAGAGGTGGAGGTATCAGCTTCTCCAGAAGGACCAGTGGCCATATAAACATCCATGCCGCTCACGGCGATGCCATTCTCGACCATCTGGTTCTTGACGCGTCTTTTGATCACGGCACCGTCTGGCTTGATGTATCCGAATGTTGATGAGTTCTGTGGCGGGTCTCCTCCACCAATAATACCACCAGTGGTAAACCAAATATTGCCCGCTGCATCATACATAGTATTAAGCAGGAGTTCCCATGGTTTAATGACACTTTTGAGATTGATGTTACGCGTGATCCTGAAGAAAGGGTTACCCTTGCAGATCCCACGATGCACAACATAAACATTGCCTTCTTTGGTACTAAGCAGGATATCATTGGTGTCCTGCATATACTCCATGTACGCAAGACCAAGGGTCTCGTTGTCGGGAGGATACCAGGCTGCATTGATCTGGTATGTAGCAGGGTCAACGGCAACGAGACCACGTGGCGGAGGCAGGCCTACAGACGCGTTGGCATAGCCGGCAGTTAAACTACCATCTGCTCCCCACATCATGATATTGATGGTGTTTGCACCGCTAGTGAGAGTCGTGTTGACTCCTAAGGGGCCGGGATAGTCTGTGTTGCCGGTGTTACCTCCATCTCCATGCATGAGCGATGCTTTGGGATAGATGGGGAACTGTGATCTCAGGAATTTGTTTTTGGCAGATGAGCCAATGAAAGCTGGACCATCTAGATTCTGGCTGTTCGATATAGATCCCTTTTGTGAAAAGGGGGTATATACTGGAGCATGCTATAAAGTTCAAGATATGTGAGCCTTTCTGTAACCTCTTGTGAGAGATGCGAGCCTACCTGACACTCTCCATTCTTTCCAGTATATGCCGTCAGGCCCAGAAGGCCTGCCAAAGCCACTACGAGACCCATCATGTCTTGCAAGTCAGACCTGTGTGCTAATTGCAGAGAGAATAGATGCCAGGCGTATTGTGGCAGATCGAGAAACCGATGACAAGCAAGTTAGTCAACAACCACGCCGGTCTCGCAGATATCACATAAAGGCTGTGTCTGATAAATAGATACGTGCCTAATCAGGATTCAGTAGGATTCGTTTGTTGAATCATACGAAATCCTGCAACGCAAAAGAGCGCCACGTATCATTTCTCCGCGCGCAGGCTGTGATCCTAAGAAGCATGTACTTGAACGTATCGTAACATTCCGAGCCTTTTCGGCTGCAATGGCCCCCACGTAATACTAGGGTGTGATTTTATCCCGCCATCAAGATTCACATCTATCGCTACCACAGCAAAACACGAAGCGGTAAGGAATTCGCGTTGCAGAGATTGAATCCTGCGCGGAAACGGATGTACCTCCGGGCGAGCGGACGGCGGATAAGCAATCCATCGCGAGAAAATACATATCTTATCGTCCTGAACGGCAGTCAGCACGCATCCTGGATGGACAGCAAGGCACAGAGCGGCACAGTCAGCATATGATGGCGCAGTCCATGCCTTCCAATTGGGCGATAGCAAAAGAGTCCTAGACCCCATGCTGAGTGAAGTCACCCCGCCCTTTACTCGAATCTGCATGTTGGTGGCTACCCTGGATCTGCATATCTGCATGCATGGACCGTCCCTGTTTACCCATTTGCGGGGGCGTGGTTTTCGCGTAGTCCTCCAACTAGGAAGACGTAACCGTTTGGTCGGTTATATGAGTTTCTAATTTGTGGGATCGCAAACCACAAGCGACAAGGGGAATTATGTCGTAGCGTAGAACGCGTGCTTGAAGGCGGTATTATTTGTGCTGCGCGGAGAAACAATCCTTGTTTATCACGGTTTTATGTCATATAAAATACAACCACATCAAATCACCGTCTTTAGTCATGAAGTTGCATATGTCATAAGCTTAATTCTATACGACAAGTAATTGGAATAGATCTCTTGGACGTGACATATTTTTGACTTAGAACTATCGAGTTTACTGGAAATAAATGTCTACTCCCGCTGAACAGGCTTCCACTGAACCAGTAGCGGAGCCTTAACCCATGTCATCTTCCACAAAGAATTAGCCGCCCAGTCAGATCCAATGCTCTCGTCCAATTCCGGATCAAAACTCCACAGAAGCTTGCAGATAATGAGCCTAAGCTCTGTTTGCGCTAGACTCTGTACCGTCTTGTTAGAAATAGTACTAGCAGGGGACAAGTGAACATACCTTTCCGATGCAGTTACGAGCTCCAATACTGAATGGTTGGAACGCGTCGCGCTTATCATGAGCGAAGCGCTCGTCGCCCAACCATCGCTCCGGGATAAACTCATCAGGTTGAGCAAAATTGCGGCTCGAGCGGTTGTTTGGGTACTGAGATACTTGTACTCCTGTCCCCTCGGCGATGTAACAACCACTGATGAACTCACCACCCTTACCTACTCGTCGACCAAAGCCGACGGCTGTGGGGGTTTGGAGGCGGAGGGTCTCGTTGATTACGCCTGTCAGTATGGGCATGTTGCTCACAGTCTCTGGGGCAATGTCCTCGTATGAGGCGAAGCGGCCACGAACTTCTTCCTTGAGCTTGCTCATGTAGATTGGGTGTTGGCACAGGAAATAGATGGACCAGGTGAGGACATGGGCTGTGGTGTCTGAACCTGCAGTCAAGAACAGACCTGAGTCGACATGAAGCTCCTTGTCCATGACGCCCGTCTTCTTGAAGCCTACCGTTACATCCTTCTCATCGCTGACCTCATCATCACGGACCCTAATAACGTATGAGAGGAAATCTTTCTTCCCCGCCGTGGGCCCACGCTCTACACGCGACCAGGTCTGCTCGTTGAGCCACTTGTCGTGGTTGACCCAGGTGGTGATCTGTTCCTCGCTGAGAGCATAGCCGGTGAGCTTATTCAGCAGGGGATAGCACCAGAGGACGTAGCAGAAGCGGAATGCCAGCAGGCCATCCTGAACAATCTTGACGTTTTTGTGCGTTTTCAGGTCGCGGAGGTTACCCAGAGATTGCCCGTAGATGAGAGTAGAGACGATATCGAACCTGTTGTTCTGTTAGCAATGGAAGTCTTGTCTCCTCGGATGATAGATCTCACATTGTCCAGCTGAAATATTTGCACATATCTACAGCACCGCTGGCTTCCCTCAACCGCTCAACGAGCAAGTCAGAGACAGCTTGAATAGTTGGATATTGGTCCGCCAGTGACTTATCACTAAACGAATGTGCCCAAGCTCTTCTTCGACGGTGATGAGGCTCGTCATGCTCAAACAAGAGACTTTGTACACCCTCGACCGGCGGAGCGTACCAAGCGGGGTCCTTCTCCAGTGTCGGATGGCCCTTGAGCTGTCCCGTGCGATGACCGTAGATGTCGGTCCAGGCTGTGTCGCCTGATATGAATGAAACCTCTGATATAGAGTAACGGACGATGTCACCGTACTTCTCGTGAAGGTCACGCAGATAGAAGGGTGCGGTACCGTCTAGATGGTGTTTCAAGTATGGGATACGGGATATGGCGTTGAGTTTCGGCCCGGGCACATGGCGCAAGGGATGGAAGAAAGCATTGTATATCGCTTGGACAACGAGGTACAGTGTAATCTGAATGAAAGACACGTACGGTCAATAAAAACTTCACAATGAGAATCTCTGATGCCATGAGTGATCATCACTTACAGCGGCAAGAGCCAGTAGGGACGAAACTATAATCTGCATGATTGCAGTATTGATAGGAAGTCAGAAGAGTGGTTCAGCGATACGGCTTGAACGACCTGTCTATCAAAAACAAAGAGAAATGGGGTATAGAGAAGAATAGCTGAAAGAACTGGCTACCTTGATAGACGACCACAAGAGACAGATTGACCTTCTCTGAGCACTGAGTGAGATTAGGCGGATCTGATAATCTGGATGACAGTATGACGAGCGCGTGGTGCTCGATAAGACAATGTACTTGGAAGTACGGAGTAGGCGGTAGGTGGCGCTTACAAGAACACAGGGGTCCTCATCTTCTGTGAGCCTGGTGATACAAGTAAGAGCGCATATTCCATATCACATCCCGGCAGGGATATGCAATACGAGCGATGACCCGGATGGAGGATGGGATTGATGGATGAGGATCGCATGCATAACAACAAGGATCGGCAACTAAGCGCCGAGTCCGAGAATCCCTCGGCACACTGAGCTCCAATACTCACCCACGTCGAATCGATCATGTAGGACTCTATCTCCGTTGAATCTGAGTCATACCAAGAGGAGCGGCTGTACTTGAGGGGTCGGCTATTTAGGGTGGGGGGTCCTCTTATAATCCCTGCATGGCATACGTATAGAACACTTGGATTGATCTGCAGAGTGCTTGTTGGTGCGACGAAGCTGACATGCATACGGGGCCTCCCAAAAGAACCCGGTAGCCAAAAGGATTGCGCCCTCACGCCGGGACTTAATCCGGCAAGCCCAGAATGTGTGAGCGCATTGCGATGTTACATGCCGAGAGCAAATGAGGTATTTAGTTTTCATAACTGGGGTCTACCAACAGGATCTTCAAGGTTTGACTATCGCTGACAGGCGTTAGATAACGCTTAACCCCTCAAAGTAACATTGCATCTGTGCTTACTCCAGTGACCAAATCTGCCCGACCTACATGAATGAGATGCGAGAGTTATGCATAGATGTAACTGGAGTGAACATTGCAACTCACTAGAACCCTTCAAGCCAGGATGTAGATATGCTCAGTCCAGGGCGTGATGGTTACATGCACGGACACCACACGCATTTCTTACCTGACCTATCGTTCCAACCTCCTTTTGGAATAGGTGTAGTTCCGTTACCTGATACTTCGGGAGAAGCCTGAAGGAATGTGCATCGCCCAGTCAGTTTCCGAAGTTGGTGGTGCGGGACGTGCGGGAACAGAACACCTAGGGTCCATCCTAGGCCATACGGGATTCCGCCTCGGATCAGATCAGGGGGTGACTGCCTTGGATGTCAGAAGGTTTCTTATGTGGCGGAAAAATGCCGTCATCAAAGTGTCTCAGTGTTATTCCTGTGCCATGAATGCACGTTAGTACAGGTGCATGCATGGGATAGATACATATTCTTACCACCTGAAAATCCTATGCTTAGTCTAGATTCGTTGCCTTAGAGGGCTAGGATGTTTCAACGAAGCACGAGATATCCAGATTCTTTGCTATCTGAAGGATGATATGACTTTGTTGACACAGCCTTGGTGTATCTGAGTATCATGATGTACCATAGTTTTGAGGCAAATGAAACCTGATCCTCCTTTTCATATCCACGCCCCATGTATTATAATCGGACACCAGTCAAAGTCAACGACCATCGCCACATCCAACACTTGCTGCAAGTTAGAGAAGGTGGATCGAAACACGGCGACACTGGCGCCTAAGCCTCCTTGACGGGGATAAGGACTACGGAGAGAAGCCTGCAGTGAGAATGAGCACCAACGTCCGGGCAAGAGGATTATTTTGAGGCCAATTTACACTCTAAATGAATCTAAGATAACCCCAGCTTCTAGTAGAACTAGACTCCGATTTGTGTATATAATATAGCCTGTCCACATTGTACCACGATTCCACCTTAGTCTCAGTGTAGGCCTACACCAACATCACACCATCCACACTAAGAGGCCACCGGCAAAATGGAGCACAAACAGTCAGCTATCTCGGTCTTGCCAGAGGCGAGCATCGACCCAAACACTGTGCAACAATCGATGCAGAATGTATCCATGCCAACCATCGGCGGCTTCATCAAGCAGAACCCTGCTGTCGACTACTTGTTGAAAGCCGATGGCCTTCAACTCTTGCAAGCTTCCTTGGCGGCGCTATTTGCTTATCTTTTGATTTCGTCTCTTACTGTCAAGTCTACTGTTCCTGATGGCGTCTCATTTCCATGGTACGTACGATCTTGCTCTTGGCGTTGAGATGTAAGCATTGACATGTCGCAGGGTTGATACCAAGTCCAAGAGCTTCTTTGCCAATTGGCGTGTGGGCAAACTCTATGCTCTCAATAGTGTCCGACAGTGGTTGGCGCAGGGCTCCGAAAAGGTACACCTATCCTGAATTTCTATACAAACCTATCCAAGCCTGAGTGACTAACACTACGGATTCAGTTCCTTGAAAAGGGGAAAAGCTACGCCCTTCCTGACTTCTATGGCAGAAGGCCATACATCATTGTCCCCTACCACAGGACCAAGCTTTTCCTTGACCGCCCCGATGATGCCACCAGTCTGAGGGATGCGGCCAATGACATCGTCGTATCTGACTACAGCTTTCCCGATTCCAAGATCTTCCGTGACCACTATGGAGCTCAGATCATGTACCGGCATCTGCCCCGCGCTCTCCCACGTCTCGTTGGTGAGATTTGGGACGAGGTCACTTACATCTGCGACAAGGACTGGGGCACCACTCCCGGCGAAGTCAGGGAGATCAGCACGTACCACAAGTCTTTCGAGATGATCGTGTCTCTCGCTAGTCGAATGCTACTTGGTACCGTGTGTAGTCGCAGCGAAGATTTCCTAACCAATGTCAGGGAATTCTCGCTCGATGTATTCAGGTGCATGGCTCTCGACGCGTTGCTGCCTCGAGGACTGACTGGTATTCTCGGCCCGTACCTGGTATCGTTGCCTAACAGATGGCACGTTAACAGGATTCACAAACACACCATGCCCTTAATCAAGAAGAGATTAGAAGATCTTGCCTTCAACGATGCAAACCCAGACAAGAAGCGTGCGGTCCCTGATGATTACATCTCGTGGCACATCCGCTTCGCACAGACAGAGAGAAACCCTGCTGCCCTTGAACCCTACTACATTGCTTCTTCTATGTTGTCCATGCAGTTTGCCACAGCATCTAGCACTCGCTATGCTCTGACGAACCTCTTCTTGGATATCTTCTCCACGAAGCCAGAGGAGGGTGTCGTTGAGTCTCTTCGCGAAGAGATCGAGCGCGTCTACCGTGAGCATGACTATACCTGGTCCAAGCAAGCATTGGGCAAGCTGTACCGTGTGGACTCCGCCATTAAAGAATCTCTCCGCTACTCTGGTCTCATGGCTCATGGATCGTGGCGAAAGGTCGTGGCCAAGGAGGGCATATTCGACGACGAGACTGGTACAACTATCCCATGCGGTGCAATGGTAGGTCTTGATTTCTGGACTCGACACCATGATCCCAAGGCATACCCCGACCCAGACAAGTATGATGCGTTCCGGTTCTCTAGACCTAGGGAAGAGTACGTGGCGGAACATCCCGACGAGAAGGCTACCGAAGAGTACCTCCGCCTAAAACGCCTTGACTGTACCTACACAGGTAGTGACAACTTTTTGATTTTCGGCCTTGGAAAATATGCTTGGTAAGTTTTTCACGAGTAAACAATTTCCACTTAGGGCTTTTTGCTAACTCTAGGCGGCTACCAGCCCGGGACGTTTCTTCTTGACGATGGAGCTCAAGCTTATTTTGGCATATGTTATCATGAACTATGATGTGGAGCCTATGGCGAAAAGACCATCGAACTACTGGGTTGGTGGTCTGATCTTGCCATTACGAGACACTAAGATTAAGGTCCGAAGACGGGAAGGTACTGTTTAGTATATCAAATAGGAGGCATAATGTGACAGTTGCAAGCATTCCAGGGTAAGAGGTCTAGCCTCGTTGGTGGATTCAGAAGCCTGTCTGTATTGAAAGATATAAAGGGACAGAATCCCATCAAGACCTTAGCTGTTTGACGCCCTTTTAAGCTGAATTTTGCACTTTTTATCTTTACGACCTTGGCAAGAAGACGCAAAGTTGATGGAATGCCAAGCTGGTCTCGGATGGCTTTGATCAGGTCGGTTGGTTTCAGCCATCTTTCTCGGTCTTCTGACCGCCTCTTGATAGACTCATCCAGCTGCATTGGTGCTATAGGAATATGAGACCAGTCTGGGAAGAGGCCGATGCAAAGAAAGCCTGGTGCGATCAAGCCTCTCGTTCTGGCGCACTGCATTAGTAGTGATTGGTGTTCTTTTAAAAATAAGTGACGATTTTAAAAGTCTTACTAAGTGGGCAGTATAAAATGAAACAACTACAAGGTATTTATTTCTTACTCGCCAACCTCTCTATCGATATCCCAGTGCGCATACTTCATAATGCCCCAGCTAAGTGTGGCAACTCTAATCTTATGACCCCAGAAGAAGAGAGGGATCCAGAAGACTAAGACACCACCGCAGATAGCAGCCATAGTTCCATAGGCAGTTTGATAACCGGCCTCATTGACCCAAGGGTTAGTATAGAAACCAAGTAAGAAACCAAAAGCGGATTTGAAGGCGAGCTGAGTGACAACTATTTCACCTGCAATTGGTCGATAGCAATCAATAGTGTATACGAGGGAGATATTGGTTGCCTGGGTGATACAGAAGTTGACTAGATTATTATCAGCAAGCATTTTTAGAGAACGGTTGAAATTGGAGCAAAACTCACTTAAGCCAATGCCAATGGTTGGTACAATCCAGTGCATTTTGTGCTCGATACCAACGCCATAAAGGACGAGTGCTAATGGTCCGCAGACTACGCTGAGCATAATAGCTGGTAGACGGAATTCGGGTTCACGAATGCCACCGTTACGACGGGTGAAGATATCAGCAATCCAATCAGAGAACGAGCCGCCTAGGAACATGCCGATAAATGCACCAATAACAGCAGCAAAGAACGCCAGACCAGACTGCCAAGCGGCAAAGCCGTAAGCAGTGGCAAAGGCGGGAGCCACATTCGATGTGATTGCGGTGATGAAGCCAATTGTGACAGACATAACAAGTGTAGCCCAGAGAACATTGGGCAAAGCTAGGAGCATCACGGGACGAAATATCATTTTCCAAAGTGACTCTTCCGTGAAGGTGCCGTTATAAAGCTTGAGTCCGCTCCAGAGAAACTCAGAGACCTTGGGGGTAGGCCTGAATAAACGGCGGACTTCCGCGTGCTCTGCGCCAGCCTTGACGCTGGACCGACTACCTTCGGCATCATTAGCATCTTCACGGGTAAGAGGCTCTGGTTTTCTGATGTAGGCAGTTTCTGGGAAGGACAGGTAGACCAGAATGGTAACGAAGCCAATGATAGCGATAGCAACGTAGTAGATGTACCTCCAAGGGTGGTATCGAACAATAAAGCCATCAATGATGGCCCCCGAAGCAACACCAAGGTTGAGCGAGGCGGTATAGGCGCTATAAGAACAGAGAATGTTAATGGAACCATACAGAACAATATGTTTGAGAATATAGGGAATAACTTACGCAGTCCATGTTCCGCGTTCGTGAAGGAAGAACAAGTCAGCAATGGTGACAGGAGCAAGACATTCGCCTGCGCCAGCTGCAAAACCCATCATGATTCGAGCAACAAGAAAGTTGGCATATTTCTTAGCTACGGCACACCATATAGCCGTAATGACATATAGAGTGAAAGCACATACATATGAGGGTCGACGTCCATACTTATTTATTAACGGCATCCAGAAAAGGTTTCCGAGACCCTGGAATAAGGCAGTACAGTTGAAGAAGTAGGCAGTCTTGGCGATGGGACCGTCGAGACCAGTCTTCTGCCAATCGGGGAAGAAGTCTTGAGCAGTCTCGACAATAGCAAGTGTCGGTCCGGCAGCAAGGAAGTTGCACATGAGGATGGCTAGACACACGGCAATTGCTGTGTATGTCTTGAACCACCTTGGCCTGTTTGTTTATTGTCAGAAGTCGTGTCTACCGTCTTCATATAGAAGCCGTGTGACCAGGCTTCAAAACCAAACTGAGAATAGATTGCAGACGAACCAGTTCAAGGGATCCTTGGGATCCAAAGACGGAGTTGGCACCAAAATGATTTCTTGAGTATCGACATGGCGGAGACGTACATGGCCAAGAGTGGCAACGTTGGTATCAATCTCCCTGATGTCACCTGCCGTCACTGCGTGAGCTGACGTACTCGCGCTGTCGTGAGCCATGACGACTGTGTTTGCCCGTGAGGACAAGATCAGCAAGTAGATTTTGTTATGACGGATTGTCAAATGGATAACCCAGAGATGCAAATGAATCCAGGTCACTCAAAGAGGTAAAGAAACTATAAGGTGCGATGGCTGGCTGACCCTAGCAAGCAGCAGTTGGCAATGGGCAATGGTGTTAGCTTTTATAGAGCTCGCGCTGCCATGCGGTGTCGCGCAGACACAGTCTGCTGTTGTCCTTATTGGAATAGATTTAATAGTTGCTTCAGGCAAATCTCCTTAGAGTGTCGGAACGAGTTCGGCCCCTCATCCATCAGAATGTGGAGGAACTGTTCTTAAGTCTTGAATCTAAACCTAGGCTTACGATTTATTTTTTTAATCTCTGATTTACTTTATATTATTATTACATGTTTTACACACTTTATAGTACCTCTTTAATAGTCTCCATTTTAATACTTTTTATACTGCCTGTATAAGAGATGAATAACGTTTTAGAGTTAGGTTTAAACAGTATAACTTACAATATACTATTCACTGACCAAGTAAGGCATATAGGAAAATGCGCCATTAACTCGCCCTTCCGATGTGGAGTGTTGTAGACAGTGACACTTATGTAGTCTGCATCCACGATGTCACTCTGTCCTCATCCATCTGGTTAGATTTCCCCGCACTCTGATAGTTCCCCAGATTGTGCCCAGTCTGGGGTAACCGTTAGCGCTATGTAGATCCGCCCACAATTCCGAATAGCTTCACCAAACCTCGTTCGAGACCCGAGACCTCCCCCGACAACCCTGTCCGCTTCCAAGACTCGGCAATCCGGCTACAGGCTTGAACCCCTAGATCTAGTATAAGCCTGCTAAACTAGACGATTAGTGGCATAGCGAGATGTGATGGGCCAATTAAGCTTGCAGCTTCATGAACCCTAGCCGCGTCATTGCACAATTAGAGGAGTCGGCATGTGGAGAAAATCCAATCTCCGCAACTTCGGCTTGTGAGAATGGAACATATTCATCTGAAAGAAGGGGATGGGCTAACAAGTAGTATAAATCATAGCGAATTCATCATGAATCAGGAGTAATTATCATTACTGTTGCAACAAGACCTGCTCAACTGCCTTTTCATCACCTGTTGCACAACTGTTCGATCGATATGTTGTCTCCAATCACTCTCGTAGCCTTCTCTGCAGTGGCTCTGGCCACTGTTGAGGTCCAGGACCCTTCCAATATCATTCCTGCGTCTGACTGGGCCGCTGATAACGCCCTCATTGCTGATTACAATGCTCCGTTCCCAGCAAATGGGCAGCCAACAGACTGTGAGTCGCCTTATTTGGTCTCAGACAATTTGCATATACACAAGACTAATGTACCCGCGGGATGGATAGTGATCGGCGTGCATGACTTCAAGCACAAGTCGGTTTCAGTCGACCATGTGACTTGGCATGCCGACAAGAACGATACCAGTATCGTCCTGGTCTCCAAGAATGCTGACTTCGCTGCGTCTTATTCCACTTTCATCAAATCTGGGTACTATTCAAACTTGAACTGGGCCAGCTTCTATGGCTTTAATGCTGCCATAAACGTTGTAAGTTTCCTTCATTGTGCAAGGCGTCATGGGTGCACAGCTGACGTTCCTTTCTTCCAAGGCGAATAATTCCGTCGCCATCCTCGATCATGTTAACATCACCGTTCACAACGGCGCTGCCAATGTGTACTCATACGGGACAGGCACCGTTGTCAACGTGACCAACAGCTGGCTATATTCCAGTGGACCTGTGAGCCATGGCCTTTATGCATCTGGAAACGGCACCATTCATGCCAAGAACCTGCAGCACTACTCCGGGGGCCATCGCTCTAGCGCCTTCTCGGGAGACAGCCCAGCTGGCTACATCTACGTCGAGGATTCTGTTTCGCACGTTCGTGGAATTGGCTCCGCAACCTACTATGCTCTCGGTGAGATCCATGCAACTAATGTTGCCTCTGTCTCTGAACAGGGACCTGTTGTCTTCTCAGACGGGAAGCAGAAGATCTACCTCAAGGACTGCTCGGCTCAGGCCGGTCTGCTCGGCGGCGCTGTCCTCTTCAGCAGCTCCGAGCGTCGTGCTGGTGCGGTGCTGGATCTCGAGGATACCACTATCATTACGACCGGCAAGACCATGCCTGGCTTGTGGTTTGGCAACGTTATTGCCAATGCCAGACTCAAGAGCGTACAGCTGAACACTGCTTCTGGAATTCTTGCTGTTGCCAACTTTTCTCAAATCACCCAGGACTTCAATTACTATGGTGGTTATGTCGACAACCCGTCAATGAAGGCCGCGGAGGTCAGCCTGAATGTTCTGGAGTCATCGTTGTCCGGTGATCTTATCGCATACAACAAGAGTTCTATTTCCCTGTCCCTCACACAATACAGCAATTGGAAGGGAACTGCCCGAGTTGGGTATAAGTCGGCCTCTTTTGGTGTCTCCCTTGACGCCAGCAGCGAGTGGACACTAACTGCTGACACGACTCTCCAGAACTTCACCAACTTGGACACCTCTAACAGCAATATCCAAAGTCGTGGATACAATATCTACTATAACTCTTCTGCATCTGCAAACAAGTGGCTTAAGAGTCGAACTATCAAGCTTCCTGGTGGTGGAAAGCTTGAGCCAATTAAGAACAAGACAGGCTATTAATTAATTAAGAAGAAGTAGCTAAGTAATATTATATCCTTTGATAGTAAATCACATATGGTTCCAAATAAGGACGATGCCAGCACATCGCGGCTGGAATGCTGTTTGTCTCAGAGCTGTAAAGAGAGGGTGATAAGCTGTCGGCTTGAAAGCCGTCCAATGACTGTATTGTATCAACAAGTTCCTCAAACCTTTCTCTCTTATCTAATCAACAGCAGATGAAGGAAGAAACACTGCCTCGGCTATTTGTCTCGAGCGATCCAAGGCAGATTCAACATCAATCCTGCAGAGAGTACAGAACCGTGACGTGTCTTCTGTGGAGCTTGTTATGGTCGAGAAAGTCATATTAGCTCCATTGCGCGTATAGATCAGCCAATTACCTGCCATAACTAGTTGCACTTTAGGTGGCTTAGCTGCATTTGTTAATATCAGTACCGTACTAAACACGGAAGAACAGGCCCCAGAGCCCTACCACGGACGCTCATGCACTATCAAACACCATCTGATGTGCTATGCTGGATTTTACTTAGTGATTCCGAGTTAGGTTGGGCGAAGGACAAACGCCGCCTGTATGAGCGTAAATATAGCCAATCGCCGACTGGCATTACCCGTCTCTATAAAACGCCAATTCCTTTCCCTCTGTGTAAAGACAACCTCACCCTATAAAAAGTCTAGACAACTTACACTGTAGCGTTGTTCGATCTGAAGCCAAACCCTACATCACGACCTACGCCTTCTTTCATCATGGTATTCATCGAGTCCCATGGAGATGTTCCATGCCTTACAGCATATGCTGCAATCCCTCTTACTGAAGTCGAGCTGGGAAAGGTCAAGGCAGAATTTGAACTCGGAGCCTGTTCCCAGTTCAACCCACTCCTCGAGCTAAAGATTTTCCCCGCGCCAGATGCTTACATCGGAAAGTCTCATCAGTATATGCGCGCTAAGGAAGATGAAGCGGGCCGCAATGACGCTTTTGTTGTCATCGATGAGGACTATATCGAGAGACACGCAATATGGTTCGTGGATGCCTTCGCTGATGCCGACATGGTTGAGAATAAAGAGGCGGAAAGCACTGAAGTGGTTATCAAACTTCTTATTCAAATGGATTGCCTGGCGTTATCCTACATATGCTGGGAGAGCAACACGACCGTCCTCGAAGATCTGGACCATGCTGGAGTAGAGAAGCCCTTGAAAAATGATTTCTGGCAGCCCGAGGTCAGCAACTGCGGTGGATTAGACATGAAAGAGCAACAATGGGATCAGGTTGTGGAGGTGACCGCCGAACCAGGAGAGTTCACAGAGACTCGGGATAAGACACTTCTTGACAACTTCTCTCCGGAGCCCAAAGTATTAGGCAAGCTCAAAGACAAAGTTGCGAAGGCTGCCGGCCTTATTGCATCGTGGACTTTCATCAATGAGGCGAAACCGATAGACATGCCCGATGGTTCGCAGAAAACTTTCCCAGTCGGGAGCGTTCTTCTGCAGCAGGCATACAATCCAGAAGCGCCATGGCCAAAGTATAAGTGGCCCAAGGGCTCGCTGTAATAATTAAAGCAACGACAACATTAGCTGTTACATAATAATTCTGACACTCTATAATGGCATTGGTTGCTGCGTATAATCCTGTTGCTGCTAGGCAGGGGTTATCGGAATATTAATAACCCGCGCAATAAGTAATCCTGCTTATTATTATTTCCATAGCTAATCATCCTGTTTCGTCAATTAATAATTTACATAAAATTCACAATGCAGTCCAGGATAACCTTCAAGAATGGACATTTGCAGTTCCGAAAACCCTCTCAAGACGAGGTAAATTCTGACTGTCAAGAATCCGCCGAACCCGAGATACGCTTGCCGCTTCACTTTGCACCACGATGTGAAGGCACAGCATGGGATATATTGTTGCAAAAATGCAAACCTGCACCGAAAGCACTAAAAAGGCCATGGCAACCACCCGCGGGCTCAATGTGCTACTTGATGTCTATTCCCGCAGAGATACGCCTTAAGATCTATCGACGTCTGCTCATTTCTCGCCACCATGCACGTCTACGCAAATGCAAGGAGGGATTCCGCCTCATAGCCAGGGAGTCCTGGGACCCCCTCTTAGTTATTCACCCTCAGATCCTGCGAACCTGCAGGCAGATCAACCAAGAAGCAACTCCCATTCTCTACTCACAGACCCTCTTTCAACGGGGTTATAAATGGCCATGTCAACACACAGACAGCGGAACCCGCATTCGCACGCCTCTTTCTAATACCTCACCTATTAGCCAAGCCAACTTGGCTAGCATCTCACGTATATACTTATGCCGAGGTTATAAAGAATGGCTCCGAAACGGAAAACTTGCAGTCCTTGATGAGTTTCCCCACTTGAAGGAATTGCAAATCGCTATTGATTTCAACGACATTCTTGAGATGGAGGCCGGATCTTTCGAGGACCTTGCAAAAGACACCATCAGAGCGGTCCATCGCGAGCGTCCGGGTATTCCGTGCTTTAAAATGGAGATCCGCTTGAGCTTTCATGGTCGGGCATACGATAACTGGGGGAGAGAGTACACCCGTGGAAAAGAAAGTTTTAGTGTTCATCTGATCAAAAAGGCTGAGATTGAAGCATGGATGCGGCAAGAGGGGATGTTTTCCAGCAGGTTCTTTTCATGGTCTTTCAAAACACTACGCTCGGAATACTGCGGTCCGAGCTGCTATGTTTCTTTCTCTTGTGAACAATCAAGTCAAAAAGCAAGGTATATCAAGTGCAAGGTACGCGATGATGATACGGAAGCCTTCGGGTTATTGGAGGTTGACTCCGACGAGAAGGAGATTTCCGTGGATATTGCCATATAAGGTACGGCAGGTGCTTGTCTTCCCACGCAGAAATAAACGTATTCCTTGACTTTATCGTTAATAGTCTACTGTTTCATTGGGAAATTGATTGTTTATTCGGGTTGAAGAGCGGAACTTCTTTTTGAAGTAATTTACATAAGGTGCCAGGTATACCGGAGAGATCACAGCTATTCTTGTCTCAGGAGCGCTTTGGTCTAATAGAGTTAGGTTTTATTCTTAGATAACTAATACGCTATGACAGCAGGTAGGGGAAAATCGTCGAACGAAGCAAAACCCCTGCTGCGTCGAAGTACATACAAGCAAATTCAGAAACACCGTTTGAGCAAAGATAACAAGTAAAGACTTCCGAACCCAACTCTGATTCCAGCTCAGTAATACCGCCAAGCATCGCGATGTGTCGTCGTTACTCAGAAGCCAATCGAAAGTGGGCCAAAGGAAATGCCAAATCCCTCAGCATCAGCCTGTACTTGGTTAGTCTTGTGCTTCAAAAGTCAGGTGGAGGCTGCTTCATCATGACTGGGCCATCATCGTTATCGTCCCAGCCTTTCTGCCACTCTTCAGATGGCACCCAGGCTATCTGGCGAGCGCGGATCATTGGAGTGATATCGATGGAAGCCAGGCCAGCTGCCCTATGATCAATATGGCTCACCTTGAGTGCGTTGCTGTTGCTATTGAGGGTATCCAGGAGTGACGCCTTCTTGGACAGTCTATGGGTAACAGTGGAGGTTTCGGGCTGAAAGCCAAGCTTGGATGATACCTTCTGGCTGGCAGCATCGATGAGGCGGGGCAGGTAGGCTTTCGCCGCTTGTTTGGCGGTATCGAGAGCCATAGGGCCCAGCTTCTGCACTGTATCCTTGATGAAGTCAAAAATGCCTTCGGTATCACCTGTGTCGGCATTAATGGGCTTCAGTTGCTGTAACTTATGCGAAGGCATAGTCATCAAAGCCTGCAGAGCTGTATCAGCCATAACAGCGCGCTGTAGGAGAATCTTGGTAGCTTTCTCGTGCTCGCTGGAGACCTCGGAAACGGTAGACTCGGCTCCGAGTGCGCCTTTGATCAGGCTTCCGATGGCCTGAGTAGCGATGGGCTTGGCCACATTGACTGCAGTCTTGAGGACAGGGCCAAGCCAGTCGAAGATACCCTCTTCCCCAGCCACTTGCCGTGTTGGACCCATAAGTTGGCCTTTCGTAGGATAGGCGCGCCGGATTGTCCTGATCAGTGGTTTATCAGTATTCGAATGGAAAGATAGAGCAATGCGAAGTTTCAGGTCAGTATCTTACCTCCAAAAGTCGAGATCGAATACTCAACCATATGGCGAGGGCTTGCTTCAATGTCGTAGTCATTCTTGGCATATTCTTCGTACATTTGAGCGCCATTCTCCTCGTCTCCAGTCTCGATATCTCTGAGGCTCTTATCGCCAGGATAACCAACAACACCCAACAGGGTCTTATGGCCTGACATCGGGGTGTTGACGAAGTTGAAAGTCCTCAGGTTGCCTGTGAAGGCTCGATCAAGCTGAACAAAGGCGACGTCACGGGTACGGTTGTTGGCAGCCTCAATCCACTCGGACGTGGTAACGACATTGACACCGTGACGAACCTGAACCTGGGCGGTCTTGACCGAAGCACGACCGTTATAACCGATATAGCATCGGATCTGGGTCGCGGCTCCATAGTGTCGACCCCAGTCGTAGACAACATGACCAGCGGTGACCAAAATGTCAGGGCGGATGAGCCAACCAGTGCCCATCATCCAGACTGGCTTACCTTTGCCTTCAAAGCGAGCCTGGATCTTGACAATAGCTGAAAGCAGTCAGCCATTATACTCAGCTTCTAAATATCACATGACTCACAGCGGTATTTCCCTCCTTCTTGGAGGTCACTGAAGTCGACCAGGGCACGCTGGTCTTCTCCAATGATTGACTCCTGGCTGCCCTTGCTTCCATCATCAGGAATGATGGTAGATTCAGCAGGGTGGTTACTGGCCGGTGGAAGAAGCTTCCATACAGCAGCACGACCGGGCTTAGAAGCAGTTGAAGACATGATGATTTGCACAGAGTCTAATTCTTGAAAAAGGTTGTTGGGATAGCAAAGATAGAAGAAGAAAGTTGTTTGAGAGTGTTGCGATGAACCGATTAATTTTTGGGAAGGAAAGGGCCCTTATATATCTCTACTGAAAGATAACACTTCTGAGCAAATGGTATCTTCAAAGTACGCCAGTTCGCACCCTGGTCAAGTTTGAGAGCTGTTCAGTTACTTACTTGAATCGGAGCCTCTAGATGACATATCCCTTGGTGCGAGCTTTCCAGTCAGCTAGCCTCCCATGTATCGTCACATTGGTGGCAAGTCTTCTTTGACTAGACTTCCAAATCACACGTCCCACATCTCGATTCTTTCTTCCAGCCAGCCTCCTGAAGCCTGAAAACCGTCACATCTGTAACGCTGAACCTCCATATCACATAACCCTTGTTGCGGGCTTTCCGTTCAGCTAGCCTTTTGAAGATCGTCTCATTTGTGGCAACACTTCTTCGCCTACAGACTCCCCAGTTCCACATCCCTTACTACGAACCTTTCGTTCAGCCAGCCTCTTGAATATCGTCACCTTTGTGACTCGGAACTTCCAAATCACATATCCCTTGTTGCAGCCTTTTCGCTCAGCCAGCCTTCTCAGCATCGTCACATTCATGATGATGATGACTATGCCAACTTTGAGTTCTGGGCGGCTAGTTTTGCAATATTGGAATCCAGACCGAGTGATGTATGCACCTCCACAAAATCAAGTCACAATGTCTCAGAAATTATCGCCCACTTTACATGCAGCATCTACACTGCTACGTTGTGGCGAAGCAATTGCCTACTGAACTGAGACATGCATAGTGTCTGTAAAGAGAAGTCGCTAAGCCAGTTCTGTCGGCCCCTCACGGAGAGGGAAGATACTAACTCGGTTTAGCATGCAAGTCACATCAATAGTCTCCTGTATATCATTCAGCTCTGCCAGGCACGCCCGCGCTAGTACTCTTACAACAAATGCAGCCAGCAGTGATGATATGGAGCCGCGACCCGAAACTTAAATCCTTTTCAGTTTGTAACGCCAGGCTACGGGCCGGTACCACGCAGTCATACGAATATACCAGCATAATACGATACAGGCTTGTTTTATCGCCATCATGGCATTTCATAACTCTGCAAAGTTAATTAAACTATCGATTAAGAGCATGGCACTGGTATATCTTGCTAGCCCTACTGATTTAACTGTTCGAGCATATCAGCCAGCCACTTACTGCATTGTTTAAGGACAGTTTGAGACATACGACTCATGTGTAAAACCTGTTAGAGTGAGCAAAGTGCTGAGAAGGTATGACAAAATCTAGAAAGAAACTCAAATCAGGCTTTAAGTGTTAGCCCAGAGAGAGTAGACTGACTCTCCTAGACCTCCTGAGGCAACCTGGTAAGCCAAGCAAGTAATGACGAGAGCCAAGTCATTATTTTCCAGCACAGACTTCTAATTATAGCAATAGAATGCCAGAAGGCATTATTCAGAGCTACCAAGTTTGGATTGTGACATTGATAATTACACACTGTCAGTGCGGCACGAGCATGTGACCAATATCTACACTGAGGATCAGAAGATCAGCCAGCCATCTTGCTTTTGTATGACTCTCCCCAAGCAAAAGAACCACAATTTAAGGAAAGCTCGATGGGGTATTTTCTGATCACTGGTAGTTTGTCACATCCCTTAAGCTTCAGGTTGCATGCCATGTTAGCTGCGTATTATGTTTCACCCCAGCTCGAGATATTTTACTACCAAGGATGGTGGCGCCCAAGACTGTGACAATACGTGCATACTCGTGTTTGTTAAAGGGGCAATGATAACCCTGTGGAGTTAGCTGCCTAGATAGGACTTAGGCACGCCTCTGGTGATATCATGTTCTAACCTGTAGGAGGATGTTGGCCATCCTGCCAGCTGGATAATTTACAAAAGTTCCTCTCTGTCTTCTCATAGATTCGCGTGAGAGGTTCCAAACTCGGCAAGCAAAAGGTGATAGGGGCATTTTGATTTCGTGTGGTCGTTGATGGTGTTCAAGATGACAGCTGAAAGCTGGCCATCCTTCATCCTTGCAAGAAATGGGTGTCGGACTTGGTGATATATGGCCTCACACCATTTCGACCCCAGAGCGCACACTCTTGCAGCACATTTTCGGCTCCGCTTGCAGAAGCCAGACTGGCGACACCCCTTGAAGGGGCTCACTCCGACGGGAGTGATGAAAGGAGCTAATTGGAACAAGCTTTGGGTCCCCTGAGGAAGTCCCTGATGGCAAAAAACTGTTTTTTATGGTTAAGGACACTCCTGCTAACCAAGTGTGGGAGGTCCTCTTGGTAAATTGGATCGTTCCAAGTTGCTCCCCGATGAAGGTCATACTAGAGAGGACATTCGTAATGGCAAGTAGATTCACGCCCACCGCATCAAGTTCAACCCATCCAATTTTGACCAGTACGACATGTAGATCTATTCTGTGCTGGGCACCGTTGTCACTGAAGTGAACCTTCTGTATGGCATGTTCATGTCGCGCTTGGTTCCTGAATCGGCAATTTCTTGGTCTTGCGACTCGTCACTCAGGGGATGTATATACTGTAAGTCAACTATGAGACACTGAGATGGTTTGAGCTAAAGACATCATGAACTTAAGATATACCTTTCTATACCGTTAAAGTACTAAGTTTAGTAATCTTTATGGACCATCTTATGCGCATTGAAAAGCTTGTGACTATGGAACTCAGAAAGCAGGTATATGTATCAAACCGTATCTGGAGAAAGTAGGCATGGGATAGGGTCATCGTTCTGAAATTCGCGAGTCAGTGAAAGTATATCTTCCAATTCAACTTGGGAAACAGCAAAATCCCACAGGCCAGCCCCCAGACCCTTGTCGTCTTGACAGTTACCCACATCAGACACTCTTCCTGGCTCTGACCACCGCTTGCGCGTCCTCCCCAAGACCTATGGGGTGTTGATGCATCTAAAACGGAGGGATCTGTTGGTAGATAGCAGCGGTCACTGGCCGACTCGTCAGTCCGATGAGGGGCCAATTGAGTTTCAAGATGCTCCAATTCGGCTATGCGAAGCCCAACTGCTACGCTCCCCTTGCACATCAAAGCTTCGAAAATGACAGCCACTGACTGCCGCCATCCAGACTGTTGCATGTGTGATGGCAGGAGTCCTGAGAGTATAGAGAGCAATGTGGCGGCAGAGAAGGCATATTCAAGATGGAAAGGTAAGAAGGCTTCTGCAATCAATTATTAGCATATTTGAGTTCAATAGCGAATGGGGGCCAATCATACCTATTATGTCAATTTCAGCTAGGTCGTCTAGTGTCGAAAGTATTGTTGCTGCTGATTGCCGGGACTTCTCCATAAAAGTAGCGCCAGGTCCCGTCAGCCACTGGGGTTCACTTCCAGGGAGAATTTTCGCGTGGGCAGCCATATTACAAGTGGCCGGGTTGCCAAAACTAAGCACTGAATTTGTCATCATTTGGTCAATCGGTAATCCTCGTAAACGGTGTTGCTCTTTTCTTTCAACTTACATGGTGATATGACAGATTTATGTTGATGAACATTTGTGGCGGTTCGCCACCGCTGGTCCTATGGAAGGAGATAATTTGATCAATATCCCGTGATAGTTCTGCCAGCTTGTGCAGATTTGATGTTGTATCTCGCACAAAATCCGAGACTGACTGTTGATCAAAGCTGTAACTACCTAAACTTGTATCAATACCAGATACATATTAATAATGAGAGTGTTGGTAGTATTTTCATACAGCTTGTTATGGTTAGGACGAGTCGCGATAGGCGCACTCGTAGACTGAGTGCTTTTTCTGAATGATCTGAAGATCGTAAATCTCGTGTCGGGGTGGTGATATAGTCTTGCGACAACGTGGATGGGCACGCTAACCCTGCTGAGATCTCCTAGATACCCCACCAGGTATTGCTAATTTCAGCTATCAACTTCGGGCCAACATCTTTTGGCATCCGACGATGAAGACCATCATGTAGCGCCATGCGAAATGCTTAGCCGATTTACAAATGGCGTGGGTCAAAAAGTCGGTCTTCTGGAAATCAAAAAGCGAGTAAAAGGAACATCGGCACTGACATATTGATATGCTGATGAACGCATGTCAACAGCGTGATGATACAGCGCTGATAAAGCCAAAACTCTCATAGCTAAAAGCGCCGGGCGGTTGTTTTGGAGAACTGCCATATCCGGCAACAGTGAGAAGGCCCGTGCAGCCATATAAGAGCCGTTGAGAGTCTTGTGTGCACGAGAGGGACTACCATACCCAGATGTGAGTGCCTTGCCCGAGGCAAGGATCAGAAGGTATTCGATAAACCACAAACGGTGTTCGTGAGCAGTCTCTAACGGATTCTTGTGAAAGGCATAAAAGGTTTCAAGGAAGCTGGGCTCATCAATAATGCATGATAGCTCCCCTAGGCGAAATTTGACTGTGTTATATTGAAAGAGGGCATGACCCATTGGTGGCAAACGTGACAAGTCATCACCATCCACTTCAAGCTTAGATTGCCATTGTAAGATAAATGCCACTCCATCCAAGTTCAATGGCGCTAGAGGTGTATCGGGACTATTGACAGCATTTTCAAGAATGGTGAACACCTGGCGGCAGAAAGCCCATGTTGAAGTTGGCCCAAGAAATACTATCAAACAGGGAGACTATGTTGTCAGCAATGATCAGCAGGAATTGCACAAAGATTTCTTGGTAAATTGATATCCAGCAGAGGTTGAATAGATGTTTGAATATACAGAAAAAAGACGATTGAGAATCAGGGATAAAACCGAATTCACTACCGAGGATGCTATTCCTGGGACGTTGAACTTGATCTCTGTCCCGAGATTCACCCCCACCAGAACGGCTGTTGGCTGTAGGCGCAATTGATGAGGTGATAGGAATAATCGAAGAAGTGACGGTTCGTCCTGCATTCTTCAAACTACTAGGCTGGTGTTCTGTTGGCTTAAGTCAGCCAAAGGTATTGTGTTTTATGACGTAGGCTGTCGATATCTGAGGTTTTGGCCGGAACATACCAAATTGAGGCCTACTGTATGCCACACTACTTTGTGCAGATGGCAACAAAGGTGGCGACCATGTTCTCGCTGTTCGTTCAGGCAAAGTTCTCGTACTGTCGTCTGTCTGCGAGAGGATGGGAGAGGCTGGATTCGCGACCGAGATTGACGCCTGCACACACGAGGACGGCGGAATCTCCACCCGAGGCTCATACGAACTTTCGGTCGAGGCGCCGTGTTCTTTCTCGAATAATCGGTGCCGCAAGTCTCGTAGATAGCGCTCCGACAGAGAGACAAAGTCTTTGTCGGTAGCAAATATGCATTCGGAACCCCGTCGCGCACATCGTTGGCACGGCTCACCCCCCGAGCGTCGAACTTTCGCACTCCGACAACCCTTGCATCTGCACACGGAGTTTAGCGGATAAAATAGGCTTTCACTTAATCACATATGGGACTTACGCGCGGGTTCGGCGTGGGGGGCGTGATGTCGAAACCGGGGCTCTTTCTGAGTCCATGTCTGAGGCGGGAAGCTGTCTCAAGTCCGTGAGGAATTCAGGGTATTCAATAAGTTGTAGCTCTTAAGTGCGTGGGTAAGACAGGGATCCGACGTCGAGGGCGGGCGTGCTGCCGAATGGCTTATCTCCAAATGTTCGTGCGGGGTAAGATAGCGTCGGGGTTGACACCGATGGCGATAAAATCTATCTAGGACACATCCACTAGCTGCTCAGCAATCAGAGGCTTGTGGAGGTCTTGGTCACACTTCCCTATATCAGGAAGAATCGGATCTCGCACATCATCCATACCAACAGTGACGGACCCTTGCTCATCTGACATGTATAAACCCTTCAGACATCTTGCCTGAACTGCATCCGATTACTAAGACTCAAGAATTGCTCTGATTATCCTCATCTCTTAGTTCCTATTAGCTTTTTTTGTATAAAAGAGTCTTATTTTCTCTCAGAGGTATTTTGCTGTAGAAATAAGCTTCTATACTGTAGTCTATATCCCGCCAATATTCAAGACTCATATCGCGCTCATGACTCTTGGAAACATCCCTTATTTTCTTGTATCCAAGCAACCTGTTAAGATCAGCAGACGGCAGCTGCCCCATTTAATACATCTCTCAGGTTGCTTTTCTGTGAACGCTCGAGAAACCCCTCAATTAGTTTCCAGGAAATGCGTGAAGAACAACAGTGCCACATTGTTGTCCAGAAACTTAACATTAGCTGACGTCGTAGCATTTTGACGAGTTGAAAGGGCTAACGGTGCCTCATAAACGACAAGGTCTGGAAGTATTTGCCCAACGCCGTTAAGAACGGCAAGTACAGCTTGAGTGTCCCATTGACGCGGTTGGTTGATTTGTGGTTGGAAGTTTTGTGTGGCTTGAAGGCGAGCAGCCAGGTTTTGCATTGCCTCTTCTAAGACATTAAGCCATGTCATACGGAGCACCACCGATTGTATATTGGGTCGTGCCAAACCCCCCCATAGTGCTTGAAGCTGCTGTGGGGTGTTGTTCGCCACTAGGCCGGGGTATGCCTCAAAACCAGTACGATTGCCGAGGTTTGCGTGTCGATTGGAAAGCCAGGTGTAGTCGCTAAGAGGATTGGGTACTTGTTGATTCTGCTGGTAGAAGTTGTTTACCCTTACTATCTGTGCCTGGATCGCATTACCTAACGCGGCTTCAAGGGCGTTTTGGTTTCCAGAAAGCGCATTGGCCATGGTGCGTAGGTTTATGTCGTTACCAATGCATCGAAACCACTCATCCCCCCACGGAAGGTGTTGAAAAACCCCCCTTTCTCTCAAATGACTGAGTGAAAGAACTTTATCTTGAAGCCACAAAGCGAAGGACCTGGGAAATGGGTCAAAATTCGGGATGCTGATGTTGCAGTAAAAGACTATGCAAGATTGTTAGATCACACATTTTCAACTCGCCTTGAGACTTGCTCAATTGTCTGCATTAACGCGACAGGCAAATAAATAAGGATAACATTGCTTACAAGATGGATTGTTAGTTTTGTATCGGTCCCTCGAGTGATTCGCACGCTTGTGGTGGCCGAATTTGATGCACGCAAAGGCGGCATTGCCAACGCTTGGGATGGAGTCACAAATTCGTGAGTCTGGGGTTGCTATAAAGTAAGCAAATCGTTGCGCTGGGTTATTGATCGGAACAGAATTCATAATTGAAAGACTGCTGTCACCTTGACTTAGAGCTGTAGAGAAGGGAAAAGGATATAATAGAAACAAGATGATGCTTAAGGAGCTTTGCCAACTTTATCTTAAATGTGTGTGTAGGGCTGTATGTTATAGTGTTATGGAGAGCTAAAAAGGACCCCTTGAAAAAGATGTTCCCTACTTATCCATCAGTTAGTTCTACTTCCAGTATGACTAGAATTATCTTTTTTTTGTGGAATGCGCGTGTCATGGCTGAGCTGATATCGACTCAAATGGTAACTAGGCACTAACTGCAATAAGTCATTCTCAGCAAGCCACATATTTGGCGTGCTTTGAACCACGGCCTCACTCAGCTCGCCACTTTGTATAGTATACTTTTCGCATCCATCTAGAGGGCAGCAATAAAAGCGTGACGTGCAGCAGACTATTAGTATTAGGTCTCCTTGGCAATTTACCACGAGACCTCTTTGTATGGCTGTGATTGCATAATCAAGGGCGGGGTATGAGAAGAAGAGGTATAGTAATCTAATGAGTCCGAATCCAATACACAATCTTACTTACAGTAGAGAAAACTTACAAAATACATCTATAGACATACTATTAATTGACTCACGTCTCTATAATTAAAACAGTATAATTTTGGCTGGCTGAGTTGGTACGAGGACGTGGAGAAGAAATTTGCGATACGCGTTCTAGGCAATTCCAATTTCGTCTTTGTATTTGGTGACGTGAAATGAGCCCGCCACTAAACTGGATAGGAGGGCGTTTCTAGAGCTTACGCTATGGCCGTCTTTACGGTGCGGGCCGTTCCAAATGGGTATTCCCCGCACCAATGCTCAGCTGTAGACTGGCCCTTCTTTGGGCATTCTTAGCCAGCCACAATCACTAAATCAGCCCATACAGACAGGCGCTTATGCAAATGAGTTCCTACGAAATGCCGTTTGCGGAAGGCGACTTGAATTTATTGGCAATAGTGCGAGTGTAGTGCACTCGTGATCTCTTTTATCTTTTCCAAATTGGGCACTCCGCTGGGAAGCTCTAACGTGCCATATGTGATATGAGCTTTTCCTTGCAGGCAATAGTTGTTTCCAGCCTCCAGAACTCGTGGGGGCTAGTGAACTATAGAAATAACGAGGTTCAGATACCGGCCCGATTGGGATTTTAGAATGGAAATGCGGCATGCAGAAGAGGTTAGAAAGGTCTAGATCGTATGACTTGTCCTGAAGTGTGACATGTGGCTGGCTGAAGTGATTCACTGTTCAGCCTTCGGTCGCTGCGGTGAAGGGATCCAGAAGAGCGAGACCTCGGGCTAATATTATCCCAGTACCTTGGCTCACTGATTGCTTAAGAACGTTCTTGGGCCTACTGATATTCTGGTTTCTGTCATAAATTGAGGTGTAAGCCAATACAATCTGGACACAAGTCTATCATCTATCGCGTCATCAATTTATTCTAAAGTCTTTCCAGCAGAGCCACAGAGGTAGTCCAACATGGATGAAGAGCAGGCAATGAAGATGGTAGCGCAAGCAGCGCTGGTTTCCCAGGTATGCTTGGAGCTACTAAAGATATCTGCAAAGATGTACTTAACAATAAGTAGAAAGTTCGGGAAGCTCTTCAGGCTTCACTGCCCGTTGCTACTGAGCAATTAATGACAGTCCAGATTCCTGGCACCATCATCGATACAACGTATGTATTGTACCCTACTTCTATGATATGCGCCTGGTGAAAATCAACACTCACAACCACGGAAGTGACCCCGGCCCCTACGTATGGGACTCTAGGCAGGAGTCTGACACGCCCCATCGCATCAAAGTCAACGAGTCTCGGCTTGTGGATAACATGATCCCATTGAGCAAAGTTATGGTATGCTTAGAACAATATGAGCGATAAGATATTTGCAACGCTAAGAGATAAGTTAAGATGGGCGTTACTGGCAAAAGTGTAGCTAGAAGCTACGCCGCTGCTCTCGACATGCTGGTCCCCGAGGATGCTCCCATCGACACTGATAAATCGACAACTACTAAGACTGCCGCTGCTGATCGCTACGTCACAGCGATGAAGTACTTGACTCAAACAGCTCCAAACTCTAGTAAATCAGTCATTGATGTCTATGTCGAGAAGCAGCAATCTTACTCTGAAGCAATGAACAAATGGGAAGCGGCCAAGGCCAAAGCCCGCGGTAAGTACATGGATCACCAGAGCCCCTGGTGAAGTGTCAATTCCAGAAAAAAATCTAACTTCACTTTGCAGCTGACGCCAAAGATCGATTCCCGGGAAACGTCAGGGAACAGCAGCGAGCTTATGATGACTGGAACCAAGAAAGCTTCCGCAATGTGTGTTGACAAACTGTTTCCTGTCTCGAGTGCCACTAACGTATGTTTCAATCAAGTTCAAGGATAACGCCCAGGCTAAATATATGGATTGTAAGTTACTGTGAACAGAAATGCACATTTCTTGGAGACTGACACATATCCTGACCAGGGATCGTTAATGGGAATAAGTATAAGGTAATCCAGTCCACTTCCGATTCTTCAAGGTTTAGAGGAATCAAGGTTGCAGACTGTAACACATAGCTTACAACTCCATCAGGTTGATTACTACTTTGGCATTGTTGATGTCTCATCTGCAATGAAGAGAGTGGAGGCGAGCAAAGAAGCAGCCCGTAACCTTGTCGTGATTGATCCTGATGGCTCAACGGAATGGCAAGAGGTTCATCTTACTCCAGCTAACTGGTGAGTGAGGTTTCCCTGTCAAAAGATTTCTAACGTAGTTTAGGGCAACACTGTGTAAGGAGAAGGTGGATCAGTGGCAGGAGCAGAACAACCGACTGAGCCGCAAAGATTTTGAGTCCGAGATCAAGCGCCTGAACCGCTTGCTGCTTTCTTACACTGGCCTCAAGAAGGTGAGTAACTTTATGGGATAGGACAGGGAAAAGTCTCACAGCCTGATAACGTCTAGTCTATTGAGTCGGAGGCCCCGAATGGGCCGGCTGCCACGGGAGGCAAGCCTGAAGGGAGCGGAACTGATCAAGCCATCACCAATGGTAACGAAACAGAAAATGAAAAAGCGGTCGCTAAGGGAGATTCCGAAGCGACCAAGAAGCCAACACTTGCCGAGACAGAAACTGAATTGACCAAGGCCTACAAGGAGCTTTACGATGCACAGAACGCAATTCCACCTAATCCACTTGTCACACGAGACAAACAAGACAAACTTCAAACAGCCTTGGAGAACAACAGCAAGGCTAATTTACAAAACAACAAAGACGTTGCGTTGGGTCTCTCCAACAAGAGCAAGACGGAGAAAGTCCAGTGGATTGATAGCATGATCACCGACGTCAATAACCAGCTTAAGTTGCTCAAGGACGGGCTCGAGGCTTTTTACAAGGCTAGTGCCTCTGCGCCTGCTATCACTGAGGTTGTGAAGAAGGACGTCAAAGAGCCAGGTCAAGCCGCGAAGGGAGAACTCGTGTCAACACAGTATGCAGAAGCCGATGACCAATACGCGGATCCTAGTCAGTATTCCCTACAACGCTCCAGAGATCATGTCGTAACCTTTGGCTCCCAGAATTCAATATTCCTCGTAACGGGGTCGCAGTTGCACAACCAAACAAAGTTGAGCCAAGCAAATGGACAAAGGTATGAAAATTCCGGATACTGGCATTGCAAAAAGAAATGAGACATCGCTAATCCCGTTGCAGATCAGTCTGAGTGTATCAGCGTCGTCGCAGTCAAGCTCCTCGGAGAGCTTCTCTTCTTCTACATCAGCTAGTGCCAGTGCGTCTGGATGGTGGTGGAATGCTTCAGCTAGTTTCAACCACTCTGAGGCATCCATGTAAGTAACGGAACAGACATTGTCTTCTCCTAGTCAAATGCTGATGTACCCGCAGGAAGGCTTCAAACGCAACATCCAACTGTGCTGTGGACATCAAGTTCGAGGCACTACTCGTGACAATCGACCGTGCCTGGCTGCATGGCGAGTTGTTCTCAGACCCGGAGCTTAATACAGGCGACGATGTGAAGCTCTCGCCAGGCGCTCTGGATCTACACAAGTTAATCGACCAGAAGAACGATAAGGCACTGGCAAACTACCCTTACTTCCCATCTTATCCTACAGCCTTCATCGTTGCGTCAAATGTCGAGCTTGAATTCCGCGGCGATACGACATCCCTTGAAGAGGCTGTCGAATCCTCCCATACTGATGCCCAGGTCAAGGTAGGCTATGGGCCATTTAGTCTCAGCGCCAGTCATAGTCAGGACAAATCGAGCGCTAAAACCAAGATGGAGACTACAGCCACTGGCACTAGGATTACTTTGGAAGCTCCCGCCATTATTGGCTGGGTTAGCCAGCTTGTGCCTCAGCTTCCGCGGCCCAAGGGAGGCAGCTCATTAGTAGGCCCTATGGTGTAGGAGGGACTTGCCTGGAGTTACAACAACTAAGTCTGTGTGAGGATATACCTTTTGCTATAGGTCTCTTATAGTTATCAATTGTCTTGTATCTCTTCTTGCACTGGTCTTGTCAAGATGCACCCAGCACTTTTTTTATCCCCTGCGTCCTGTCTCAGTCCGAATACCAGGACGTACGCAATGCCCATTACAGGGCCTTTTTACCCTACGCCCCTCACCCCCCGCGCACACGTTTCCCCGCACCGCTGAACGGCGATACGCCACACCTGTGGGACCAGCTCCAGGTTTTTGGCAACAGCATGGACACATGTACGAACTCTCCCGCGCAGAGCTTGTGGCTTTGAGGAATCTCGTTTCGCGGCTAATTACCACGTAATTCCAGTCAGTCATTTGCTTATGTTTGCTCGCCGGTCGGAAACCCGAGGTATAGTGGTTGCATGACGAGATATCACAATGATCTACTCTAAGTTACTACAAGTTACCATAAGTATATAAAACTCTTCATAGTCTAGCATAAAGAGTAGGAGAACTTTAGGTAAAATTATCATAAAACCAATTTGAGTACCAATTCCCGCCGACAACCATTTTGCGCTCCTCCTCCGTTGGCTCCGTCGCAACCCCACAATCCAAAAGCTCTGTCTGGTGTGCAGTAATGTTCACACGACCGAGTTTCTCAGCCCATAATTATAAATATACTATTATAACTTAAGCCCTACTTGCCATTTAGCCTTAATTATCTATACTATAAAGAGATCTATAATAACAATCTATAAGCCTAATGACTATTTAAGCTATAATAATTAAGAGATAATCTTTACTCTCGGATCTAAAGTCTCGTCAGGATGTACGTCTTAAGCAACACAAAGAGGGGTTTGCTTAACCAGTGACCACCGCTCGAGCCCCATTAAACGTAGCACGGCCTGATCACCCGCCCTGCAAACCCCAGTAAGCCACTGCAGCTTCGACCAAACAGCGTGCAGTTCAGAGAGCAAAGTGCATGCCCATCTTGATCTTACTGCGGTTTGAGATCAGGCAGCAATGGATCGACGCATTTCTGGCAAAGTTGACCGAGAAAATACTGCCTCCTGACGATTTGTCCGCCTTGGTTGCTGCCAGTAGATAAGTCATAGGATCTTTATATTATGTAAGGTAAGAGAAGAAACTAGCAGCAATTTTTCTTCTATGAGGGCCAATAGATACAGCAAACCATTACGTTGGCAATTAGCAGTCTGCGCGGAGCGGGCCGGTTTCCTCTTCTTTAACTTAGTGCTGACAGGGCGGTGCAGGCTAAGGGAGAATAAACTTTCATGCTTACCGCAACCTTGTCGTGTCAGATTACAACAAAGGTAGACACCATAGCCATTACTATGAATCCAGGCGCACTTGCTGCCAAGTCGATAGGTTTTCCCTGCAGTGCCCCACTATAATTTCTTATATATCTTCTTTTTTAAGGAAAATAAATTTAATACCTCTTAAACTAAATGTAGCTTATTAATCTAAAAGTAAATACCTTTTTAGTTTTAAGACTGCTTATTTATATTTTATATATTATATATCTATTAATATCTATTAAATATTTAATAACTATATATTTTACCTAGAATATAATTAAAATATTTCAAGATAAGATATAAATTACTTTATAATTAATAGAAATAAAGTAAAATATATATAATATAAGTGCCTTTTTTTAATAAATTAAGATAAAAGGTTAATACTATATATAGTGCTAAATATAACTAGATAATATACACAATAAGCAAGCAGTATAAATAAGTAAGTAGTATAAAAATCCCTTACCTTATATTAATACTATCTAATTAATTAATTTTTAATTAAATAATATATCTTAATCTACTATTAAGGCTTATATAAATCTTATACTTTAGGCCTATTGTTACGACCTAACTTAAGAAAGGCGCTTATATTATATAGTCCCCTACTATTTTTAACCAATTAGCACCTAACTTATAATATACTAAGGGATAACTATTATAAGCCATATATCAGGCTTATAATCTAACTTATAACTTACCGTAAGCCTGGCTTACTATACTGTAAGCCACTATAATATATATATATATATTTATTTAGCATTAAATAGAACTTAGCTTATTAGCTATTAATAATACTTCTTTACCTTAATAAGCTTTATCTATACTATTAACTATTAAGAGATATAACCTAAAACTAATATATTTAGTATAATGCCTTATATAATCTATAAATATAAACTTAATATAGATTAGTTTCTCTATTTAAAACCCTAACTATTATATATTAATAGCTCTTATTTAAAATATATTATATTTATATTAAGTAATATTATATTATTAAAATATCTAGTAATATTAGTCTAATACCTCCTTATATTAAAGCACTATTTAGTAATACTAAAATAGTAGCTAAAGTTTAGCAGCTTTATAATACTATTTAAACCTTATAAGCTTAAATAAATAATTAGTAAAGTGCTATAATAACTAATAATAGCAATAATAAACAATAAAAGAGAGACTTTAATAAAGCTTTAAAACTACCTAAGCTAGAACCTTTTAAAGGATAAATAACTAATATAATTCTATTTTTTACCTAAATAAAAGGATACTTCTATCTATTCTTAAATAAACTAGATACTGCTATTAAGAAACTTTTATTTATAGTATCTTTAATTTAAGGAAGTACTAAAAAGTAGTTTAAACCTATTATAAAAGACTATTTTAAAAATAAAGAGAATCTTTAAGACTAAAATACCTAAAATATCTTTATAGATTAGGATAACTTTAAATAAGTATTTAAAGACAATTTTAGAGTAGTTAATAAGGAATAATAAGCTGCAGCTAAATTACTTATACTTAAATAGTAAAAATTATATATTACTTATTTAGCTAAATTTTATTAGCTAGCAGCTAAGACTTAATAGGGTAATAATGCCTTTATAGAAATCTATTACTAAAGTATTAAAGAAGAAGTTAAAGATAAACTATACCTTATAGATAGACCTAATAACCTTATAACTTATATTACTATAATAATTAAAATTAATAAATAATAATATAAATATAGGCAAGAGAAAGTAAATTATAAATATAGAAATAACTTTAATTTATATTACCCTAACTAATAATATAATAATAATTAAGGTAACTTTTATAATTAAAGATAATAATAAGGCAATTAGTATAATAATACCTTATATAGAATACAATTAAGACCTATAATATTAAGAGCCACTTAACTAAATAACTATAAATATAAGCTATAAGATATATTTAAATATAAATATTATAACTATAATAACTTTAGATATATAGCCTAATAGTATTTAGAACTGTAAAAACTATAGGATTTTAATTAAGGTAAGTAGACTTTAGGACTAACCTAATAGTATAAACCTTAAATAGTATAATAAACCTAGATACTAGGAATAATATAAGGTATATATAATATAGCAGTAATAACTGCCCTATATAATAATAATATACTAAAGGAAAGATAGAACTTAAGTAAAGGAAGCCTTATTAAAGAACTATAAGATAAATTCCTAATATATAAAGAAGTAATTATAGATAAACTTAATAAAAGGACTTAAGAAAAGTAAAATTAAATCTAGTATAAATAATATATATAAAGAATAAAACTAGAAAAAGAGTATAGATAATAATAAGCTATCTATAGAAAGAGGCAGAAATAAAAAATCTATAATAACCTAAAATTAAAAAAATAAATTAATACTTAATAGAGAAAGTAATAATATAATAAAAAAATTAATAAGAAACTTAAAAAAATATAAACCTTAAGAATAATAAAATAAGGAAGTTTAGTTACCTCTAAATAGGATAAATAAAAATAAACCTTATAAACTATTAATAATATCTTAATTAAAATTATACTTTAGGATATAGAAAAAGCCTAAAAGTAAGAATATAAATCTAGAAATAATATCTATATATAATAATATAGAAAAGACTAAAGTATAGGATATAGAGAAAGTGCAGTTAGATAAGTAATATAGTACCTTTATTATAGAGATAAAGAAATTAAATAAAAATAGAAATAAGAGTATAAATTACTATATAATAAAAGTGGAATTAAAATATATTTAAATTATAAGGACTTTTATATATAAGGAGCTAGAGAATATATAAATATTAATACTATTAATATAATACTAATTAGAGCCTATTATATTAATAATACTATAAACCTATAATATAAAGAAAAGGAGTTTAATCTATAAAATAATATATAAACACTTTTTATATATAAATAATATTAAGATATATTATAGGTCTTATATAAGAATTATTAATATAATATATATAAGTAAGAAAAACTTAATAATAACTGTTTTTTAATTATAATACTTAAAATACCTAATAGTAAACTATACCTTAAAGAAAAAATAGAAGGATACTTACCTTTTATATAATATAATAATCTTAAAATGCTAGAACTATAATTTAGTATAGTATATTACTAATAAATCTATAAGAATAAGGATCTTTTAGATAGAATCTAATAATCTTAATAAATAATTAAAAAAGTAAAAAAAGAGTTTAAAGAAATAACTTAAGGAAAGTATATACTTAAGAAAGCAATATCTATTAATAATAATATTAATAAACTGCAGTATTAATAGAAGGCAGATAGCCTATATCTAGATAATAATAATATACTATTTAGATAAATAACCCTAGATAAAGATATTAGTAATAAATTAAAGAAATAATATTAATAATAATTATTTAATAAGAAATTTAATAATAACTGTATTAATAGTAAAAGATACTGTAATAATAATTGTAAAAGAAATTACTATAATGCCTTAAGAAAAGTTAGATACTATCTATAATAGAGCTATAGATATATAAAGAGTACTATCTATAACGAGATATAAGCACTTTAGGAATAATATAAATAATAAGTATATTAATTTATTTAGTACTACCTATTTAAATTAAAGGAAGATAGCTAGATATATAAATTAACAGTAAAGTATAATAAAACTTTATTAATCTAAAAATAGTTATAAAGCTTAGATTATTATAGAAAAAGAAATTATTGCCTTACCTACTAGTAAATATAAAAGGATAGCTCTTTAACTATAATAATAGTATTATAGACTAAAAGATTAATTATCTTAAAGTTTTTACTAAAAAAAGAAAATAAAAAGTGGATTTTAATATAGTACTTTTAGGATAGGATATAAATATCCTTTTAGGTATAATATAGCTTAAATAAGAAAATTTAATTATTAATTAAAAGGAAGGCTAGGTTATCTTTCTTACTAACCCTAATAGTAATAATAAAATAATTATAAGAAATAATAAGAGATTTTAAACCCTAACTACTAGAGAAAGTATAGATATATATAGTATAAAGTAACTACTACCTTTAAAAGGAGTATAATATAAATATAAAAAAGGTATATAAAGTAAGAAATAGATTTTAGGTATTCTTTAATAATAAAACCTATAAAGGGAATTAGAATTAATATTAAGCTAGAATAGACTAGTAAATATACTTAAGGAATATTAAATATATAATAAAGTATTTATAGAAAAACTAAAAATAGAAATTCTTAAATATAGCTAATAGGATTATAAAATTAACCTTATAGATAATAACTTACTATTTTAGAAGTTATATTTACTTAATAAAAGAGAGTTAAAGATATAAAAAGAATATATTAATAAAATACTTAAAAAGGGATATATTAAAGAATTAAACTTATTTTTAGTATCTTTAATGTTCTTTATATCTAAAAAAAATAAAAAGAATAGACCTATTATTAATTACTAACTAATTAATATAAAAACTATTAAGAATTAAACCTTATTTCTGCTTATTATAGAACTTTAGGATTAATTATAAGGCAAAAAGATCTTTACTGCTCTAGACCTTAAAGGTATATATAACCTAATCTATATTAAGAAAGGAGATAAGTAAAAAATAGTATTTAGAACTAAATTTAGACTTTTTAAATATATAGTTATGCTATTTAGTCTTATTAATATATCTATAATATTTTAGTAAATAATTAATAGTATACTTTAATAATACTTTAATATCTTTATAGTTTATTATTTAGATAATATCTTAATCTTTTTAGATAATAAAGAAGAATATAGAGAATATATCTATAAGGTCTTAAAAATACTATAAAATATTAAGCTATTAGTTAAACTAAAAAAGAGTTACTTTTATATTAAGAAGGTAGACTTTTTAAGATATATTATTATATCTAGAAAAATCAGTATAAAAGAAAAAAAGATCTTTATAGTTAAGGAATAAAAGATACTTAATAATATTAAGGAAATATAAGCCTTTTTAGGCTTTATTAACTACTATTAATAATTTATTAAGGATTTTAGTAAGGTTATAAATCCTTTAATAAAACTTACTAAAAAGGATAAGTCCTTTAAATAGAACGATAAGGCTTAAAAAGCTTTTAAATAACTTAAAGAAGCTATTATTAGTAGACCAGTTTTAACTATCTTTAATCTAGATAAGGAAATTAAACTAAAGATAGACTTATTAGACTTTACCTTAAGAGGATAAATTAATTAGTATTTAATACCACGGCTTGCCTATATCAGGAAATTGCTATCCTACACCCCTGTTCTTGTCGCTTACTCAAATCGGAAATTCCATGCCACGCTAGCTGGTGCCGCTTTTCCAGCGCCTATAAAGCGGCTAGCCGCCCACCATGTCACGCAATGTACCTCTCAAGTCTCTTGACGCTCAACCGCCCCCTTCATTTCTCACACGTCACGTGTCCCCTCTACAACGACATCTCGTCTCGCTGTCCGCAAACAGCATTCTTTGCACACACTTCACAACAACTAGAGAGAGCCTATCTTTCATACTCGCGGCTATAATCTATAGCCTCTAATCCTTTCACTTAATCGCACGAATTTTCCCTGTTTTCCTGACACCCATACAGACTACCTATCTAGCAACCACTCCGCCCCTCCACCAACCGCCTCTTGCCTTCATCACCAGATCGCCCGAATTACCAATCTAAGTAATAAAAATTGCCTCTTGCAATATCAGAAACGCTAGCATCCCGTCTCTCAGCACACTTACTTCCGAACAGAGTCGCTATGCTATGTGCCTGTCTGAATGGGCCGTTCGAGGAGGAGCCTCGCCAGGGAGGCCAAAGAGTCCGTACTCAGCATTATCCAATGGCCGCATCATAAACGGTAGTGCATTTGTCAGCCACGCCCAAATTTCCCCTTTTGGATAAAGAATATCGATCCTCGCTGCAGAGTGCTGGCCCGATGATAGAAGCCGTGGTCCAATCTCCTTGAAGTTCAGGCAAGTCTGCTTCGGACACAATGGCTGAGATGACGTGTCGTGGTCGGGTTGCAATACATGAGACGATTCAGGCTTCCCGACATTTACCTCAAAGGGCCATGAGGATGGACTAGACACGTCAACGCGCAAGGGGGGAGGGAGGGGGCATTGCAAACTCGCGCACTTTACTCGACTTGGTAATTCGAGTCTGCCTCGAAGAGTATCAAAGTGGTGGTGTGGTAAAGCCGCAAAACAGGGCATGGTCTTGACCTCCTGAAATTTCCTGATCAAGCATCGGCATCCCAGTCTGCCTCGAAGGGCTTTAGGTGATGCGGTGTGAAGTCACAACGCAGCGAGCGCACTGGTCTAGACCTCCTGAAATTCCCTCAACAGGAATAGGGGGGTTAGTTGGTTACCGTTATTTACTCGATATGGCAATTCGAGTCACTGTTGACCTTAACTCTCTGCAAGCTTGGACCGCAGCTGCAATAATCAAGGCCATCAAGCTGCATAAGCGTTCGGATGGGCTCGCTTCCGGTTGATTTCACCAATGAGGAGTTATTCAGATGGCCTCCTGATCATCTTATGGCCTCATGTTGTATGCGCCAACGAGGTCAAGGCGGTTATATGATCCTTTCCTGGGATAACATCTAACCAACAGACTGGCGACAAGAAGGACGGGGACCAATCCAATGATTCGAGACATCCAACAAGCTCCAAACGAAATTTCATCTCGGCATAATAATGTTTCCCGAGCCGCACATCTCAGCTTATCTCCTTCCCACTTCGCTAATAGCGCGACGGGGGAGGAGGCTGGGTCTCGGAGTATAAATGGAGGGCCTCCTCCTAACCTGGCCTTTTAACCTCTTACAAATTCTTTTCTTTATGATTATCAAGTGCCTTATTTATTCACATAAGGGACACTGTCATTCATTCATTTAAGATGGACCTCAAATTCAAGCCTTATCATCCTAAGCAAGCCAAGCAGAGACAGAAAAAGCATTTAATAGCACGCTCTACACCTGCTCCGACAAGCACTATAAGTGTTGGCAGTCTCTCTCCACTCTCATCAGTTGCTGGCCATAGATGTTCTCATATTGATGAGAAATTTATTCCAGTAACTATCACAAATAGAGATGAAAACCCTTATTTTGATTTTCCTACTACAGAGGAATGCTTGGATTACTGTTTGCCTACATCAGAAAATCCAGTAACTGGTACTGACTAAGATAACCTATTCTTTAGATCTTTACGACTAATACTAACGTCCTATAGACTCTACTATCGACCCCCAATACACTAGCCGGGATCTCAGCTGCCATGGTTATCGGCATAAGGATGATGAGCTAAGACAAAAACTTCCAGTGGCAATTACCACAATGCGTTTAACCTCCGAGCTGAACATTGAGCGAGAAGCTTATAACATAAATACCCCTGAAGAAGGGAGCAATACAGAGATCAGTTCAGCCGAATACGTTTGGTCACCAGATACAAAGACCACTCTATCAACTGTCTCGAGCATCATTACACCTTTAACAACCTCACCACATTGCCAAAACCAATTTTGCAGAAATCAAGGTAAATATATCTATATTAAAAACTATAAGAATATCACTAACAACTATAAGATGCCTTTATTCCCAGAAAAGATAACATACAAGATACTAGCCCCCAGATAACTGATTTAGATGTATCTGGTGCTATATCTCACGCTGCGCTATCTGGAAGGAACAGTGCAGCATCAGAGTCTCAGGAGTCTTCGTGCTCAACCCCGAGCGGCAGGCGAGTCAGCCTAAATGGGATGAATCTGCACGCCGTTGCTGCCGCAGCAAGTATACTACCCAGCATCACAACAGAGCCCAGCATCACAGAGCCTGGCTTCTTCAAGAAAACCCTAGCTCCAGTTGAGATACCCTCATCAACAAAGCGATTAGTTTCTGAACACGACGCAAGCAGTGAGTCTCAGCGTTCTGGGTCAGAAGCCTACCATTCGCCGAAGCGACGCAAACTTACATCGAATACATCTGAAGAAATTATTTCATCGATTCGTAACGCTGCGGAGTCAATCTTGAAGGTACTGGACATGCTGTCCCCGGTCCAGTCACATGACCCGACAGCAGACATCAGCGTCCAGTCTATACATGATACCATAGAGGTAGCCGTTGACGAAATAGCCGATGACTGGAGCGATACTCTCTCAAGCACACATTCCAGCCCTAGTGAGAGCGAAAGCGAAGCCGAGCTTGGTAACTCACAGTTGCAGAAAAGTATACAGCGTCGCAGATGGACAAAAGGAGAAGAGGATCTTCTTAGACGACTCAAGCGCTCCCAGCAGAGCAACGGCACTCCATCGGACTATTATATCGCAAAGAAATTGAAGCGCACAGAGAATGGTGTCAAGCAACATTGGGATATTATGCAACAGAAGGACAAGGGCAAGCGCTAGGAGCCTTTCTCACAATGCTAGTGATAAAGTTCTCATCTCCTTACTAAATAAGTCACATTTCATTGTTCGTTTTCTAACATAGCCACAAATGCGGGTAGACCGCTGATACGGTGAATTTGTTTATGGTCATCACGCATCACTTGTCGTGTCCCTCGCATGAATGAGAGAAGCAAGACGCCTCTGATGCCCGTTTCATGTGCCGAAGGACTCGGCCGTTCCCAGAAAGCATGATTTCTCATTTTAACCTCTCAAAAGACGAGAAACCATGTTGCAGGATTGGGAAAGTTCTCTTGGTCCTATAGTGCTGTCACCAGTTCTTATGGTTCTTGTTAAAGAGGAGTGGCAATACAGGCGGGCACTGCTGTTGAGCGGCACTTAAACGTAGATGCAATGGATGACCAAGGATGTTCAGCTGGCCCCTTTCTACCATCAATCGTTTGGGAGGCTATTAGTCTAAGGGTTTTTAATAATTATTAGTATACTGCCTAAGTTAAGTCCCCGTATATAGCAGTTGACTACTCTCTCTTGCTATTAATTCAAACTGTCTAGCTTTTTAGATACCTTCTGTGCAAAAAGCATCAGCATACCTAAGGGCAATATCAGTGTCCCTAACTTTTCCTCTTACTGCCCCATCTTGATGAAAGCCATATCGTAGGAATAATCCAACCATCCTTGCAAAACGGATATTTACCTTAACTTCCTCCTGAATGCCTCCAATGTCAGTCTCAAAGATTCGCCAAAACTCATCTCTGAGCTCCTGAGCATTATTATAGTAATGCCAGCCATTGCTATCCATATAGCCAAGAATGTTCTCTAGTGCCCACAGCGAAATCCCGAATGGGTATATTTTTGACTCTGCCCAATCAATAACGCCAGAAATATGGCCGGCATTATCAACAAGAATGTTCATTTCGTTGAGGTCACCGTGAGTGATGACAAAGGGAAGGGTGAAGATTCTGGGCAAGTTCTGGCGGACCAGGTTGAGTGTTTTCGTAAAGCGATCAGGAAGCCGTTGAAATAGTCGATTAAGATCAGTTTCAAATTCCTTGTGTAAGTTATTGACAGTGGACGGAGACACTTCCTGTGCCCCCCTCCATGCTGCTGCGAAGAACCTGCAATCTAGTTAAATAACCATTACCCCGAGTGACTGGATAAACCTACCTTGCAAGGTCACCAACAGTCCGGAATTGCCGCATCTTAAATTCCGCCTTACCCTCCAATGAAGTGTCCCTTGTCTGGATATAACATACGCCATGACGTTTCTGCATCACGTAGATAGACAGAGGATGTTGGCTACCGATTTGCCCATAATACTTGCACCCTGGAACATCTTTTGCGTGAACCAGCTCAGCGATTCTGATATTTGCCATATCCAGCTTGGATCGCTCCGCGCGAAACTGCACAATATCTGCCTGACCTGGCCCACCAGTGACCGTATAGCTCCACACACCCTGTATGGGCACTGGAGTCACTGTCCCGCCGACAAGGGATGCGGCTTTCATATCACATTCCGCCCTCGTAACTGTAGTTGAGGTGTCGAAGAAGTGCTGAATACAGCTTTCAGCAGAGTAAAGATCGATGCTCATGGCAGGATTGTCATAGGCGAAGGTACAATATTTAAGGAAGTTGGAGGTGATTTTGGTCAAGTAAGCCTTTAAATCATTAATCTCGGCAGCACCTCGGTAGCATTTAGGTAGCACTTGGGCAGCATTCCAGCCACAACACCATCCAGGCAGCCACATCGCAGTAGAACAGGGATCAATAAAGGTAGAATCATTACTAACTGCCCTCCGCGACCATAATCTCAAGTGTTTGTGGATTATCCTTTCAGCCCTTGACCGCTTCATATATAATTTGAACTGTGAAGATGCATAGAGTGCGAAGCTACTCGTACCGAATAAGGCCCAGTTCATACAATGCCTTTACTAATTCGGCCTCGTTCTCGAGCCTGCCATCCCAGAAGACCTTGTGAGGCCCAGTTGTTGTCTCAGCATGGTGTTCATTGCCCTTAAGCTGGCTAATTCCATCTTCCCCTTCATAGTAAACGAACCCTGTTTCCTTGACAAACTTGCCATAGTTTGCTTGCTCCTGCTTGAGCAGGACAGTTCCATTGTGGCCAAGGTCAAACTCGATCAGACCCTCCATACTATCGCTGACCCCAAACGCCAGGAGGTCGTTTAGCTGATTGCCCTGAAGGTAGCGGTTCAGCTCGGAAAGGAAATCGGGAGAAACACCCGCCAGGTCAGGCAGAGGTCCTTCTCTATACTTATAGGCTCGGGGACGGCCATCAGAGCCCAGCTTGAAGAGATAGCCATGAGTGTTGGTGAGGTTGATGTCATTGATATCCATTGGGCGAATCCATTTTCCGATGAGAATATTGAGATTGCTCGTCATCATTACTTTGCCATCATCAATGGGGTCATGTCGATGGATGAGGTGGAAAGATAGCATCTTCTTCATACCGTGACGCTCCAAGGTCCTGGCAAGCATACTGAGGTGCTGGCCGGGAACATCTGGCTGGTCCCGTGACACGGGAAGACTGTTCCAGCTGATACCGTTAATTGAAGGCTTAGTGTTCCAGGATAAGCACTCACCACTGAGCAGAGTCTCTCAAGTCATCAAGGGTTGGGGCGACGTGAAGTCCAGGGACAGGGGCGATTTCGGTGGCGGCCATTGTGAAAGTTGAAATGATTTAAGAGGTAGCAGAACGTTGGTTTGGCTGCGACTTAGATATCAGGCTCAATGGCGACATGAATGGATCTTAAATACCCCAGAGAAGCCCTTGTCATTGTCCGGGTATTTGTAGCCGAGCAGGTAACTACTGCGTCAGAATGGTTGCCTAACTTGAGGGGATAAATGCAATATCTACCATGCAAGGCGTTGCCTTGTCTTATGACCCATGGCTGCATATTATGGATGTAAGCAAGTACACTGGAGGAGGTGTATGTCTAAGTGCACAGGGATAGCCCACTTCTTGACCTGCATTACATGATGCAGTGTAACCACAATATGGTCAAATACGCCAAAGAACACAGAAGGGGAAAGGCTTGTTATGATCAAGTAGAGCTGTAGCTTAACCATGAATGGGTTGTTGGTTGCAGGGAGTCATGCGTAGAGTGAGCTCGCATACTGATATGCTCTCGCAATGCATGCAACCATCTCGTAAAGCCCTGTTTTTGTCACCGCTTAATTGACATCACCCACTGATGAACAACACAGAGGCACTTCCGTTGATCCGGGCCGTGCTAAGATCGTTACCACGTACCTAGAGGTATACCGTTTATCGGGCTGTAATCATAACTTAAGGTATCTGGCCGATGGTAATTATGGCGCTGGCAAAGGTCATGTTTGAAAATTCGCAAAAATGAGGGTAGTAGTGGGAAGGCCGCCACAATGCAGTTGCCTTATTTAGGTGCAGTTATCTTATTCTCATTTACTCGACACAATATCCTAATATATCACCAAAGCTTAGCTTCCACTCAAAATTGTTCAACCCAGTCTAAATCACTAGCAAGGACAGATGGCATCATTGGAATCAGATGCGCGGAAAACTCCTGGTATAATATCTCAAGTTCTGTTGAGAACGGAAAGAGCATGGATATGGCACAGAAAGTTGGTCTTGATACCTCAATCCACTCCTGAAAGTCGATCTTACTTGCTATTGTTAAAGCACTATGAGCTTCACTAATGAATATTAGATATGAAAAGCCTAGATTTGGTTTTATAGACTTACAATTTTAGATTTCGGATTCTGTCTCCTGCATCTAGAGCTTGTGCAGCTAATAGAAAATTCTTATGAGCGCCATTTAATTCATATCTACTCATCCTATGAGGCAATGCAATCTTGGACTTTCTTAACTCAGCCTTAATATAGCAATTCAGCCTTGTATCACATGTCTGAGTGTCGAAGTTGTCTGGGGTCCAAGACTTATCGATATGTTCTCCAAGCCATTGCAGGCGACGTCTTTGTGTAATAGCAAATGATGTCCCAAGTAATTCATGTAAACGTGAGCTCAAGGGGAAGTTTTGTAGTTGTGATGCAGACATAAATGGCTCAAGAATTCCCTTTCTCGGGGTTTCACTAGTTCTTTAGCAGAGATACATAGTTGTTGGCCTCATGACTTACAAAGCTAGACATGCCCAACTCAACCACAGGAGGATAACACTTTCGCCGTGATTTTGAAATAACCCAGGGGTCCTTAAGATCTCCTTAAGGGAATAACTAGCTTTAAGGAGGTACTCTTCCCCGCTTTGGGCGTTATGTCGAAGAAAAACACACATTAAGAGACAAGCTTGAGTAAAGCTTAAACCGTGTTGCTCCTCGATGCGGATATATCTGGCGGCGTCTGCAATCTTCCTGGATCGAGTTTGAGAGTGCAAGATGATTAGTCCGGTGTTGGCTTGTCTTTTGAGAGCTGATATCAAACTGCCAGTTTCTATAATAAGAGACAAGCAGACTAGCTCAATGCATGTTGACTCAGAGCTCATCCATCTATGCCAAAATGAATCGATGTCCTGAATAGAAACAATAGGGAAAATCGGTAAGATAAAAGTCTTAAAGACAGAAATATATAAGAGAGATTGTTCAGGCTCCGGAAGAGGTGTCATTTTGTTAAGTTTTAGTAAGAACAGAGCAGTTTAATAAATTTCCTTTATAGTTATAGACTATTGCTATAAGGGAGCAAGGTATAAGGCGTGAGGCGTGAGGCGTGAGGCATGAGGCGTGAGGCGTGAGGTGTGAGGCGTGAGGTGTGAGGCGTGAGGCGTGAGGCGAGAGGCGAGAGGCGTGAGGCGTGATGCCTGAGGCATAAGGTAGAGATAGTAATAAGGTATACTTAGGTATTAAATAAGTGGTTATTTATTCTATTTAACTATTTAATTAAAATTATTTAAATAGCTTAAAAAAGTAATATATATAAAAGCCCTATATATATAGAGAGAGAGTTAGTAAGAACCCTTCCTAAATATTAGTAATACATACTAAGAAAGGTTTATATTAAGTGCTTATTCCTTAGTAGAGCATTGAGTGAATAAGAGTCCATGCAATCATGGTCGCTTGTCCCCAGTGCCGTCACAAGCACCACAATCGAACGTAGTGCCTGCTATCTTGCCTGAGCCGCCGCAGAGTGTGCATTTGTTATTGGCCTCGGGCATGGCTATGAGTGTGAAAGGATTAAAATAGATAAAGTCGGTAGAGTAAGTCGTAGGGGTCATGACAAGGGGAAACAGTAAGAATCGCGCCGACAATTATAGAGATTCCGCACATGTGAGGGGCAGTCCCACGTGACAGCAGTTTTAGTGGTTTGCCACTTGTCAAACCTTCTCCATCTCAAACTTGCACTTGTTTTTCTCCAATTATGACGAGCCACATGCACGCGACAAGCTCGCCTGACGTGGCCGGTATCATTGTGAGTGAGCCTAGATATATTATTTCAATTATTCTAACCCTGTACGAGAGTCAGATAGAGTCACTCCAACGCGATTTAGCGCATTCCAAACAACTATTTGAGTCTTGCTACAAACAGATTCGAGATGACATGCAACAAACACAATCTCTTATCTTGCAGCTTCTGCAGCAGCTCCAACCCGCCATTTCCCGAACGAATATAGAAGCGTCACCAAGCTCGATATCGACCGACGACGAGCAGGACGAACGAAACGAGCGATGGATAGAGTTGGAGGGAATGTCTTGCCCGCACCCAGATTGTGAGGGCACTGGGCAACTTTATAATCGGCCGGACAACTTCTCACGGCATTACACTAAGCGTTGGTTTCACCATAGACCCGTCTAAGCATGATTTGACTCGTGATACAGATATGAAATGTGGTGAAAAGTGCGGTATTTGTAAAGAAGATATTTTGTGGCAGTATGATCGACAACGTCATATTAAAGAATGTCTGAAGCCCCGAAAACATGCCGATCTCGCTATGGCTAGACAAGAGTGGAGATCCGCTCTCCGAAAGGCCCGCGAAACTCTCTTGTCTCATGATAGTTTGGCTCCTCGTGGGAGGCCCAAGAGACGCAGCAAAAAGCGGCCACGACCCCCGAACGTGGCAGAAGCGTTGCCACGACATCACAAGGCTTCAAAGCTCAACGATGGGTCCCAAATATTGGCCAGTGCCAATCAGGAAGAACAAAATGCAGATGGTTTATCAAACTGTCCGGCCCGTGATATTTCCAGTTTGCACGTTATCTCTGAAAGTCAATGTTTTCCCCGGCGTCATGATGTCTCGTCCACGGTCCCAGTTCCAGCTCAGTTCAGCAATGGCTATAGCGGTGAAGATTTTTCAGGCGTTGATCAAAATCAAGACGTTCCCGAGCGAGCTCCATTCAGCAACTTTTATACGCTAGATGGCCCTTTGGGTATAGACAATCAGGAACTTCTGGATTTAGTTTCACAATCATTTGGTACAAACAGATTTGATTGACTTTCTTTTGCGCTCTGTTATTTTGCAGGTGGTTTCAATCGTCTAGGTTCGGCGTAAGAGCACCCTGATCACTGGTGATGTTGTCGGCTCGGTCGTTGGCTCGAGGTCTTGTTTTCGCTTCCTCTTCTTCTACCGCGGCAGTAATAATATGGTTTGGGGTCTTGATTGCTCGATTAAATCTTGCTCTGATTGCGAAAATCGTTCCAGCCATCATGTTTGTTATGTCATCCTGCATTGTAGATGGGAAAGGCATTGGTTTCCAAAATGGTGCTTCATCGCCGCAAGCAATTCCGATCATTATACATATTCCATTCGTTATCTGCCAAGCGCATCGGGCATCAACTAACGCTCTGAATTTGTCAGTCACCACGACCATTTGTAGCAAATCTTGACTTACAAACCGCCAGCATCTATGTCATGAGAGCGCATATTTATGTCGTCATGCTGCAGGGCGTTATCGGATACTCTCAATAGTGTGTTTGGTGCCTCCGTTGCTCCCAGATGGTGAAGATGTGAACCAGAGTAGAAAGCAGCCTTAGATTCACTCGACCAGCAGAAAACGGTCACAGTTCGCATTCGTGCGTCGTCTTTTCGGTTCACGATACAATGCTTAGACCGAGTTTTGCCGAATACTCGACAGAATATAAAGGTCGGTTCCCGCAGCAGTGGTTTGATAACGTTGGAAACGAGCTGGTATGGGTTAGATGCAGTCTGCTCCGAGAATAGCCTTACTCACATCATTTTGCAGTACTCCCCTAAAAAGGCTGCGTCCCTCCTCCGAGTAGAAATTATACCTTATGTTAATAATGTCTTGAACTAGAGCACCAATACGCGCATCTTGGTGCACCGAGAAACCTGCTGTTGATATTTCTTCAGTGGCACGGGCGATATCTGACGACATTGTTCCTGAGATGTTAAAGAACGACGGAGTTACTGCCCAAAATGCAGGATGGCAAGGCGGCCTTATAGTCACGTGATTTTAGATCTTCCTCATCTTATCAGTCTATCAGCTTATCGATAGAAGCTTCCCTCATACCTCATACCTCATGCCTCATACCTCATACCTTATACCTCATACCTTATACCTTATAACTCATGCCTCATGCCTCATACCTTATGCCTTATGTCTAGTGTTTCTACCCTTCTCAACATCATAACCACGTCTAAGCCCTTCTAATGCTCAGTATCACCATCCCATTATGCAGCTAGTAATAATCCCGGTAGGTCCCTCAAGTGCAGGCCGCTTCATGCAAGCCCGACTTGAGACCATTTGCGAGGCTACTTGTAATGCAAGAAAAACGCTCTCTTGATATTGAAGTATAAGAAATGGGTCGTCCTGAAGATGTGTTCAAGGCCAATTCCACATGAATCGCATTTTATATTATTACGCAAATCAGTATGCCATACACTCCAAACGAGAAAGACCAGCCGCAACAGGCCGGAAATAACCAAGATGCAAGTACGTCAAGTACTTCCGGTGACGATGCATCAGGTAAATCCCATGGCCTTTCATTTCGTTCGTTGATTCTTACAAGCAAAGGAACCCGCGAGATCGAGGGAAATGACCCCGTCACAGAGGAGCAAGGGGCAAAAGTGGATGTCGTTTACGTGGATAAGACAGGGTACACAATCGATTCTGCTAGCTCTTCAAAGTAGGGATAGACATTGAAATATAATGAAGGGTCCCTGACGGCGAGTGTGTTATACCTGGCCCAAGCAGAAAGCCTGATTTCATATTCCATGTAACGTCTTCTCGGAAGCTCTTGCTGCTAAGTGACATAACTGCTGGCTCAGCGGTTGGGGCAGTAGGTATGATGATCTTCAACCAATTTGAGCGAACAGTAATTGGGCCGGTATCATGACGTACAGAGTTCCTGCTGAGGTGTATCTGTCCTTGGCTGATAAAGCCAAGTTCGACCTTATAAATCAGCTCAGCTCTAGCCTTTCACAGTTTACTTACCAACAACCCGAGGACCAGGCGACCGACATCGTCATGACATACAGTCCAATCAAATCTGAAGCTTATCACCCCTGGAATATCTTGGGGTACACAGCCGTCCTGTTCCTTGGCTGCCATAGCTGACTTTTGCTGAATTATGTCTGGGAGGTCAAATCGTTTATAGCCATCCATGCGGTTAGGAATGGCATAAATTTCCTCGGTATTAAAGTGTTCAGTCAGACTATCTCGAGTCCATCTATTTCGGATTGCGTCGTAGCGGTTCTTCGGGGGACTGTTAAGTATATGGGGCACTGGTTTTCCGTTCTCCCTTACGGAAACAAATTTGAGGAACTCTGGCTCTTTGAGAGTGTTGGTACCAAGAGCTCTGCAAATCTCATTGTACTTATATTGTGGGTGTCCATATGCAACAAGAAATGGAAGATATAGGGCCTGTGATGCATGCTCCTCAGGGAGAATTTTCACATCCCGAAAGTATGACTTGAAACGATCTGGCTCTCTCTTGTAAGACACCAGAGACGCATAATCCAAAGGTGCTATTTATTTTTAGTAATGAAAGAATAGTCTACACTGATCACTTACAATAAAGTAGTACAGCTTCAAAGGCCCGATGCCGTAGCTTCAGGTAAATTTGATCCATCAAGGCAATCACACCTCGTACAAGAGAAGCGTAATTGCGGATAGTTCTGACCAAACATTGCTGAGAGGCACGTGCCTCATAGTTACGATGGGCCGTGTCCTCGTCTTTGCGGCTCTCTACGCAAAAGATCGCAATGTTGATCAACTTGCGTAGATTTTGAGGCAAGGCGCCGTCCAGGGACACAAGGTCCGAAACCCATGCATTGATATCAGCTGGAGTTGTAAACCGGAGACGTCTTCGGGCCTTTTGCCATTCGTCCTCAGAATTGGGTAAACGCTCCCCTAACGCCTTGAAGTGCCTGTCTCGTGGTTGTCGTCGTGATCGCAGGTCCGGTTGGGAGACTTGGAGCTGAAATTGGATCACGGAACCCTGTTCCGGGCCAAGCGAGGGGAGTTTGCGGCTCATCATACATAGAACTAACTGTATGAGCACAAGTAAGTGATGCAGTTGAAAATGAGTGTTTCTCCACGACAGGAAGTGATAGGATGGCACTAAGATGAATGAGGTAAAGGTTATGAGGCAATGAGGCGTGAGTTGTGAGGAATGAGGTGTGAGGCATGAGGCATGAGGCATGAGGTATGAGGCATGAGGCATCATGAAATAAGGATCAGCAATCTTAGCTTCTGGATATGGATCACGCTCAATCGTGATCCCAAGCAAGACTAGCTTACTCTGTGACAGAACGCAAATCCCCACTCTAAAACAGCATGGGAGGGGTGTGTGCTTAGAGTTAACCTACTTGCAACAGCGACAGCTACTTAAAGGAATGTGCAACCCGACAACAAGGCAACTACTTGCAGGCCTCACCGACACTGGTTCGCAAAAGGCTCGCAATTCAAGCCTTCCTTTCCGAACAGCCACTTCATGATCTCTTCTCAGACCTCGCAAGCCTTGGGTCGCGGCGCATACGACACAACAGGCTGTCCAAAGCCTCCACCAAGACCTAGACCATCATGAGAGGGGCCGTTCTCGCGCTATCCATTTCTACAGCAGCCTTACTATCTTCCTTGATTGCCATGGCGGCCTTGGTTTATCATCTTTATCTTGTGTTAAAGAAGACCAGAAAGCAACTAGACGGTATGTAATATACGCGTCCGGGTTGGCATGTACTAACAACATCAAGACGCAAACATTACTGAACTAAGCCCATGGAGGGTTTATAATATTTACCTCATAGTGCATGATCCTCAAACCTGGACCAAAAATAGAAACATTGCTCATGGCCATGCTGAGATACAAGACTCCAAGAACCACTGCACCTATAATCTCTATTCCTGTCTTTGTTTTGAAATTACGGGATTTAATAAGGAAACGAATGAGTTGTGCGATATCGGGAATTCAGAAACGGATGTTATCGTCGTTAAGGATGCCAGGAAAATCATACTTACCGGGGTTATAGTTGATGAGAGGTGTTGGCGGGGAGCTAGCCGTTCACTTGTGAAAATGAGATTACCAACAAAACCGATTCCTGTGGATCCCCTGGACTCGTCGGGGGGCATAGAGGATCCATGGGTTGCCTTTAGCAGATGAGATAACGGCATTCACACCCCTTAAGCGTGGAAAGTCCTGGCAAATAAACCCTGTCACAACCTTTGGTTCCTCGTGCTTGTGCAAACCTTCATATGAGACCATCGGTGAATTCTCCAGGCCATAACCCGGGGCTGTTCCAGTCAGAGAAATATTTAAGACCCTGATTGTCTCTTATATCTTGAATCATATGTCCTTTATCTCATACGCAAGGTAAGTGGTACTTGCTTACTATTGTATCCTCTACAATCCTAAATTTGAATAGCTACAACAGAACCGCAGCAACTCACCACAAAATGTCCAACGCTTGTGCTCATCAATTCCAAATGATGAAGTCAGATACCAATCTAATGCAGTGGATCTGCCAGCGCTGCCACTCTGGCCCTCATTGGATGATCTGGGAGTGCAGGTACTGTCAGCTACATCTGTGTCGACCTTGCACTACGGCGGATCCCAACCCTTCGATTGACTTTGCCTGGGGGGGGTTCCTATGTATGCGTATCTTCCACAAGGGAAAATTACATAAAGGTAAGACACATTAAAGTTTGAATTGAGTCATATTCTGATATTATTTAGACACTATGGGCAAACTCGAACAGCCAACGCTGGAGCAGTGGGGACAATATCTGAGTATATGTAAGCCTGAGGCTAGCAGGGAAGAATTTCTTGTCTATGTCACGCCTGGGTTCGAAATGAAGTGGTTGGCATCGACGATTGGCTTTATGAGATGACGAGTCAAGGCTTCTGTGCCGACTTTGCGCGAGTCGTCAAGCACTTACATCCCCATTTATATCCCATGCATGGTAAGATGCGCACACCAGAGACGGGCAGTAAATGCAGGCTCTGCCGTCATCGAGAAAAGGAAGAAAGGGAGAATGGCCATCATGTCTTACTATTCACTCCGTGGAATTATTCAATTCATAAAGAATTACAAGGCTGAACAGATCTTGATTAATAAGTAGAAAGTACTACATTAAAGCTGGCGAGAAAGAAATGAGAATAATAGGCAGATTAGCGAAAAGATTGTATAGTGGCAATAAAGACCGACATGAAGAAGGACTGGACTCTCCATGCAAAAGAAAAGAACATTTGCTCTCCACAGCCGAATTATTAGCTAGCACCAGCTTCGGGTAGTTCCTGCCGCCAGTAGTTGAGAGAGTGGAAATTGTTTATTGCAGTATGATCAGTCGAACTTGGCTGGCTGTTCAATTGGAGTGCGCTTCATGGGCGGAGCTTCGTGTGGCTGGTGACTCGAATCCGGAAATCTCAATGGGATATTGAGTAACTGGCTAATAGGAACTTGTTGTCCATCGTCTGGCGTGCGAGGAGGGTTAATGTCAGCCGTTTGTTGGCAAGAGCCGACGGAACCCTCTTTGCTGCTGAGATCGACCAACATCATGCAAATTTGGCCTTGTTGATTCTCAATTACAGCGAGGTCTGCACGTATGTCTAAGAGTTGTTTGTAGACATCTTCGAATCCGACGTTCAACTTGTGTTCGATTCGCTTTATGCCGCTGAGGACCTCCTTCAGCTCGTTGTTTGGCAGGCTAGTAGCACATGGAGATGTCTCCAGGTCATCAAGTACTTGCCAGCAGTGATCGGCAAGTGAAGCTTTTTGGTCGTAGGCAATGAGTTGGCCTCGTTGTGACAAGGCAACGCCACAAGCCACGATAAGCTTTGTTGTCGTGTCAGCCCAAGGGTTGAATATAGGAAGGTCAAGTCGACGCTTTATGGCATGAAGAACATATGATTCCACAGAGACTGCTTCTGGCAGCCTTGGGGGCAAGGTCAAGAAGATGTTGCCCTGGCGAGATGCCCGTTTCAGCCGGAAGACTTCAATGTCGTTCTGGAGATCGGCGTTCGTGCATCCTCTCTTTTGAAGGGGAGTATCCATCTCGAGGTACATCTCGTTCCGAATATAGACAGCAAAGTTGTAAGGATCAGGCTTCATCAAGTCGATAAGGGGATGAATTGACTCTGGATCGGGACCAAGGAATGAAAGAAGGTTAATGGTGATTATCTGCCGTTCGATGTCACACCGAACAGCAGGATTTTGAAGGGGATTCATAATGCAAATCGCCTGTCATTCGCGACAGAGAGGAGAAGTTGGAGGAAGGTCAAGAGGAAAGAAGATGGTCGGGGGATGGCCAGTATTTGTGACAGATGCTCCATTGACCTGGAGCTGCTGAAACATGGAACAAGCAACCATGCTGCCGTGGGAGATGACGAGGTTTGCAGCTGAGATAGGACACTAAACCAAGAACACTGAACCAAGAGTTCTTGCACGCCCCCTCGGACCCGCACGTCGATCCACGCCCTTGGTGGCTTACAACCCTGCCGCTGATAGTTCGGACTCACCCTTGTCAGAGCCGAGGAACGCTGCCGTTGATGCGCTCTTGGCCCTTCGGTCACTCAGCTCTGTAGTGCAGGGGCCGCTCATCTACAACAGAGGGACGTTGCCCCAACGGACGTGTTTTGATACGTATCTACATTATTCTCTTAACCAGTAGTCTCAAACGTGTTACTCAAAATTCGAACCAAAATGGCGTTCACTCTTATGACTAAAGAAGTATTTGATGAGCTTGGTAGGCAAGTCTTTATGCAGAACAAGAGTGAGACTAACAGAGTATAGAGAAACAAGGTATTATTAATGGGAAAGGCTTCCATTTATCTGGAAGACTGCACCATCACATCAAGGACCTGCACAGTATCAACAAATTCAAGTGGCTATCCACAGATATTATTGAAGAACCGGTTTCCCGATGGGACCTGCGGGAGAACAGCTGCATGACACTTGTCTCATGCAAGAGTGCCAAGAACTCGCATATTGTTCCTCCAGATGAGGATGTCATTATTGGATTATTTAATGAGAAAAAGAAGACTTACTTTGGGCTTAATGCTTCGAACCCAGGAGGGGGGTGGACTTCGCTGCCAAACGTGCGCCATTTGATGTTGCCGCAGTAATGGGGTATTGTTGGCTGCACTTAGCAGTCCTTGACAGTTGGCATTGCAGTGGGTGGTGTGATATGGCTGCAGACAGCAAATGCATCTGTGTTAGTGGTGATATGCAGCCTCATGGTCGGGAACCCTGAAAGTTCGTTGGCTCTGTGGGCTCGATGATACTCAAACGATGAGGCAATGAGGCAAGGACGAAACTGAGGCATTCCGGGGCAGAGATCCATGTTAGTGGCTGGGGGCGAGACAAAAGTAGTTACATAGATATGCAGCCTCATGTCAGGAGCCCTTGACTGAATTGTTAAAGAGCTGCAGATTAGTCCCTACAGACCCTCACCCTCACCACCAGGTATAATTGGTTTGTACGAGGTACACATGGGGTTGGACGTGGTGCTTGCGGTGAACAACAAGACCTCGTGGTATCATGACTCGCTGTTCATTGGCGACGTACTTCGAACTCTCTCTGGACAGTTATCTAAAAGTACATATAGCCTCATGTCCAGAAATCTTTGGAGATTCGTGATACAGGTCAAACTTACACTTTACCTTGGTCATTCTTCTCGGTAGATATGACTACATGGTATTATATTTTACCAGCTTCTTTTGCTGGCTACGCTCCTGGACAATATAGTAAGTTTCAATCTCCCCTCGGAAGGAGGATATCTAAGAGATAAAGAATCCGCAGAGAGAGGCTCTGAGTTTCTCAGAATGTTCGGTGGCTTTCCAAATGACAGCTGTGTCTACAATGTCCCTCACGGGGACATCGGGAAATGGAAGAAGGACTGGAGTGTCTCATTGTTGGGTGCAAAAGATGGGATTACAGTGATGGAATGTCGGTACAAACGTAGCCTCAAGGTCAGGGACCCCTGAAAGCTCATTAGCCTGGACAGTGCTCAGCGTCCCCCTCTTCGAGCTCAGGCTATTATACAGTCTCGCTACGCCATAAGAAATACATAAATAGCATATTACGCTGCCTCTTGTCATTTCTTCTTTTTGAATTGCCAGTCACGCTGCTTATATGCTTTCTTAATTATCACCCTCAAGCTTACCACCATGGCGCAATCTATACCAAAAGACCAAGCATTTATTACTGCCTCAATTCTTCGAGAGCTTGGTAAGTTTAAGTGCTTAGCATATAGCGGTATGCTCTGATATCTTTAGAATTCATTTCACCTCAGTCCTCCCCAGTTGTAAATTACAGGTCTTTATTCATCCCTCCAGGACAAAGAATCCATGTTGTCCAAAGCAGTGTCGCTACCATCCAAAAAAGATGCGGCTGGGGTCTCATCTCATCAAGGGAATCCAACGGCGACAGTATCATTATTGGGGCATGGACAACGCAAGGCACAAAGAGGTACTGGATAGGGTATATCGCTCAGAGTTATGTCACAGCGTGGACTGTTTTTTAGAGCCTTGTTGTAAATGAGGCTTTGGGCGAGCCGCGACCCATGTTTCTTGGAGGGAAGGGAAACGACTGCCGGGCGGACCATAATCTTAGTTGTTGCCTTATACTCGCTGTTCGCTACGAGTTTCGTTAACTCTACTCTTGTCTGCCATTCTCGACTCTCACTCCAGGTGTGAATAAATCATGTTGCCGCCAAAACCCCATGCAATGTAGTAGCTGGCGGTAAGACCATGGTGTTCTTGATGCAGTTGCATGAAGGCCCTTGATCTGCGGCCTCTGAATCAAATCCTGCAGCCACATCACCCTTCAGAGCGAGGCTCTGGCGGTGAAAGTTAGAGAGATGAATGTTATATGAGGTGCTACCATACCGAGAAATTTTGTTGTATGAGCTTCACTTTCAACAGGTTTCTCTCCACCAACATGGACTCAGTACCTAGTAAGACTCTCTCCTCCACTATGTCTACGCAATACTGACAGCCCTGATGGCTCTCTATGCTATCCTACAACGATTGATGGCAACAGCGGTACATCTACTCTAAAGTTGATAGTATTCGGTGCCAATGGCGGAATCGAAGCCAGAGAGGCCAAGCAATATGCAGAGAACATACCAACTGAAGAGGGCAAAGAAGGTGCAGAGAGCGTGACTACAATTAACGAAGAACCTGATATGGAGGCCAGTCAGGACACAGATAACATACCAACTTGCCACGATACTCAAGAGAATTTTCAGTTCGCAGAGGGCGAACAGAAGGCAGAGAGCGTGACAGTAATTGACAGCGAACCCCAACCTGGTTTAATGGAGGCCGATCAGAAAGCAGCAACGATCTGTCTCAAGGTCCAAGACAGACCTGAAGACAAAATAATGGCTTGGGTGCAGGGTGTGAGGGATGCCACCAATACTTTATTAGATAAGCCATATGAAAATTAGTTAGCGAAAATTCAAGATGTGCACCAGATTGTGACTTCCCAGGACGTTAGCGCTTAAAAGTGGCTCGACGCAGCACCGCCTCAACGCCGTGGCGTACGGCATGGTGCGGGGTAATCTTATCAGTCGGGTGATAATCCAGCTCCGTGCGTACAAGCTGGTCCGAGCATCCCCGCGCGCTCGGATCCCCTTGTCTTAAGCAATGGGTACATAAGTAGCGGAGTGCTCCCGTTAAAAGACGCGCCGTCAACGCAAGGCCGTATCCGCTTTGCACAGACCAGCCCATCTCAGCAACACAATGTCCACGTCTAACCCTCCAATGCCAAAACAAGACTCATTAGTTGAACGACTGGAGGAGTTTTCTTCAGGCTTCAGTGCACTATATTGCGCGCTCGCTTTTGATCTTTCTCAAATAGAGTGCCAGTCAAGTAGGGAAACGCGTTCCCAGTCAAAAACGCCAACGGAAACCCAGTCGACCGAGCAAATAGCTAAGCAGCGCGAGAAATCGGCTTACAACATACTGAGGGCAGTCTTCCAAGACTTGGATAGTTTAAAGGTTCAGTTGGAAGCAATAACGAACGATGTCGAAGCTCGAGATACCATCAACGAACAAGTCATAAAAGAAGCAACGAGCGGTCTACAGATGGGCACCCTATCAGATACTGGCGAGGTCGCAGCCACTACACCAATCGGAAGCCCTGAGCAAGAGACGTCGTCCCAATCTCAGGCAAGCGGAGCCCCGTCGCCGACATCAGACGACCAGCCGACCATGGGATCAGAGGATGTGGCCGTCCAACCAGAAGGCGTTGGTGAAGCCGTGGATACACAAGTCCAGCCCGAAGCCTCTACAGATATGTCGGAGGGCCAACAAGCCGTCGAATCAGAGGACGTGATCATGGGCGAGAGTGAAAGTGCTGACGGGTCACCATCACATTCACTCGAGGGCAACGATGACGACACGGCCCATCACACAACCCCAGAGCCAACTACACCAAGACTAAGTCAATGGGTTAGCCTGAATACGAGACCCTGGAGCTCGTCCACGGGCAGCGGCAAGGCTGTGAGCGAATCGCTTGCTTCTGCTGTGGACAGTTCACCAGCTGGCTCTGTTACGACTCACATCACTTGGCCAGACAGCTCCACTGGTGCTTGTGAGCAAGATACTCCTATGTCGGGCGCTGAGGGTACAGATGATGACCAGTCACGATACTGCCCGGCTGGAGGCCTTAACGCAACACGAGCTGAGACGGATATCATCCAACCGCCGCAGAGTCCTGCAGCCAACGAGACCACCAACTTGGCAGATTCTGTGGTCGATATTGAGGCTTATTCTACCCCTCGGACGCCGCAGGGCCATGCAACCAACGACGAGGCTAATTCTCCTGGTTCCAGCCAATCATCAGCAGCAGAGGACAACGACGTCCAAGGAGATGCTGACCAACGGGATACTGGACCTCGAAGCAGATTACCAACTCTATCGCTGGCCGATATGGCAAGGCTTCCTTCCAAGATTCAGGAATTAGAAGCCCAAGGCTGTGCACAACATATCTCGGTTCCTCATGTTGATGTTGAATTGGAAGATGTGAAAAAATGTATTGACAAGGGAGATTGGAGATGTACAACCTGCGAATACAAAGTGGACCGGAAAGGCGAGGGATACGTGTCGATCTATGCAGACGTGCCGAAGGACCAACCTTTGATTGATTGGCCAGGCTTCAGTGCACAGTTCAATCGGCCGACGACTGATGAAGCCAAGGCTGTATTTGAAAATACCGTCCAGAATCCACCAGAAGGGAAAATTCCTTACTACATCGGACATGCAGACATTCTCTCTGAGCAGCCATTAGATCCTGGGCCCCTTATTACTGGGAACCCTGATTTCATTGACATACACACCAACTATCAGCACATTGGTGGCCATCGCTCAGGAAATCGTATTCACTGGGAAGACTTTACTCATCTAGATGAAACCGACGAGGGACCAGTATGGCGCGGCCTGCGATCCTTTAACCAGGTTTACTTTGGGACTGGATACAAACTGTGGTTAGTGATTGCAAAACATCACATAATCAAGTTTGATGCATTCGTCAGAACAACGTGGCAATGCAGAGAATGCATAGGCGGGATTTCGCACAAATGTCTCTTGCTTGCCCCCTCGAGTCTTGAGAAGGCAGGCATTGACTTTCACATCTACGTTGTTGGACGTGGAGAGGCTGTCTGGACTTTGCCTGGGCAGCAACATAGCATCATCAATGTCGGCCATTGCGCTGCCCGGTCAATGAATTTTCTATACCCTGGCGAATCGATTGATTTCAAGAAGCTTGCTCACTGTCTGGATTGCGATCAGCATCCCCTCAGCATCCAATATGGCATCCCATTAGTGTCAACAGAGCCCGACCGGAAGCGCAAACAACAAGCGCATTCCCACTTACCTTTGAAGAAGACACGCAACGAGACTGCTCCCCAACGAGAGCTCGTTAAAATCAAGGAAGCGCTACAAGCAGCAAACCTAACTTATCGGCCGATAGCGATCGACCACGAAAATCCATCCGTCGCAGAAGTCAACGTCTATAAGCTAGCGGCTGCAGTACGAAGCACACTCGCCATAGAGCAGTTTATTGAAGTTGTGCGGCAATGCAGGGACCCGGAAATCAAGACTCAACTTATCCAAGCGCGAAGTTCCTTGGAAGGAGCTGTCGAATTAATGAAAGCTGCAGACGATCACACAATGGCCCCAAAACTTCGCGTTCGGCTTGGTCAATTGAATCTTAGTCAACAAGCTGAAAAGGAAAAACCGGGCTATCGGAAAAACCACAAGGGCGGCTTTCTCGACGAATTTGCAGCCAAGCATGGATTAATAAGGACTCGACTGAAACACCATCTTCAAGAAGGAAAGAAGTGGACATCGGTATGCACGTTGCACGATGGACTACTGCCTTTTATTTTCTTGAAATCAGAAAAGGCTCTTGGAATTACTAAAGAGGACTGGGTAACAGCCACTCCCGAGGAAAACAATAAAGCATTCCACAAACTCCTTGATGATAATTATACAAAGAACCTCTGTATAGCAGGAAAGGCACTTGAAAGATTGCTTTTTGGAGAGTCGGTCAAATTTCTTTGGGAGAAGAATGGCTTGGACCCAGATGCGCATAACATCGATGAGTTGCTTAAGGAATACGAAATGGAAGAGGCGAGCGCTGCCCCAACTGACCATGGTGCACGCGGGGCAATGGCTTAGTCATTTGGATCTGTAAATCCAACTTAGTCATCATGGCATAATACAGCTACCCTAGACAGAGCAGATGTTTTGCAATTAGCTACCCTACACATTAACTTCTTTTCAAACTTAGCCCATGGCAATGTCTTGACTTCCACTCAACCCTTCCTTCCTAACCATTATACCGTGGTGTGCTGCGAGTTGATCCATTCTTCATTCTTTTTCTGATGAAATGTAAAAGTTGCGGTAATTTTGACGTGAAGCCGACGTATAACTGCGAGCTTTTCCTAAGCCAAACAAGATATAAACTCTCGGTTTTAATGAGCAAGCACGACTGCTCGGCCAGTGTGAATAAGACGTGGCTGCTTCATCAAGTGGAATTTGAACACCACTAGGCTTAATACAGACTGCTGATTGGAGTGGTCGTCCAGACAGAGTAGATATTCGACAGAAGAACGATTCCCATGAGCCACTGAAAAGAGTGACATTGCGCAACACAAGTTGCTGAAGCTGATGTCGTTCAACGAAACTTATCAAGTCATTTTCTGTTGTCCAGAGATGGCGAAAATGAACCCGCCGAATGTGTTGCCATTGTAGAGATCCCAGAGCTATCCTTTGCTCGCTGATATGCCCCCCAGACTCTGTACCCAGAACAAGCTCATGAAGATTCGGAAACGACTGGAGAAAGCTCTGTACCTGATGGTGCTCATAGCCGCGTACCACTAAATTACTGACGTCAAGAGATACGATATTTTCATTTGTTACTCTCCATTCGCCATCTTTCATGTCTAGGGTGCTCGGGATGTCTAGCCCAGTGATCTGAGGAAAGTTGGGGAGAACTGACAGCAGCCGGTATGCAAGATCTTCGACTCTCGCTTTGAAGAAGGGGACTATCCGTATCTGTGTACGAAGTTCTTCATAGTGGTCATTCCTAAGTTTGCCCCATCGCCATGCATGTATGTGAGACAAAGTCAAGCTTGTCAACTTTGGAAACATGCTCAATATCCTGGTTAGACTGCAGACGTCGGTATCAAAGGTGCGGCTGGCCTCTTGATCAATGAACTGCCTGTAGGCGAAGTAAGCATGCATCTTTTCGTGCTCAGATACATGCATAGGACTGAGAGTCTGTGGATGAGTGCTCCATTCATCAAGAGATCTGAGCTGTGGCCAGATGGCATGATGAAGGGTTAAATGCCTGACGAAAGACGCTGAGGCTGGGGATCGCTTCTGAAATTCGTAACATTGGTTCAAACATTCCACTGTGTTCATGACTTGAACACGATGGAACAGGACAGGAGATGCGGCGTATGCGAAAGCTCGGCTCACTTGCCGCAAGTGGCTTATGTCTGAGGTAGTGTCTAGATTGCGGGCAATTTCGGTCACGAGTTCTAGAGGGATAGCATCCATGATGTCTTTGAGTAACAAACGTCTGCTCTACAGGTGATGAACACGACTTTTAGCTGCTGTATATAGCCATTGAGCCGTAAGAATACTGCTCAGCGGTTCTGAGAGCCTCCGTTGGACTTTTACAGCAACCCCTAAACTGAAACCAGACACGCGAAACGGGAAACAAACAAAGGTTCCTGAATGGAAGCAGCTTTCAAAAACAAGAAACGGATATAAAGCTGAAGAACGACATCAAGGCTGTAGGCAAGTTGGAAATAAGGCTGAAGTTAATGCACAGCCTGTTGAGGTGTTGTAAAAGACTTTACAGGCATCTCTCATGGCAGGATTGATGTTCTCAAAATTTTATTCCGTACATTGAGCTGTGTAGTTACTAGCTAGTCTATGATAAAGTGGATTTTCCCACCAAAGATCAAAGCTGCACATCAGGAATAACAAATTTTGGAGAACAGGGATAGCACATCTGGGTTTGAAACACAAGAAGAGGCGTAATGCCCTTCGCTAGACGATACCCGCTAACACGTAGCTGCCTACTCTCCTGAGATCTCCGAGCTATCACTGTATGCTTGGTTCTCTTTGTACCCTTGAATTATCTCGGCCATTTCGCTGGATCGGATTTCCTCCTCAATCTCCTTGGTCACCACAGCCCCAAATTTCAAAAGAACACTAGCCACTGCCGGGAAATCTCGAATAACGGCATGATACAACGGCGGCTGGTACAAAGGCCCGATGAGATGAGGATTAGCCCCATGCTCCAAAAGAACTTGGGCACATTCTACGTGGCCGTGTGTCACGGCGTTCATCAAGGCCGTACTTCCTTCGCCAGCTTCTAGGGGTGTGTTTCGATTATCGATGTGGGAAATGCATGCCTCTCGTGTGCTCTCGGAGACAAAATTGCCGTCATCTTTGTCCAGTAGAGCCTTGACGATACCAAAGCCATCTGTATCGTCTTGAGTTGGTACCTCTGCGAGAATGTGGAGAGCGGTGTTTCCAAGCCGATCTTTCTCAAGAACATGGGCTCCGTGCTGGATAAGATAGACGATGGCTAGCACTTTGGATCCTAAGAATCGATCCGAAGGTGTGCGCAAGAGGAAGTGAAAGACACGGTCTCCCATTTGCCAGGGCATAACTCGGTTCAATTTGGATCTTGGATTCATGTTCAGAGCATACATCATTCTGATTCCTTGAAGGCATGCTTGGTAGACTACCCACGAGTCGGCCACTGATACGACGAATCCCATCTCCGAGAGATGACGAACCCGAGGGATATTGCCGGCAAGAACCGCATGGACAAGGTCATCCGTTGATCCATGAATTTCTTCCGAGCTGTGGTAACAGACAATGGGAATATCGCCGACCAAGGACTCGTTTGAGGAGGAGCTGGTGCTGCAGGATGTAGACGACATGATATCAACAAATACAGACGTAGTTTTGAACGTTTGCTCTGGATTTCGATTCTGAGGCTATGCTGCTGATTTTAAGCAAATATATCGTGCTATTTAGTGTTTTCTGCAAACTGTTTTCTGTTTAGGCGCTTGCTTCAGCGGTTGGCAAACATTCACCACACCACCTTCAAACTCGGCGCTTCCCTGGATTAATGTTCTAGAAATAGTATACCAAGGCGAGACTCACAAACGGGATTGGTTAAAGGGAATAAGAAAGCTTCAGTGATAAACCTCTCTTGTATCCTTACGTTCCAATCGCCTCCCACTGCCCATACAGTCCCTTTATCTTGAAACCCCCAAACCTCCTTGACCATGTCTTTTATCCAGAATAGCCTCACCATCGGTGATTATAGCATTAGATGCGTCCTCTTCTTGTTTGAGATCGCTGGATTGCTAGCTGTCTTCTTTGGCATTCCTTCTTCATTTATCTACTTCGCCTGGTTCACGCAACAACACCTTTCGCCTGCCATCAACAGTTCTGACGGCAGCACGCTTCAGTCGCGCGAAACTTTTATCACCCTGGTTTTCAATGCTGGTTATTCGCTCATCGTTATATGGGGGTCCATGCCCTACTATAGCCTACGGGGAAGCCTGTCGCACCGGTTTCGTACCTGCACAGCAGCCATCTTTCTCCTGAATTCTGTGGTGTTGACCGTGCTGGATTTACGTTTGGAGCTTTTCATGAGAATATGGTGGTTTCATTTTGAATCTAGGGATCAAATGTATCTCGCGAAGCATTGCCAGGCCATGGCTGTTCTCTTTTGTGTTCTTTTAGGTTTGGGTCTGCTCTTGCTCCAGCTCTTAGTGTCTTACACCATGGCCTACGGCACCCCCAAAACCCCTGGTGTCCTTAAGCAGATGTTGGTAGACTTGAAGCGGCTTCTAGAGTACTATCGGATTGGAAGGTTGGCAGAGTCTGATGATAGCCCTGAGACCCAGAAGATCATGGATTCGGAAGTATTGCCGTAGCTCTGTGGAGAGAGATATCTAGGCTCAGCTTCCCACCAGACGCATTGACAAATAGCCACCCATGGATTCAGAAAACAGGTTTCGGAATGCAGTAGAGGCTAGAGGAAATTGTTGTATATAGATAGAGGTATGGCCTACAATATTTTCTTCCTGTCGGGGTCATACTTACATCGCATGTTCACCAATGCCATACGACACGCTTGAGAGTCTCCATGTTGTTGCATTGTTCAAAAGAAAACTCTTGAAATTCAGATGCAAGAGATTATTTAAACACCTGGATAAAGCTTACCAGGAGGGGAAAATCAATTGGATTGATCACGATGACTTGGTGGAAGAGCTATGGTTGACGGTGCACGAGGCCAACTGTAAGTGGCCAGCCACTCCAGGTACGAACGACATGCTAATTTAGGTGCAATATCACAGCCGAAAGATACAAGTCATTATGTCGGCGTTTGCGGTTGCTTGATTGCAAGACTTGATGATAAATTCGGTTAGGAAATGGTACTCGATATCCATAATAGTATATGTACATGAAATCTTTACCCGCCATATTCTTCTTGAGTTTTGCATGCACAATGTACTGTGTCTTGTCAATACTAGCTTTAGTACCGCTGATGGAGATTACTGACTGTCCTCAACTTTCTGAACTCTCAACTCCAATGCTTGAATGGCGATGGTCAAGGCTTTGACTGAATCTTTGATCTCTTCGATAAAGGAAGCAGCACCTTGGGTATCAAAACCTGCTTGCCCTGGAGCGGGTTGCTGCTCTTGGAAGACCACGACCAAAGGTCGCTTCCAACGTTGGTCGATCATTCCGCGTGGACGAGCAGAGGAGGACACCGGGGTAAGAGGAACACTCCCCTCAGACGTGCTGGAATCCATTATGGGCAGGTGGTGGCGAACGAAAACAAGAATGAATCGCTTGTTTTTGCCACCTTGCTCTCTTAAATATACAGAAAGGAAACGGCGGCTTGTCCTTTGGGTCGCATCGCTTCATGAACACCATTCCGACTTACCCAAGCGCTTTGATGCAGCCTTCGTCACATACTAGCAGTGAATGAAGAAACCAATGGAAATCACTTGATAGCAACCTTTTAGTAATGGATGTGTGGAGCATGAGTTCTTGTACGCGGCATAAAGAGCTCATGGCAGTCTCCCAGTATCTTCCAATCCTGAACAAACAGAGAGCACTGTTCAGAATGTCTCACGAAACTCTGATGCGATCCTACCAAGATAGCCTCTACACCATGTTGGGCTCACTTCGTCAACTCGAAGGCCACTTGAAAAACATACAAGCAAGGACATTTGAGATGACTGAGGAGATTTCATACCTTATCTCTGACAATCTCAGTCTTCTGGATAGTGTGAACAGCCAGGTAAGGCGCGCAAGAAATAGACACTAAAAGTAATACTGATGGCATCTAGATTCTGAAAACTTCTGAGAAGGAACCAGCAGCCCCGAGCACTCCACTTCCTCCTGCAGCACCATGGGAGAGTTCGGAGTCTCCCAGCCAGTCTGATAACAGTGGTGCAATGTAGTTCCAAAACGAACCGGAGGGATGCACTCGAAAACAGTGCGGCTATACTTAGTGCGAATAAAATACATAAATTGAATGCTCCGTCTCCGGTGAACTCTGCCTTCTGTTTCTCTACACGCCTTGAACTTTCAAACACTTGAATATGCTGCCTGTTCCGACGATCCTTTTCTCACACAGTCAGTCAGTCACACATCGCAATGTAAATCGCGACGATACCACCAGAAAGCTAATAGACGACCTGAAACGAAGGCTCGATGAGCTGGATACAAAGATGGAAGTTTTGATGAGAAAAGTTGGGCCCGCCCTTGTGAGCAATATCTGGGAAGTTAGTAACATAAGCTCTAGGATCGCATCAGAGTGCCTTTCAGTCCCGCAACACCGAAGGCAATGCACCGTGGCGGACATGAATGAGAAGCATGAGGGGTATGTTGCCTGAAGCAAAAATGAATGTATTGTGAGCGCAGCTCTAGACGACAAATAACCACATTCTTGAAAACAATATCGAATAAATGAGTGACCTTGAGATTGCTGTCAGGCATCTATCCTGACTGAATAAAAAAGAGCGACTAGAACAACCAGTAAACGATGACGAGCAAGTGTACACCAAGGAGAGAACTACCAATAGTATTGGCAGTGCTTGTGACGACAGCTAAATTAAGCTTCGAGTTGACTGAGATGGTGTGAGTGAATATGAAGATGCAGGGTGCACAAACTACAGCTTACTCTGTGTTGCCCGGGGGCTGATAGTACCGATAGAACCAATCGTACCAATCGTGACATTCTTTTGAGTCTTCGTGTGAGTTTGAGTAGACGTTTTCGTGACGGCTTGCGTGGTTGGCGTGTTCGTAACGATGTGACCAGTTGCGAAATGCATATCGTGTGTGTGGGTTGCCGACTCCTGGTTGCGAATCACCTCATCGGTAATCGTTATGGTCAAGGTGGTGACAGGCTTCGATCCAATCAAGTTATCAGTGATATACTTAGTTACGGCGGTTGTAAAGGATATGCCTGAGTGAGGGTCTGGTGTTGCCAATGGAAATGACGCTGTAGTTGGTATAATGTTTGTCACGCTTTTGTCCAAATTGGTCGTCTCGCAGACGACGGCCAGGGAGGGGATGGCAAGATCTACATCTGAATGGCCACCAGTGATCAAGGCACGGGCACATGATAGTGTTTCACCGGCGCATTGACTGCAAGTATGATGAATTCTGGATTCCGTGAGGAACACTAATGACTTACAATGTGATGTATGCCTCGCCTGATGGGGACTCAAGAGGAACAACAAAGTTTACCAACCCTGCACCAACACAAGTGGGCGGCTGGAAGGTGTAGGTGATAGGCAAAAAGCTCGAATTCTCGAAATGGAGGGAAACAGAACAAGGCCCTGCATGTGTGTCGGTGATCCTAGAATGTAAGTCGCCGAGGTAGTAGTTGGCCAGGACGCACCCCCTACCTTGCCGAAATCAAGGAAAGTCCCGCCTCCAGCCCAACGGGGTTCAGAAGACACATTGACGAATGATCCGCAAGACTGGCTGCATAATGAACCAGCAGCATGAGCTGATTGAGGAGAATGAAGTTCTTCATTTTAGGAGAGCAATGATCGAAGGTAGTCTCATGACGAAGTCAGGATAGACACAGACACCTTTTAAGACTTGATCACATACAGAAACTGTTTCAAGCAAACCGTAAATACAATCCCGAAACGGAATACATCAAGTCCATGGGCGCTAACAGCAGCGCTTACACAAAAGGTGCATTCATCCTTGGCGCCCTGATGCTCAGCTCCATCCTAAAATAGAGAGAGCTCGACGATGATAAAAGATCAGAGCGCCCAAATCATCAGGTCCATCTGTCGTGCAAATTCAAGACATCAAGCTGTCATGTTTGAGAACCAGAGCCAATGGAACAGGGCGCCTGGGCCTGCGGGGACTTATACGTGGACACAAGTTCCTCAGAAACCAGATCCCGCCCTCAGCAACAACTACTACAACACCCAACCATCCAACTGCCCTGACGACTGGAGTCACCTCTTTGACACCAATCATCAGAGGGAATCCTCCTCTCATGAGCAGTTTCAGTCAGACCAGACCAATGATCACTCCTACTCGAATTTGCTTCCGTCCATCCCGCCCAGTGTCTCACCCATGGCTACTGGTCACATTCAACCCTGCAACCTGAACATTGTCCTGAAATCAGATCAGGCCGATACCAGTGCTCAAAGGTAACACGTGGACCCAGTATACTAGAAACAAGGTACTGACTGGATAGCTCTGAGCTGCGTGCGCGACTCGAGCGCCTAGAACGAATCCTTGACGGACTGCAAGCGTCTCTCGCTGATCTAACTAGAACGGTAGAGACGAAATCGTCCGGCTTCGAAGAGGACGTAGCGAATTCATTGGGTGCAATTACGAAAGGGATGGAGAAGTTCTTCAACCGGTTTGCAAGCCACTTGGAAGATGAGGAAATCAAATTGGCAGAAGCGCGGATCACTCAAGTTGAGATGGCACCCATGTGATGCAGCCATCATGCGGGTAGGCGTAGGTGGGGTAAAGCAGGGGTTAAGGTAGTTCATGTATGATTAATTGAACTGGATTATGATAAGAAGCTGAACCAATAACATTGGTTACCAACTGGCTGGTACGGTCTCCCATTGGCGACTCCAGCTCTTAGTGTAGGCTACAGCATACGATTTATCCACACCAAAAAAATCCAACACGCTAATTCTTTCCCTTTTTGTCATCGTAGGGCTTGCCGATCAGTGATTAACCGCAGTCGTTTCGAGGGCGGTGGGCCCACTTCTGAGTATTGAGAATTGTAATCTCTTTGTTGGGAGTAATGATCTGAGTTCCTTGAATACTGAGAAGGTAATGAATCTCGAGAATGCTGGACAAGCCGAGAGTCCTGAGAGTATTGGGATCCAGAAGTTTGCGATAAGTACGAGGTTCGGGTGCGAGGCGGTTGGTCCAACCTCATCGTCCCTTGGTACTGTTGACGCATTTGAGGACGCCTTTGTGGCCTCATCCTTCGGATTGGCGGGACCGGTTCAAATTTCGGGGAATGTGACATGCCTTCAGGCTTTGACGCAGAAGCACCTTCTATCTTCCTCGTGTCTTCCACACTTGCCAGAGCTGACGGACTTGTCATCCCGGCTGGAGTCAGAGAACTCGAAAATAAGCCCGTCCACGGCCACCCAGTGCGAAAAGTCCGGAGGGAACCTTGTTTTCTTTTTTCCCTAGGCTTCTCAACCCTTTCGGGCCTGTTCGTCGGTGGCCAGGCCGGCAAGGGGGAGTTTGTCGCTGGTTTCCATCTAAATGACGGTTGTCGAACATGGGAACCAACCTTTCTCCTTTGAGAATTTGGTGACAGCCCTGCCGTAGTGTCCCTTCGTGAAGGGCTCATCGGGCTCCTTCTCGTGAAGTGGTGGTGTGCGCTAAGGACCTCGGCTATACTTGTGGATGTCCCTCCTTCGACCACATCTGTCGCTAAAACGCCTTTTTCTGCTTCCACCGCGGTGTTCGTTGCGACATTCTGCCTTGAAGTCCAAGCTTCCGCGCTCGTGGCCGGATGTGCGGACTCGAGGTTCATTATGGTTCCCTGTTCTCCGATTGGCTGGTACCTCTCTAGAAGCCTCAGAGGGTCAGGATTTGACAAAGATGGTGTGGAAAATCTGCCGGTGCGAGTCTTGATTCTCGATGGGAACCTTTCAGAGAGATGGCCCGTTGTTGAGAAATCTGTTTCATCAGCCTCTTCCACAATTCCATGTTCCTCAAATGGTTTGCTGACGGAAGGACGAAACGGATTGTTAGTGAAAGGGCGAAATGGATTGTTACTGACGGTGAAACGAAACGGATTGCGACTGGCGAATTGGTCAAACGGACTTTCGTCATATGAACTTGTGGTCCTCTGTGGTGGTCTTGCCAGCTGAGGTTCTCGCAATGTGCTAGGGCCTGCCAGCGAGGTTTCTGCACTAGTCCTATACTTACTGAAAGCCCCGCTGTGAATAGACGTGTCTGCAGGTGCTTTTGCAGGCAAGAAACCCCGCAGTACAAGCTCAGGCGAGCTAGCAGGGCGTGACGAGAGCGTTGAAGCTGCTGGTGGGTCACGTCTGGCAGCCCCAGGTTCTCGTAGCGTGCGAAGCTCCTCATGCGTGTCACGCTCAATACCATCTTCCAGATCCTGGCCGTCACCATCTTCATGCGGCTGCGCTCCATGATCTTCCGAGAAGAAACGTGGAGAACGGCGCATCCGTCGAAATATCGTATCCTCATCGATCGGAATTGACTGATCTGCGTCCTCACCTGCGCGACTCTTTCGCCGTTCTTTCACTATGCGGCTCGATCTCGGTCGCAGAACGTTCACCATGGATTTTTGCTTAATTTTGTCCTCTTTGTCTATCGCGCCTGTTGGCGCGTCCCGACCCGTCTCGGGCATCCCACCTTCCTCCCGGTCTGTAGCAGAGTAGAGGTCTTCGTTATCGGATAGGCTCTTATCTTCGCCAGGCAGGTGCCGCAGGGTGGGTACCACAGGACACTGTTCACCACCTAGATTGCTCAAGTCGTTGGTTTTGTCAAAAAATGCATCAATAATGTCCTGCATGACGAATAGCGTGCTAGGTTTCCGTCCTCGATTGACAGGACCGTCCAATTGAGGAGGGAAAGCTACTGATTGGAGGTTTATGTAATTCTTAGTGAACGGGACCCCCCCACGCCAGTCAGCCGGGATTCCTGTTCGCGGAACATAATCAGGCAAGAAAGTGTATTCGGTTGCACTGTTGAGAGTGTCCGCGATCTTTGTGTTATTAAATCCGCAGCTATGCGCGAGCTGCGCGAGGTATCGGATGCGTGATCTTTCAGGAAATGAAGGCATGGTCTCCCCTCTGACATCTTGTCGAGGGCTGTTTGCCGTGAGCCGCGCAAAGTGCCTTAACGCAGCAATAAACAGATGTTTGTAAGCACCGTATTTGGTGGGTCTCCCTGTAACCAACTGAAGCCTTGAGTCGGCGACTTCGACGTAATAAGTACCTGGATCAGACCAGTGGTCCCCCAGACTCTGATATAATGTCGGAGTGTCCTGCTTATTATCCTCAAGAGGTACCATGAAGTGTCCCCTCAAAAACTTGGCACCCAAAGAAATGTACTTCATATTTTCGTGGAACGTCTCGAGGCTCGGAATGATGACCTGTACCGAGAGCACTTTGTCTCGAACGAAATCTCTCAGGTCCAGGTCTTTCAGCCCGCGGAAGAGAGTTCCGTCAGTAAACATGCGTTTTATAGCAAGCCTATCAATCTCGCTAGTTGACGGTGCCCGAAATTGGAGACATTGAACAGTCTCCAAATCTACAGCGGCATTGACCTGAGGATTGTCGCCAGTGATGTCCTTCCACACAGAGAGTATATGGCGTAGATAATGGCAAATCTCCTCATCAATATGCAGGGCCAGGTGCTTGTGGATGTTTCCCAACTTGAGACCACCAGTCACGCCTGGAAATCGTTCCAAAGCATCGAGGTCGTGTACAAGCGGCAGGTTTTTCAACAAGCCTTTCAGGCTAACATGTTTGCAAGGCGTCAAACGCGCCCGGCACTCCTTCTCTCTCAACTTGTCCTGGCTTTTCATGTACTTGCGGACAAGCCGATAAATTTCGGCATCCGAATAAGGTATCTCGTGCGAGGTGTATTCGACTTGATCCTGGAGGACTTGCTGGCTTTCCCAGGATGTGGACAGCTGGGTGGGGAACTGTCGCCAGCTACCCTGAACACAGTACAACCTTACCACCCACCATGACAGTGGCCGATTCTGGGTCAAAGCGCTCAGTCTGTGCTTCCCATCGAGACAGGCTATGGCATGACCTGAGAGAAGAGGATATTTTTTTTGCTGCAAGGTGGACTTCAGAGCCCGTTCTGTAACACCGAGAAGTGAAAGAATAATTCTCAAATCCTCGGGCGTGACGATCCCTCGTAGGTGGTTGCGTTCGTCGAGGGGCCTGCGCTCCGTTTTCTCGAAATATTTCCACATGCGATTCACGGCATCATGGTTGATTTGTCGGCCTATGCCGTAAGAAAATATCGAATCGACCGGACACCGGACGATACCGACTAACTCCATTGTCTGTCGTCCGGCCTCCATCGTGTTGCTGGCGTTCCATCAGAATGAGAAAACATATGGATATACATATTGCATGCCACAGCTTGATTACCAAGTCATTTCAGAAGGTCTATAGTTATCATGGCGCTTAATTTGCATTATCTCCAGGGGCACAGTCTTTTTTTGGGCGTGGAGGGACATGTAGGGCGCATAACCACGGTAAACAGAGAACAGGAATCAGGATTGAGGGGGATGGTTATGCCTTCGTCGTCCAGCACAAATACTGGCCTTTTTCGTCACCAGCCCCCCTTCGCCGTGCCTGGGTGAGGCGCTAGCCAAGCTGCTGTACAATGGCAGTTCCTACCTGGATCGACCTCCAATTCGGAGCTCGGGGAGAGCTTCGACCCATCCTTGTTGAGCACCGTATAGCATACAAAATCTTTGATGGTCAGGCCTTCCATCCAAGACTGGTTCTCGCCATTGGAGGCGCTGAAAAGCGGCATTTCTATCGAGCCCTTGAGCTCGACGCACATGTACCGGGTAACGGGATTTTCCTTCGCCCCGTTCAGCTTGCTACACTGGTTATCGACTGTGAGCTGCACAACCAATCCACACTCGGCATCTGCGAACGGGCAGCCCCTATGGGACACCAGACACGCCACACACTCCATTGCGCCGTTACACCCAACAGTCCCCCGCAGAGAATATCGCAGTTCGCTCTTGACATGTACTGGCAGTTGCTCTTTCCTTTCGCATCTGTTGTTCTGCTATTTGCGGACGATCTTGGAGGCTTGGAGCCGGTGATTGAGCTGCTTGTATGTTGGACCCGGAGAGCAAGGCTCAAACCGCTGTTGTCCCCGCCAAGAGTCATAGTTGTCTTTCACTGGCGTCATCGGTCGAAGATTGAGACTTTTGAAGTTCGCCTGCGCGCACGACTCACGGGCCGTGACCCAGCTGCTTCTACGTCTACTTCAGGAATCAGTGCGCCGATTCGTCTGGATCATGAGCATGCATTCGAAAGTGTTTATCTAGTTCCGACCTGGAAATTGTCCTCAGAATTTCTCGTTCAAGTTGAAGAATCGTTTGGGGTTCGAGAGAGCGCAGGATTCGCTTTCAGCGGGGAGCATACGAAAACTCTCCTCCAGACTGCAGTGAGCCAGTTCGGCCAGAGCTGTGGTCAACAAATCGATTTCCATGCCGCGGTTCGTCTGCCGAACCCAATTCCAGACCATCTAGCGGAAGGTATTTCTTGTCTTATACAGGTGACCAACGATTCGGACCTTGACCAGGTTGCGATCATCGCTTCCGCCCTGGACCTGGATGCCCATCCACCAGGCGCCCACTGTAGGTAGCTTTCTCCACCTGCCCTGAACTAACGGTCTTGGCATTTTCTGATAACTCATAAGTCTTCCCCCCGCCATTGACGTTCGAAAAGTGGTATAACACCATTCTTTCTCAAGTGGAGGAGGACACTAGACAAGCAGGGCTGAAAGGCCAAGTTCGAGAGAAGTTTATCGAATTGGCTATGGCAAGAAAAGACGGTTCATCGGCTTGCGCACATTCTCGTTTGCTTGGCCAATTTCAGTCTGCTTGGCGGTCATGGACCAATAATTTTATTTGCCTGCTGTGTCTGTCACGACCAGCATTCAATTGCCTGCGGTGCGATCATCGCTTTTGTGACACTTGTGTCATAATAAGCGGAGCACTACTACTAGCTAACTCTCCGGAGATCCTTGTCGACCATTGCCCCCTGTGTGGCCAACCTCACGGTGAACTAGTTCACCTACGGCCACCTACTGCTGGGCTGAGGATGCTTGAGCTAGGGGGAACTTCCCAGGACAAATGGGAGATGCTCAAGTTCCTAAAGGAGCTACGGTCCACCACGGGGCTAGGTATCTCTTTGCGGGAGCAGTTTGATCTGGTGGTGGGCTCGGGAATAGGTAAGAAGGCGTATCTCCTCACGTGAAAGAACAAGGCGTGCTAAACAGAGTAGGGCTATTCTTCGTGCAGACCGCATTCTTGGAAGATTGGGCACTATCAGACTGCAAATACCATGTGAAGAATCTCCGTGACCCAAAAATCATTGATTCCAAAAAATTTCTCGTCTCATTTGGTAAGAGGCTCACGTGGAAGATGGCTAAGACGATTGGTATGAATGGACTGTTCGTTGTCTTTGTCTTGGATAGCCATCGAGCATCGCAAACAATTGAAAGGGATGTGGGGGTTCGTGGCTTTCTGCGTCGACAGCATAACGATGTCGTTGTGCGCTATATGGGAGCCAATTGCGATAGCCCACCCCTGAAGCTTGCCGCGAGCCGCATGATTGCCTCATTGTTTTACATTGAACTTGTCTTCACTCCACACTTCTATTCAACTCCCGAACGCGCGCAAGCCCGGCTGCTTTGCCGGCTGCCACCTAGCGCCACACTCATCAGTTTAGTGACAGATCTGCACGCCAGGGGCACACGAGTCATTTTCTGGGGTACAGAGCTTGAGCCCAATGTCGAGAGCCTCATAACGTCATCGTCGCTGTCTCGTTGCCGTCGGGGCGAGGCGTTCGTCAAACGCTTGGACATAGAGGTTTGGAGTCCAGACTCGGAGCTCCACGTGGCGATCGATGATGATCTGATGGGGAAACATAATGTCAGCCATTGCCCTTATGTACTCCGAGAGTTGAGTCATGATCAAGGTCTAGATTGTGTCTTTGGAAGGAGCGATCACTGTGGCATTGATACAACCAAAGATGTAGGCACAACAATCACGGAGGAAATTGATGAGCTCAGCGAGGAATTAGGCCGGTTTGCGTCATGGGACGGGAGTTGGAACTTTTTCTAGATTGATATCTATCCAGGGTTTTATGTCACTATTGCTTCATGTTCTCTAATTGCAGTTTCGCGTACGAAACGGAGAGTTGTTGATATGAATATAAAGAGAGATGGTATAGAGAGAAAAGAAGACTAGCAGTGAGAAAGACAGAAGTTGAATACTCGCGATAATCACACACATAGAAGACAACACAATAAGTAATTACCCTCTTCCTCCCTGGCCCTCTCGAGAAACGAAAAAAAAAAAAAAAAAACGGTACGTGTATCTCAACCTAGACAATATGCGTAATCCTTCGTACACTTTGATCAACGATATCCATCTCAATACCCGTAACGTCTGAATCTCCAGGCTGGTTCTTCTTAGTTGAGTTTACCAGAGCAACCTGTGACTCTGAGCGATTGTCTGACGGGTGGTTAGGCGACCCTGGTGGGGCGACGAAATCCACATTGGCAAATTGAATGCTCCGCTTTGACGTTATATTTTGCAAAACAATGTGCCGGATCTGGTCCACAAATTTGGCATCACCAGACGCTATCATAATAAACTTAATCAGCACTTACATATAATCATTTTATCCGAATGCTTGACCTACCGACGACGATGGTCTCGCCAGGGTATCGGGTTTCTTGCCGTAGCTCCCTTGAAAAGGAATCGAAGCCAAAATTGGATCGCGCACTCCAATACTTGTTCTTCTCAAACAAGTTGCTCGCCTTTTTGCTGTCGGGATATATACACCAGACTACCAGGAGATTCTAGAGAAAATGCATGAGAAATTACCACATGAGCTAGCAAGGAAGGACACGCACTTGAGAGTCGAGCTCTTGAAGAGATTTGAGCTGATCAGCAACCCACTGATCCTGATAATCATGTTCAAGCCACCAAATGACGTCAACGTTCCGACTGAAGTCAGCAAAGACAGGCTCGCTTGAATCGCGCAGACGAGCATGCCGACTTCGAGCCTCATCGTCCCTTTGTCTACGACCGGCCAATTGAAGCGCGAATGGGAGAACTCCAACGATACCTATGCCCTTAGCTGTAAGTACCACGGTCTCAAACCTATACAACTTCAGATCTCGGCCGTAAGGGCCGTCCAGGCGAAGACTGTCACCAGATGAGACGCAGCCGAGAGAGTTGGCGTGATGGCCTTTACGGGTGATCAGAAAGGTAGGATCTGAGACCTTCCCATTAATGAACTGTTTTGGACTGCCCCAAAAAGGCGTCATCGCGTAACCGTGAAATAGATCGTAGAAGGGGAGGGGGCCGTTGAAGAAGACATAAAAGTAGCAGCCGGGAAAAACTTTGACGGGCTTGTCTGTGACTAGCTTCAACTGTACGACGACTTCCTTATCCCACCGTGTCGCGACAGTCGCTTGGGTATGGCTGAAAAGGAACATGCGGACAAGCCTGTAGAGGTGGGTCGAGCCCAGTAAGCCACAGGCCACAAAGACTGGAATTCCAGCGGGGGAGATCTCCCGTAGGGCGATATGCCAAACGAGTCCGCCTAACACACCCACTGCGCCTAGCAGATGCAACAGCCCAAAAAACCTTCCAAGGAATCGACGAAGCCATAGGGACCCGAAAATGGTGACCAAAAGCCCGCCAGCGGCCGGTGACAGCTGTCAGCAAAGAGACACAAAGTAACTGCTTGGCAGGAAACAAACTTACTACGGTCCCCGATTTAGCGAATTCGTCAAAGACTGGACGACGATACAGGACCAGACCAGAATGTAGAAGAACCTCAGCTGTAGCGATCACTGCAATACAGCGATGCGCAAGATAGTAACTGGAGAGCGGGAAACGAACTAAGTCAGCCAGGGGATTCGTCTTGCCACCCAGGAAAACGAGCATGAGGTTCATGGCAGCTATGGCCGCAGCCCTCTTTTGCAAGTCCGCCTCGCCTTTGCTGCTGAGCCCTAGGAAGAGAGCATTCGCGACGATATAGATGATAAGCACAGATAAACCTAGGCCTGAAACCTGAAGGCGCTGGTGCCGGAATGTCAACTTGGGGTATATAAAGTAGGCAACTACCACCCGAATGTGCGGCTCAATTCGCCTGTATATAAAACGAGCGCCGAGGAAGGCCGGTGGCAGCGCTAGCGACCCACAAAAGACTGAGAGGTAGAGTGAAGCAAAGTCCAACATCCTGTGAATACCTTCTTTTGTCCTATCTTCCGTCAAGACCCGGTCTACATAGGATGTTATGTACCATCTAGCAAAGAAGAATAGTTTGAATCAACCCATAACCGCGCGCTTGTCGATGGGAGAAAACTGGAAACCGTTTAGGTACCTTCAGCGCCTACCTAAAATAGTATCAGGGGAGATGGTGCATACTTTCACCAGCTTTCTTCTCCACCAGGACTTTAAATGCCCCAACCTCTACCATCCTCTGTCCCGCTATACCTGTAACTCTTCATTACAAACTCACACATTCACTCCATTACAAACCCACACATTCATTTCTAGCATATTTTGGCCATTAGCCACTGCCGTCACTACGCTCAACTTTTTTTTTCTGCTCGAACGGGTAGCTTGAGCCATGAACAGCTCTAAGCGCAAGCTTCCGAAAGATATTGAACGGAGCATCACAACTCGCGCGGAAGGCATGATGCGGAAAGCCATGGAGCTCACTAAATTAGGCGTGCGAGTGGCTTTTTACATCGAAAAGACAGACGAAGGCAAGGCCTTGCGGTTCAAAACCCACTCTGCCATGGAGCCGAACTGGGGGCTAGCTGCCAATATTGTCTCTGGAAAGTCTGAGCAAGAGCCACCAGCTGTTCGGTCGCCCGATTTGCGTTCTACGCCATCTTTGCCGGACGTGGAATCTCTCAATTTGAATTGGCCTTCCATGGGAGGCACCCCTAAAATTGAGCCACTGCCTGAGCTCATCTGGGACGATGTCAAGGCAACTAGTACGCCCGAATCCTGGGCGAACAGTGGCAAGGCTAGCGCAAAGGCACCCCCGCTGAACAGTAAAATCTTCAATGCGGGGTCGGCTTCAGGGCCTTCACGAAAGCGTCCCCTCTCCCTGGATGATGCTTCTTCGACGGAATTGCGCACGTCGAAGAGAACGAAGAGAAAAGAACCCCCGTCCCCGTGGTTTGAGAAGTAGTCCTATTGTCTTGTACAGTGAATTCTGTATGTAGTTCAGATTTACAAATACAGTGGTGTTCAAGGAGTCTATGCTGTAATGACCTGCGATGCATTCTCGCAATTGACTTGGTATTCTGATTTATGAATAATTACAGGGCAAACCGCACTAGACACCTCTCCCTCATATGACTAAACTTCCTTGAAACATCGGTGTCCACCATCACTTCATTTGCAGACTTTCCATGCCTCGCACTAGCTCTCCTTGTGGCTGAGGTAGTGGCCTCGAGTTTCCGTTGTTGGCTTGTCTTTGTTCTTCAATGATTGACCGGTGAAGTCTGTCTTGGAAATTCCCAGTCACCAAACGGCGGAGCTTTTGCTCTTTGCGTCTCTGGCGTACAAGATGGATCAATTGAATATTGCTGACGTCGAGATAAGGGAATGCCATGCAACGAGGATCCATCGGTTGATCAGACGTGGTGCATTCAGAACCAACAAATGGGTGCGGCGTTGGTGGGCGCTGAGGCATCTGAGATTCACTGGCCTGCTGAGGTGGGTTCATGGCTCTATAATGTGTAGAAGGTAGATAGAACAGGGTTATTTGCGCAAAAGACTACATATGATGTTGCAGAAGAATAAAAAGACCGGACTGAAGTCCTTTTCGAGGTGAAAATAGATAGGGAAATAACTCTATGATGATATGCAGCTAACAGACTTCTGTTACAGGTAACAGGATACTGTAAACGAATACCCTCAGCGGGAATCCAGGTGTCATCTACAGGAATCAGCTACAAGAATCAGCTTTCGTACTCAAAAACACATATAAATTCAAGGAAGGTTCTATTCCATGATGGAAAAGAAAGAAAGGGCAACTGATATCCTTTATCCACCGCCATAATATTTTTTTCATACATTACCTCTGTTCTGCCTCTAACCCCACCATGTCTGAGAAGAAATGGCCAGATGCGCGAGTCAAATATGAACTCCACGAACATTTGGCTCGTAGAAACATTCACTTCGATTCGAAAACTTCTCGAGATGAGATGATTTCTCTCTTGGAAAGGCACGATGTTTCGTATGAAGAAGTCATGGCTGAGGGCAGAATGCAAAGCGAGTCCAAACTGCCATTTCCGCCAAAGGCTCAACGTGACCCGAGCCCAAATGACGAGTGGCGCAAAAAGCGACCGAGAGTAGAGGCCGAAAAGCTACCTAAAGCTGAGCTAGAGTTCCTGCGACATGCCAAGACTCCGGACCTCCTCCCTAACTTATGGAAATTGCCTGAAGCTGATAGGGAAAACATTCTCATCAGCTCTGGTTTGCAATTCAAGAGTTCTTATCCAGAGAGGGATGTTCTTCAGTTTTGGTTCTATGCGGACCATGCTATTGAGCAACATGGAATAAGTGAAGATGGGGATGAAATGATTACCTCATTTCTTAATAATCCCCTCATGTGGGAGGATATCACTTGGAGCGAAGATGAAGATGATCGCAATCTCATAAACGCTCGCATGAAGACGGCATTCAGCCGCCTGAAAACACTCAGAGCGCAGTATCCTGACAAGAAGGGCGATGACGGCCCCAAGGGCGATGACGGCCCCAAGGGTGATGACGGCCCCAAGGGTGATGACGGCCCCAAGGGTGATGACGGCCCCAAGGGTGATGACGGCCCCAAGGGTGATGACGGCCCCAAGGGTGATGACGGCCCCAAGGGTGATGACGGCCCCAAGGGCGGTGGCATCGAATATGACTCGAAGGAACGTCGCGATTGGAGAGCGCAGTTTCACGGTAGAGGATCACCCGAAGCTAACCGGATGGAACTCAAAGACCCTGAAAATGACAAAGATGTTATTGCAGATATTCTAGGACGCCACCCAGTCCGGAAGACTTGGTTGGCCATTGCATTGCCAAGCTTGAATGAAGAGTACCCAAAGTTATCCCGAGGCTACTATATCAACGCTGGTGCTGTTTATCCCCAAGCCTTCTCAAGATATGTCAAGGAAGGTGCCAACATCACCCTCTCCACAGCAACACACAAAAGCCAGATGGAGAACTGTTCCTATGAGAAATTCGAGCTCAATCTGGTGTTGTGCATGCCTTGGGGCGACAAATGGCATTACCAAGGCTATGGTATTCCACACTATGTGGATGACCGAGATTTCGTGTTATGGTCTAAAGGCCTCCTTGTCCAATGCTGGAAGTCAGCGGCAATGGAGGTGCTGCACGACCACATGATCAAGGCTGGACAAACCATTCCCATGACAAGCGACGTCATAAATCGCATCAAGCCTAAATCTTGGAGGAAGTGAGGTTGGTCTGGGGGATCGTCATAGGGTTTATGATATTTATTTTGGATTTGTTTTCGGGGTTTCTTTTGTCTTATTTGACTCTGGTAGTCGAATACCCTGGTCCTGTCTTGTTAGGGTTCATTAGGGTGGTCTGTATTCATTCGGAGTTCCTTTCTGCTTCGTTACGTGCAACTAGAACGAGTTTTGCAACGAAGAATTTTGTAACATGAAATGGTGAATCTTTTTTTTACGTTTCTTTGACGGGAAATATTTCCGCATGCTTGTGGCTGGTAAAGATAAAATGTGACTCTACATGCTTAAACCGGCTCACGAAAGTCCACCCGACAAGTCACGTACCTATCCAGATAACTTATCACTGAGACAGAAAGTTTCTTGCCCTATCATAGTAAATCTTTTCATCCATCTGCCACTAAATGCCATCAGTGGTTTCCGAGCATAATGGATGCCACCAACGCCACTGCTAGCAGTGGCACCAGGTTTGATTCGACTGCGAACGAACGCATAACGTTACTTGACGACCTGAACAACCGCAGTCTTTTCGATAATGCACCTCGACGAGACGCAAAATCGACTACAATTCAAGGGTTGAGAAATTTAAAGTACACAGTAAAGTGACAACCAATGAGAGGGGCATCACGTCAGGATATCATCGGCCATCTACCAATAATCAGCAGTGACATTTACCAGACAACCGTGACGGGGCTTACCAGTAAAGATTTCAAAAGCGTATTTACTGGTAAATATAGTCCATCATTACCAGTAAAGGCTACTTGGAGTAAGCGCCTTATGATACGGGAAACAGGAAACAGGAAACGGGAAACGGGAAATAGAATGAGCGGCTATTTCACCCTCATACAATTCCAGTCAGTGATGAATAGGTATAAGAAGGAAAACCAAACAAGACAACCCCGAGAATCTCCAAAAGTAATAACATATTAGTCTACGACAAATATGAGCACCGATACTCAGTTGGCATATCTTCTTGATAATCTTTTTGTCTTGGTCCTAACTATTCTAATAGACACACAAAGCTTCCTGCTCCCACCAGACGCCGGCCCACGGCTCAGCAAATGCGTCGAGGCTTAATCGCAAAGCGCCGGCTAACGCTTATTCGAAAGTGTGAAGAGCTTCGAAAACTCGGCGCCCGAGTCTATCTGGTGATGGAAACATCAAGCCGTTACCATGTGTACAGCTCTGAATCTTCCGATTCCTGGCCGCCTACGGCTGATCGTCTGGTGAGTGAGGCATGGTGTGGTGACAGTTGAGAGTACTGAGACACTATCAGGAGAAAAACTATCCCGTTCCACTCCAGTACAGCCCAGAATGTCTTGCTCCGAAAATGTCCTCTGGTCTATAGAAGCTCTAGAATATATCGGTTGACACCTGTCGAGAGTGCCAGGGGCATTCGCGCTTAAGGAATGATCTATACAAATGAAGATAACACATAAGTCTGAGGTCGAAGTAGTAGACGGCTGGTGTGTCTGTTCTGTTGTAGAGTGTCAAATTAGATTAATCGCACTGTATGTACAGAGTTTGCTTTGACCGTTGGCGCTAAGAAACTTTAATGGTTGCAGCTGCAGCTGCAGCTTCTTATCACCAACACAATAAGCAAGCCCGCTGGAGGAAACAGTCATGTGAAATGGCAGTCCATCACATTCAGTATGGTTGCATTCAGTTTTTAAAAATAGAAATCTTGGAGTGCTTTCCTTTCCGCACAAAGTGACTGAAGTTGACACAGCAGCAAGAAAACAGAACTGGTTCGGACCTGCATTCTGAACCGGTTGCGCTGGGCCATGAGAACGAAGCTATCGAAAGTCCTGTCCATGACCATTTATTCTCGCCCTTCCCCATCCATTTTCTTGGCCAACATTCAGCAGCCCCTTCTACTAATTATTTTCTTCATTACGCCATCCCATCATGCTTGACCGCTTGGCCATCAACACGGCAGCCCAGGTCCTGGAGATCTGGTCATATATACATTGTCAGATTGACTGTGTTGATCTGCCTATCCTTCGGGCGTTAATAGCAGAGCATCGGGATTTCCTCATGACAATCTCAGATGCAAAGGCTCCTGAAGTATTGAGACTCTCTATAACTATCGAGGCGTTGTCAACAGAGAAGATACTCTATGGATCAGAGCTCGTAGCACTACGAGACGAGATATTCTGCGTTGTAACTCGAATCAAAGACGGATGGGTCGCGTTCCTTTCATGGCCCGATATGGCCAGTCTATTGAAACTGCGAGTTGCGATGGCCAACTACGATGACATCTTGTGCGACCTTGAGACACAACAGAGGCTTAGAGTTGAGGATGCTATCATCCATGTCAAGGTTGTACGTATATGGTGTCCAACAAGACAAAGATCTCGTGCTGATTAGGTGATAGAAGCGAAAACGTTCCCCTTCACCCGGTGCCAGTCATAAACAGCGCAACGATTGGCAACAGCCCGCGAGTGAACAGTTCAGGCCACCATTGAAGAGGCAAGACTGCCGTGATGAAATATTCCGAGGGCTCGTCGCGATGACGTTTCCCCAGAGGAAACGCATCAACCATATAATGCAGCCTGCTGCCGGGGAACTATACCTGGTGAATGATACAAAATCTCGGTGCTGGCTGGTAGCGCTTGTTCTTCCTCATACCAATCTACATGATGTTGGTATCCCGGGAACTCTAGAGAGTCTTGGTCTTTTGAAACGCATACCTACGTCAATCTCATTCAACGCCAAGACACAACGATTCGAATGGCGAACTGGGGGTGAAAATGGTAGACCATTCGCCTGTATACAGATGTTTCCCGTCGCATATTTTGCAAGTATAAGATTCCCAGACAGTCGCGCCATGGGCTGGGTGAGGGCTGATCAGCTTCGGGCTTTTGATGCATCATGCGTCAATCCCTCGAGCATTCCATATTATGCTCTTGTGCGAAGCTTTTTGGAAAGACGAATAGCATCACGCACTCGCACGAGCTGGATTGAACCTACATCTCCTGGTATGTGACAGCCTTGCAGTAGGCCGTACTCTGACTCACATTTGGTTTAATAGAGCACTCTGTCGAACATAATGGCCAACGGTCGAACGACTGGAATACCCCGACGAAGAATGAGACAACGGAAGCCCACGTCTCTGCAGCAAGGGCCAACAGCCGTCAGCAGTTCCGGGTAACACGATCTGGTTCCTTCCTTTGTGCAGTCTCGCCAGGAAGAAAAAGCTCTGGAGTTCACCATACTTCCGACAAGTCTTTGGTGCCAGCATCGACTGCCAATCCTACAGTGCCTCGTCGGACATACTCAAAAGGCGAAGTTGGGTATGCTAGCCCGATGTGCTCGCCATGCCCGATAGACACGCCAGTCTTCAATGTCGACAGCAAAAGTCCAAAGTTGAAAACTGTGTCGCTGCCTAGTTTACAAAGCACGTTCAAGGGGGCTCCTGGAGCTCGGTTTGGTCTGTTTAAGTGGCCAGAGCTTGCAGAGCCTTCAGAACGCGTTCTTTACAAACTCTCAGGAATGTCCAAAATTAAGGGCGTCAAGCCACTTCCTAGAGACTTTCTTGATAGCGAGGGCTTACTTTGCTGCCCGTTATGTCCTGATACCAAACAGTTTGGACATCTAAGTCTCTTCACGGAGCATTTGCTGGCGCAGCATTGAAGCCTCAGAACTTATCGTTTTTGGACACCTCGACGTAGCCAAAAGGAAAACGGACCGGAGTTCCAAGAATGCCAATTGTAACCTGTATTAGGCTGCGTAGAGGCGCGCGTCCGTATTATGGCTTTGGGAAACTGATTCTCGGAACGGATTTTGGGGAGTCAGGGAAACAAACCATGTAAGAGGACCGTGTATGTTGATTCTTGTGTAGACGCTTGCTGGCCGAGCGCTTAGCTTAAGTCATATCGATAAATTATCCCTCAAGTGCATATCCAGTTCCCTGTATCCTGGTTCAAGAAGAATGGCCGAACCGGGCTACAGACAACCGGGGAGAAAATGAAATGCGGTTTGGTTTACTCCCAAGTGCCGGCGTTGAAGCTATACGAAACGGGAAACAGTAAAAGGCATAAACTGAAAACCTTTAACTGTTAACCGTTTTGGTTTGTAGGATATATGTCTATAGACTACACATGAACCAGTGAAACTGCGTCTAGAAAAACAGGTTTAGGAAAACAGGTTTATGAAAACAGATTTTAGGAAGTATTGCATCTCGATACTGGTTTCAAGAAAGAACATGAGCTAATTAGTATACATATATATGCAACCCCCTGATGGAATTTTTGACATCAAAGATGACACTAGTTATATACATACACATCAATTTACGGACCTTGCGAAATAGCCGAACCTATGGATATCGACGACGAGTCTTTCAAGATAGATGCCTGGGCCGCCATGGACATCGACAGCGAACCTGCCCAGAAGGACCTACCAAAGATCGGGGATCCCATGGACCTCAACGAGGACAATGCCTTCTCGAACGCCGAGCCGATCGACAGTCAGAACACGGTAGCATGGACGCCGGTGAAGACGGCGTTTGAACATAATGCCTTTCTCAAGCGCTTCGGGGGTAACAAGAAGCTAAAGCGTGTCAAGACCAGGAGGGATGGTGTTAATAAATTGTCACATCGCAAACCCAAAAAACAGCTAGAGATGGCGACAGGCGCAGAAGTGAAGCAATATGTTCTAGCGCAATATAAGAAGAGGCAGCTATCTGAATTGTCCAAAAAGGAGGTCGAAAGAATCGCTAAGAGGAAGTTAGCACGTATAACCTCCTTATATCACAGACTTATTGGGCGTGAGCCGTTGGATTCCTTTGCGGATAATTGTGAGAAGACCATACCGAACTGGATTTTACTCCTGCGCCAGACTTCATTACCGAATTCTATCAACAGCTCGCACCATAGCATAATTACTGCATTCAAAGCTGTTGATAATGTCATCTGTGGAACACAAGGAACGTATCTGCTACGACGGCTGGCTTACGTCCAGTTGATGCGACTGTTTACTTCGCTTGAAGCTCTTATCAAATCTGAAAGAGAGTCTGGAAAAGCCGTCCGTAAGCAGGGTTGTGGCGACGCAAGCATTGCCATCGACATTTATATGAGCGCTCAACAAAGTCATCAGCACCCCGATGATCTGAGGCGTGAGCTGAAAGAACGTAAGCGAGCTGGTAAAATTTGGAGAGATCTCTCGGGGCCATCCCCGCTTTTTACTATGGTTTACTCGCACGCATCTGAGTCAATCATGTACGAGCAGCACCATCTTTCTCACATGGCGGTGATTACACTAACTATATTCAAGAAATGACTCCAGGAAAAGAAGCGGCGCAATCTTAAAAATGGCGGCGGCTAAGGTCTTTGAAGAATGTCCAAGCAAACTTGCGAGTTGCTGTACTTTTCTGGCTGATACAGTGCAATCGGCAGTCATGTTCGATCGAAACTTTGACATGGCACAGGCTACGGCCTCACGAATCAGACAGGCTTTGTAGCTGTACTTCCTAGTTACTAAGAGTCTTTACATGCTGCCGGTGGTTTTAGTGCTGCTGGCGGTTTTAATGCTGGCGGTTTTAGTGCTGCTGGTGGTTTTAGTGCTGCTGGCGGTTTTAGTGCTGCTGGCGGTTTTAGTGCTGGTGGTTTTAGTGCTGCTGGTGGTTTTAGTGCCGCTGGCGGTTTTAGTGCTGCTGGTGGTTTTAGTGCCGCTGGCGGTTTTAGTGCTGCTGGCGGTTTTAGTGCTGCTGGCGGTTTTAGTGCTGCTGGCGGTTTTAGTGCTGCTGGTGGTTTTAGTGCTGCTGGCGGTTTTAGTGCTGCTGGCTGCTTTAATTGCACACAGCTTAGCAGTAGATATATACAGTTATTACTAAGTATAAATTCTTGCTCCCTTTCTGTTCTATTATTAAGTAGCTTTCTTAGATAATTTGCCTCAGTTCTGTACGGTTTTCTAGACAGCCCTTACAATTTAGCTTGACTGTGATTTCTGATTTGAGTGTGGTTTGGTTGGGGGTCGATGGGTAATTAAGTGTCACTGGACCGTAGCTGAACAGATACATCTGCCTCCCCTAACCGCCCAGATCTAAGCGCTTTGATCTACCACCAACGCTTGTTCGTGATTCAAATATCAGTTTCCTGTTTCCTGTTTCTGTTTCCAGATGCAATGTGTGTAAAACAGATTCAATATTGCAGTCCAGATCTATGTATAGTAATAATAAATGCCCCTCTTACCCTCTTGCTTTTCTAGCTTTTTACAACTATCTTTCATACTTATCACACCTCTTCTAGCTACAGTTACAAAATGACATCTTTTCAAAGAAAGGCATTCTGTGCACCTATCTACCTCGAACCTCAAGATATAGCAGATGCAGTTATAAAAGAACTGGACTCACTGAAAAGTCGCCAATCGGTTCCTTGGATCAATGCGCCTACAATCTTCATCAACAAGGAAGGCGCTTTCTCATTTAGAGAGGTAGAGACCGATTCTCTCAAAATGCATATAAAAAACATATCTCTATTCATGGCCAAGCTCTTCTCATCGCAAAGCAATTCAGAAAGGCAGCAAAAGCTACATCATGCTCGGCGAAGGCTGCTGATCTCACTCCTCGCACATGGGTGGCTGTGGAGGAGACGTGGCGTACTGAATATCCAAGGCAACCCAGTTGCCTTCCAAAATCGCAGGGTACTAGCACCTGAAGACATCCTTGCATTTCTTCGTAGGATAGATGCCAGTGTCCACAAACACGGCTGCCCTTGCGAAGACATACAAGGTTTCCTGAAAAATGTACGGGAAGTGCCTTTACTTCAGGATAAATCGAAAAGAAATTTGATGGGAGTTACTGCTTGTATATGGTGGGATAAGTTGCATGAACTGGAGAAGGATCTATGGTGCTCCTGTTGCTTCAGAGGGCACAGGTCATTGGCAACAGGTACAGTCGGCGTATCTTCAGTAAGCTTGCCACCTTGCTACGAAGCTTGCTCACTGCCCTCCTATGAAACTTGTCTAGTAAAGGGGGAGCAGAACAGAGTAGAGGTTGAAAAAGTAGAGTAGATAAGTATAAATAATAAGGTTAAGAAAGAGAGAGAAAAAGAAAGAGTAAAAAAAAGGAAAAAAAGAGGAAAAATAAAATAAGAAATAAAATAAAATAAAATAAAAACTAATAGAATCGGAGTTTTGTGCGCTATTTCAGTCAACCTCCCTACTACGGCTGGAGCAGCTAACGCTTAATCTCCCAGTGGGCGCCCTCTGAGAGCAAGTGTGGGCGTAGTTGCATGGGTAAAAAAGCGCTCGCTAGCCGAGCGCTCAAATCTTTTGTTACTCCAAATGCTTTCTACATCTTAAATCTTGTACTGTGCGCGTATGTAACTATTAAAGGTATTCTGATTTATGTTTACATTTTACTGTAACGGTTTTAAGTTTTCAAGGTAAAGTCTCTGCAAGTAGAAACTCTTCTACTTGAAGACCTCACTGCCCCTAAATTTCAGCTGTTATATCGATTCAAAAAAAAAAGCTATCTCATACCCGTATACACGACATCTGCACTAAAGAAAGCCAAACAGCTATGGTCTCTCCTAAACCAATTTGCGGTCCTCCTCGAGTACTGCGAATGGCATCGTATAGCGATATGGTTCTTGCAGCTCACGAGTGTCCGTTTGTGCTACAGTTCATCGCTGCAGCTTCGAATTGGCTGCTCCTCGCTGGGTTTGTCGTATTCCCGGGAGCCTTCACATCTTTGAGCCGCATGAAGCTGCTCAGCGAGTCTCAGGCTGGTAGAAGCGCCCAGTATGTCATACATAACACACCTCTTCTGGCTATTGGAATTCTATGTTGCTCTATTGGAAGTGCAGGGATTGGTTGGGTCTCATGGAAATGCAAGGGAAACTATGTATGGCTGGTCGATCGAATTTTCGTGTGAGTCCCGAACAACCTTCTGTAAGCCGTCTAAGCTAATAAACATACAGCCCTGGATTGCTGAACTCGGTAGTTGCCCTTCTCATGAGTGTGGTCAATATATACACTGCACAAAATGGAGAATGGTCAATAACAGCGGTAGTAACAGTCTCCATCATTGGAATCTGGGGGACGATCACTGCATTGATGCTCGTCGTTTACGAATTATGCTTTCTCAGAAAGTTAAGACAGGAGCAATAGAGTCAATATATAGGGAGAAGGAAGACCCGGCTTCAAAACGCGTGGCCAAGGCTCAACGATATCAAAATGAGCTATTTTACAGCCACGCGAAGCAGAAAGTCCCTTGAACTTGCTTGAAGATTGGACATTTTGGCACTGATGGCTCTGTACGGTGTGTAGGGTAAGCCTGGTGACGAGGAAATGGGGTTCTTAGATTACGTAGTTGTGCTTAGGCTTGCTTTAACGCGCAAGAGTTAACAGCCTGTTTATAATTAATCTTACATCGTATTGGTAGTCCTTAATAATGAGTCTTTACTGGTTGCCGGACGTGTATTCCCTGCGTCTAATAACATCACTTTTGCATTCGCCTCCCTCTCCTTGCCGATCAGTCTTTAGGTTAGCTACTCCATTTTTAGCCGGCGGCTATGGAGCAACCCACGATCTGACTTTCTGTTTCCCGTTTCCCTTTCCCGATTCCTAATTATAGTTTCATACGCGCCCCGTTGTGGAGAAATCAGTTTTTGGGAGTGGGAAAACAGAAGTCGGATTTGAAAGGCTTATGTCGACATAATAGTAGAGAAGGTCATTTCATAAAAGTACATATAAATCCCCTCTCGACTTGGCGAGGCACCTTTTCTAAGAAATCGGCATATCCAAGCAACCAGAGTTAGATCTGTAGGATATTACAACCAGCTATTCGACATGTTTCAGCCAACGGAAACCAATAAGAAACAGGCTTATGTACCATTTGTGCCCTTGGAAATGACGGCGATCTCTGACTCGATACAACGCAATGGCTACAATGATAACTCAGAATTATTCCTCGGACAGCCAAGTTCTAGATCTGGTGCTGAGCAAGCCCCCTTGGCGGATCAAAGCAGTTCACCATATTCAGTGCCAGGACACAAGTCTCGTTGTGTTGCGCGAGTGGACTGTTATGAGGATAACAGGTAAGTTTTGTTCCCGTTGACGAAGATTCAAACTAAATAGCCCAGACCCGTCCATTCTCCCATATCCAAACCGTCAGGAAGAAATAGTAGCACCAGACAGAACACAACCCGTGCAACAAAACTGAGCCAGCAGTTAATTGGACCTAACCCAAAACAATCATTCACCACAAATTGTGTAGAGACAATGGCAGACTGGGTTGCATTACTTGGTGAGACTACATTCCCAAGTGCAGTCACAAGTTCCGACCCGTGTATTATTGCTGCTTTCAGAGCAGTAGATAAAATCATTCTTGGAAAAGAAGCCACGTATCTACTACGACGACTCGCGTACGTGCAATTAAGGAGAGTCTTCACAACCCTTGAGGCTATCCTGAGATCTGAGAGGAAGCGAAATCAGGTTCACTGTCAGCCACGCCGGGGTGGCAAATCTGTCGCTATTGATATCTACATGATGTCTCAGGTAGACGGCAGAAACTCGAGCGTTTCTAGGAACCAGATTTTGGAACGCCGACGAGTCAGCAGGGCCTGGGAGTACTTAGCAGGCCCATCTCCTCTTCTTACCTTGATGTATTCAGAGGCTGCCGACCCGATCGTGTATGTCAATATGCTCTTTGAAGATCTGTTACTGACCATAGAATAGACGAGATTTCTGGAGAAAAGATAGTGCGAGCTTGAAATCTGTGGTAACCAGTATTCTAAAGGATGTAACTTGGGCTGTTCGCATCTGTGCTCGCCTGACACACAGCACGGTATGGACTGTCAACTGTGACCGCTCGTCTGGTATACGAGAAGCAACGATTGCAGAAATCGAACAGGTGCTATCTCAACAAGACACAGAGGTCCATGAAAAGTTGAAGGAGGAGGATACAGGAGATGGCATTGAAAGTCCATTGAGAAGCTCGACATCACCAAACACAGTGACGATGTCTTCAATTTCTGTGCTAAGTCACTGCACAAATCCTGTAGTCGAGCCAGGTTCAGAGAGAGACGGCGATTATGTTCCCTTTGGATCATCTCGAAGGCCTTCACAACATCCGACCCCTCCATTCGAGCACTATGCGACTAAGTTTCACTTTTCCTTCGCATCCTACGCAACGGCCATGGTCAATGACAGCTCGAGATATCAGGATTTTAGGCAATCTGGAAAGTATCACTGTGAATTACAGAGGTCGAGACAGAGCACAGAGAAGCAGAAAAACATCATCAACTTCATCCACAAGCACCTTCCTGCATTCAGCTTGAGGCAAACCGCTGAAACGACAAGCACAAACTCACCAGCTTCAATAATATACCAGGCAAGGGTCTGGAAAATAGCTCGAGAACAAGCTACCGGCCCCCTCACGGAATTGGCGTACGAGAATCTGATCTGGGAGTTGGTGTACTGGGTCATGTCGGAGCAAACCTTTGTGCCTATCTTTGGAGATCTGGTTCGTTATGTTTACGGTAGTTGCATTACGGAAGAAGAAGAAGGAGAAAGAAGAGGAGGGCTTTGTCATGTTCTAGCGCAATTTGCTGCCTGCGTGGTTGAGGACGTATGTCTTTTAGATGGTTGGCATGAGTTGGTTACTGAGGTGCCGTCCTTTGCGAGGGACATGATCTGTGCGTTAGCGTCCATGCGGCGATGAATTCGACTTTAGCATGTATACTGTGCAAATTTGTTCATCTTTAGCATGTATACTGTGCAGACTGTTCTGTTGGCCCAAGTCGTTGGAGACAAGGATGAGACAAGGATGGAGACATGGGTATATCACACCAACAAACCTTCATACCCTCCTTTTACAGCCAACCGCTTTCTTGCATGTACCATACATCATGTGTTATCTTGACACACTGAGTTGGGTGGCTATGGGCCACGGCGTCTACTGGCCTGCATTCAGGTATAAAGTAGCCATAACGCAATCCCTTGAGTCTGACAGGCAGACAAACACAGCAACCATTTTTTATCACCATATCATTATTCAACTTATTCATCTAGCCATGGCTTCAAGTGAACCTCATTTCGAGTCTCTCAAAGCGAAGGCAATATTCACAAGATTCAGTGACGACTTGCTCGCTACCATAATATCCTCAGACAAATTTGACACACATGATTTGGAGCCATATATTGAAGGTTATCGTGGCTGGTGCAAGGACCTCGAGGAGGAGGAGGATACCATTCGAGAGGATAAGACCATATATGTAGTAAGTTGTTCCGTATATCAGCCTTCAACCGTTGATTGACCATTCGAAAAGAACAGAACACGTTCACCGTCCCTTCATGTGCAGCGAAAGCGTCATTGCGACCAGATAGAGCGCACTGATCCATGTCAGACCGTAACTTGCAGTACAACGCCCGAGATGTGTACACGTTCACCATCGCCTCAGCGAAAGCGCCATTGCGACCAGATAGGGCCCAGCCATCCATCTGATACCGTGGCTTGCAGTACAGCGCCAGAGCTGTGTTGCTCGACACTTACCACCGGCTCTATAGATACTCTTCGGCCTAAGCCAGGGGAGGTATACTGCGCCTACCATGAGCAATCTCAGCGGCGTCTTGCCGCAGTAATCCTCCCACTCACAGACCCCGGCAGCATTGGCATCTTAGGTACTATGGAGGCATTAGGCTTCTCCAAGAATGTACCCAATTGCGTTGTTTTTAATGTGAACTCTGGGAGGCTTGAGTGGCGTGATGGATACGGGGACGGTGAACCATCGTCGCATTTACGAAAATATCCGGTTATATATTTTACTGGTCGCAGATTCCCGGAGAATGAGGCTGCGGGCTGGGTCTCGGCTGAGGACCTACGAGTGCTGGATGAAAATCTACGAGCGTCCGATACTCCATTGTATCAGGCTGTCAGAGCCTACCTGGAGAGACGAACACTCTGCCAAACATTCAGGGAGAGACAATGTGATCCTGACACTCCATTGAGTAAGCCTCCAGAGCCATTTACAAGATATACTGCTAATGCTTGAAATTGTAGTTCAGAGCAATAAGGTTTTCGGATCTTATGACAGTTGGAGGTTCTGCCCAATAGCTCCGTTGCCAGCACCAAATGTCTACCTCATGGGACCAGATAAATCCCGTCATTCGATGGGACAGAGTTCTTGGTCAGCTCACTCTTATGGCCGTTCTCTCATGCAGGGGTATTCGCAGAAACTGCCAGTCAAGCTGCCATGGCCGCACCCAACAAACCCCAGCCGTTCCTGCCAACGGAAGATGCCGAGCACGTTGAACCTCCCAGATTCCTGTCGTCTGACGCAATTCGCTGTCGGTAAACATGGACCGAAAGCAACCACTTTACCCCCCCCTGAACAAACTGAGAGATTTAGCCCTCGGTGCACATTTGGGGCTCTTTGCATGGCCGGAGGAGCTCTCGCCACGCATCCTCGACAGGCTGCGCAGAAGGCTTAAGGTACAGGGGTTCCAGCCACTTCCGATCGATTTCAGAAACCCTCAAGGAAGATTCGAATGCCCATTATGTCTTAATGGAAGGGACTTTATTCAATGTAATCGATTTGTAAAGCATCTCAGCTTGAAACATTAGAGACAGGTATATGGTTTGCTGAATTCAACTTGGCTGGTTGACCGTATGTTGATGTAGGTTACTTACCATGTTACCCTTTGGCAATTATAAAGCTGACCGAGATTAGCCCGGCGTTGCTTAACTTAGTAGTTCCCCTTCTTAGGTGTCTAGTCAACATACACTGCACAAGTCGGAGAGTGGTCAACGACGGCGATAGTGACTGTATGTATTATCGGAACATGGGAACAGGATTAATGCTTATGATCTGCGAAATGTGGCTTCTTAGACGAGAATAATATGGCAATATTTGGGCATTGGAGCCCGCATCTATGCCCACCAAACATCAACCCATCCGGCCTCTCGCTCTTCTAGATGCAGCCCCTGAGTGTCCTTCGGGGTGGCATCCTCTGGTCGAAGCAGTCGGGTATGCTTCTGTATATATTCCACAGTACTCGAATGCATATTTTCCATATCTTGAAGCCAAGACGCTAGACCGTACTTCTTCATCGCCGATGCGTAGTATGCATATGTCTTAGTGTTGTCTCCAAAGGTCATCTTTCGGTATGCTCCATGTCTGATGAGAATATCGATAATCTCGATAGCCTCTTGCTCCGGAAGATAAAGGGCATACATAACAGGCGTGGCACCGTATGCATCGGTACAGTCCGCGGGAATTTTCCAGTTAACAAGAAAATGTAAAACCATTTCCGGACATCCTGCTCTTGCAGCAGCATGTAGACCGTTTGTACAGGATATTCCACGTGGATCAGCATCCTGTGAGAGCAGATATTTTGCTGTATCGATATGTCCGTTGAGTAATGACAGACAGAGAGGACTCATGATGGTCGGATCGCAAGTTTTGCTAGGGCCGGCCAGAGCCAGAAGCGCCTTCAAAATGTCTGTCCCTCCATGGTACGCAGCAAAGGCAAAGAAGTCCAGGGTGATAATGTGAGTAACGGGAGTAAAGCAAAGGTTTTGCTGCTGATCGACTTGAAAGTCCAGCAAGGGGAACGGATTTGAAATCCTAAGCTCTTGCTTGATTTCCCCGGCGTTTTGGATATCGCGTAGATGGCGGTTGATTATAACAAAGGTGGATCCAAGTAATCCCATTGAGTTGAAACGAAGTTGCTCTTGAATGGACATAATGATAAGAAGCTTTTGGGTGTAGTGAAAGATGACAGAAGGAGGAAAAGAACTGCCTGGTAAGGGGATCCGTCTACTCTTATATAGTTATGCCCGTAGTCGTGGCGATAGGCATTTCGGAGTCTAGCAAGATACCGTGATGCAACCTTTACTGCGTCTATGGTCAAGATCTGCACAAGCCCATCACTCTGTTCAACCAATAAGTCAACGAACTTAACACGTGTTAGCCCTTGAGAAAGGCCATGGTTGCAAGCCCGTGTGCGGTTGACCAAGGTGCCAGCCACAAGATAGCAAGTATCGCCAATAAGGTCAGTCCATTGGAATCATGGGATGCATTTATGGAGTCTTACGAGGTATTTTTGTCTTACCAAGTCCATTTTCTATGTGAGTTGGCCATTCTTGGCCCTGCCTTGTGCATCATGAGACGCATGCGAGCAACCTCATCACACTCCCCGTTCAACCAATACCTCGACGAGCTTGATATGCGTTAGCCCTTGAGAGAGACCATTGTGATAAGCCTGAATAGTTTACCAAGCTATCGGCCATATGAGCGCGAGCATCTTCAATGAAAGTATTCCTTTGAGATCATGAGATGCATTTATGAGTTCTAAAAAGGCATTTCTGTCTAACCTAGCCCCTTTTTATGTATTCCTAAGCGCCTTAGCCATTGGTGGCCCAGATTTGAACCAGAGGTTGTCATATCTAACCTGTCTATGAACGTGGAATTCGTCATTTGGAAGCACAGCCTGTTAGTATCTCCCAAAAACTCAGGGCTTTGTCGGGAACAATCAACGGAGGTAACAGGAGATCGAAGATTAAGGTAACACTGATGAACCTGGAACTACATAGGAATTCTGATTCTGGAAAACTAGAATAACGACATCTGATATGTAGCTATCATTCTCATAAGAAACCCCTATCAGATCGGCCTTCCTCAGACTCCATAATTATCCTCAAAGATGATTTGAGCTCTCACCCTCCACTCCGTATCTTGCAAATCATGGAGATTCATCCACATTTCTTCCGAATTACTCAGCCGTACCTTGACTCGCTGCCGCCCCGCGTTGGTAAGTACGACTCTGATAATCTCCTTGATCTCGGGCTCATCCAACACGACCACTTCTTGAACAGCGTGGATCACTTCTCCTTTGCAACACGGACATACTACCGAATCCTCTGGGAAGAACAAGAGGGGGCTGACCCCAGATCGACGTAAACCAACCCTTTCTGAACAAGTGAGACAGAAAGTGTGTCCGACGAGAGTGGTAGAGGCATCCGTGCAACAAGCAAAGAAGACAATCGAACTCTCGTCTTCCAAGCATATCATGCACCTTTCCTCCCAGCCGTGCTGACGTACCATCAGGTGGCCCTTTCTACTCTCAGACTCTCCACAAGAGTCGCAAAGAAGCTATGATTTCATTAGCGAAGAAGCTTTCATATTTAGGTAGCCATACAAACTCTGATACCAAGCGACGAAGCTTTGGGCCAGGGTTGAGATGCTTCAGACATTGCCCACATCGCTTCTGCATGGTGTTCTCAGTGTGGTGAATGGTTATTGATGCGTGAATTCTGTAGCGGTAGATGGTCCAGACGAGGTGAAAAAAGGGACAAAGTTGGATGAGTTAAGTTCGGGGGGCAGTCATCACTTATATACACGTCTACCAACGACGCCATATCACGAGACAGAGACATCGGGAGCTTGTTTCTACACCCGGAATATCAATTATTGCGAGTTGTTGCATCTCCATAGGACCTGAAGAGAGGGGGAGTCGGCATCCTCAACGACGTCGGCGATAATGCTTACCTATCAGTGTCACCATCCTCTCCAGAGTGGTGAGGGAGAGATAAGATTCTCGCTATCTGTATGTGAAGTATTGAAGACATCGTGCAAAGCAGGTCCCTCCGTGCTTTATATGGCATCCTTGTCGCAAAGGGTGATGAAACAGAGCCGCCAAGAGTGGTGACGTTGCGGAAAGATACCATGTGCATCTCACTCCAGATGCCTCCATAACGCCAACCGTCACGCCAGACTCAGAGGCTACTTCCGTAGTATTAACTGCAAGCTTACCATTGGATGTATTCATGTAGAGCTAGCCTTCAAAATTACTCGTCAAATAGACGGGGCACCAGTTTCCATCATCTGCTATGTCTCTGGTGGATGGGTATGTCGCTCTAATGTTCGGTTTTCGCTCAACTTGAGTGTTTGAAGGCAACTTACCGAGTTGATATTCTGAGATGGAATAGATTTTCTTTTGAAATCGTGGGGGCGGCTTGGCTTATGTCCAATAATCACATCGAGGCCGAGTATGCCTGTCTTATGCGTCTCTTGACGCATGCGAGCAACCTCATCACAACTCCAACTCCCGGCTCAACCAATAAGTCGACGAGATTGATACGAGTCGGTTGCCTCTACGCCAGCTTACAGTTCAGCTGGCCAAACAGAAGACCAGGATTAAGTCACCTATGTCATAGTTCCTCTACCTCGAATGAAAGCCTGTGTTCTCTTTGCCAGTCTCGCACACTACTTAAGGGCCATTCCCCCTCTTTTTCTAACTCCCAACTTCCTCTTCTATCACAATCAAAACATCAACAACTCAGCCTATAGCCTCAAGCATCCATCATCCTGTTTTATCTCTCCACAATGTCTCATTCACACCAGTCTCCTAGCTTTGGAGCTGAGTCACTTGTTGACTTGGCTCAGAATGTACTCAAATACCTCTCAGCTTCTGTTGATAAGACAGAGGCCGCTACCATCGATGAAGCTGTCTACCCACTCGATACCTTTTCTCTTAACCGTCGCCACGACCTGTTCTACTTTCCTCCCGGCGAGACTCAAGTAGAGTTCTCTCTGCTAAGCTGGGCTGCATACAAAGGCCTGAATGAGGTCATCTATGCACTTATCGGCATTTCAAATCAAAGTGAACAGCTTCAAGATCATCTTGATGATGCTCTCTTCTTGGCCCACTTTGCCGACCACAAAAAAACAGCTGACTTGCTCATGGATTTTGGAGCAAATCCAGGACGAAAGTTTCGATCTAATGGCTTGCATGGCGCTGCTAGACGGCGACAAATACCTCAAATCAAACTATATATCAAAGACTTCGGAGTTCCTGTTGATGTTGAAGATGGGGATTCTGCAACGCCGGTCATGTATGCCATGCAGCTTGAGCATCCGTCTGATTTGGAGACCATCTCGCTTCTCTTTTCATTAGGCGCGGATCCTCGGCTTGAATTTGGTGATGAGGGTTGGGCTTATTCCCAATATGCATTGGCTATGGGGAAAGGGGATCTGGTAGAATGGTTGGAAGTAAAACGGCATGAAGTAGAAGCAAAAGCAAAGTGTACTGCACGGACTACTTCAAGCCGCGAATCAAGTTGCACGATTGGCCGGGACTAGTGGCATATTTCAGACATTACTTTCCTTTGTTAGGTAGCTATGACTTATCTACTATCATTTTACAGGGTGACTTGTATTCGGAAATATATACCCAGGAGTACTTGCACTAGTCATCTACTCCATAGACCTGGATTCTCCGCATGTTTGGTGTACTATCGACTATCTCCTTCTATAGCCATGAGGCTTAACATTGTATAACCGAAACTATTGAGTGTCTCTTTAGCTTGGGAGCAGTTTCTATTGTTGAATGGGGTGAACCTAGTTAGGCTCATGCCGAATACGCGATGGAAAGAAGGATCTAGCGTGGCGACTTAAAGCAGCAGCAGTAGTACTTGATTCACCTGTTCGGAATTCAAGCCGTACATCAAGCTGCACGGTTGTGGAGGATCTATCCTGGGATAGTGGTAGATGAGTTACTTATATTGATATGTGTATTGGCGTAAGCTAACCAGAAGGCTTACCTCTTTTGATCATCAGCCTCTTTTCTATTCGTCATTGGCTTTCCACTAATGGTAATGCTAGTGCCCGCACTCCGTGCTAAGACGCGTAGACCAATAATGCAAACCGCATTCCACGATTTAGAAGACCTGGTGCTACAGTCTACCTCAGAATCCGAGTCAGTTTCAGACTCAGTCAGTTTCAGGTCTTGCCCCAGCGTTAGGTCAAGGATAATATCTGAAGGGCTATTTACAGCCTTCTCCAGCCGCAGTACCCAGGTCTCGTTGGCGCCTTCACACTTTGAGGAGAAGAGAGCCTCAGAGCCCGTCTGCTTCTGCTTCTTATAGACCCTAGCCGTCTTACCTGTACTATCATATATATCTTGGTTAAAATCCTCTTTGGTGAGATATAGTTTATCATCAACCACCGTTGAGATCCACCCACCGTCACGATAAAAGACAAACCCATAAACGCCGCAATCCTCATCATAAGCGACACAAATCTTTTACATTAGTTACTTTCGAAGGCGTCTAGATGCCAGTACCGCAAGCCACCAACAGTTCCCGCAGGTTCCCTGTTTAATATCCGAGATGAAGTCATTAGCAACAAATTTAGGATTTTAAAAATCCACGGTATACCATAAACCGAGCCTGGTTTTGCGCATTGTTTCTCGCCATTATCATCACAGGCTCTTTTAATGCCGAATAGGCAATAGTGGTCGTAGCGCGCGAAATCCTGCTCAATATCAAATCCCGGGTCACTGAATTTGATACTAGTTCGCTCGCACTCTTTGATGATAGCCCAAACATCAGATCGGCATTTGTTGGCAGCTTCTTCGTAACTCAAGGCTTTGGGCGTAGGAGAAGGTAATTCGCTGGCTGCGAGTGACTCGTAAAGTATGGGAGACAATACAGAAATGACTTTACGTGGAGGTTGAGAATGATAATCGGGCCAAAATTTAGAAACAAGACTCTGAGGGCTGATTGGTTCTAGCTCTACCTGCTCAGTGTTACGTGGGACAGAGAGAGATAATCGGAGTGTCTCGACATGCCTATATCATTCAATTGAGAATGGGAAAACACAGAGGGTTTGAGGAGGTTTGAGTGATAAATAGCGTATCGCGATAGGGTTGGAATCCTAAAGGCACGAGCCATATGCCTTGTACTGGAAAGATGGTCAATTGATCCATATGATAGTTGCATCAGCCACTGGCTAAAAACCCGGGAGAGTGTTAAGGCCAGAAGTGGGAGGTGATGGCTGAGTGATTTTCCAAAACCAGCATTGTGCTCACAGTGTCCAAATACTTGTTCTGCCATTCCAGACCGCCTGTGACTACCTACTTGATACGTCTCACTCACCCAAATTTTGGGCCGGAGAACCCCGTTAGCGTGATATTGCCTTGAATTTGACCTATGCCCCAGCCATCAGAGCGCCGGACCGAACTGGCGACCTTGAAATCAACCTCGATAAGAAACGGGACCGTCAGACGACAACAATTCTAGCCTTCCGTCAAGGCTCAAAGGAACGTGTGGTGCTTAATGCCCTTCTTCCCTTGGTAATCTATGTACCGCAGAGACAATAACGTGATCGTAGGTACTCAGTCAGTGTAATGTCACTGTATGTTGGCATGGTCGCACTGTATGCTCTGGAGCTCTTCCTTCTGTTGGCGCTAGGGAAGTTTGTTGGCTGCGGCATCCCCACCATCATTCAATTGAACTCACCCGCATCGAGAAACGCTCATGTGAAATATCCGTTCATCACATCAAGGGTGGTTTCGTGTGGATTCTTAAATCAGAGGTCACATAAAAGGTCATTGATCTTTGCACATTTCAGACTCATGGACATAGAGGAGATAGTGTACACTACGTGCAAAGTAAGAGTTGAGCTACGATCATTATTGAGAACAAATGGCAATTGATAGGTGAGGTTCCATGTTCAGGATGGAAAGACAAACGGTGTCCGCTCGAGGCCTGTGCGCGTACAACAAGGATAAGTGTACCAGGATCCTGGCCAAGTGAACTCGCTTGCTGGTGAGTTCACCCCGAGTTCACGAGCCATGTGGGCCCAGCTCTTGGAGAGCGAGGGTTTAACGGGCATGTTCCCATATGAAGATTGTTGGTCGAGACAACGGAAATGCTCAACCTGGGGTATAAAGGAGTAGCAACCCATCACCAGCATGAGCCCGGTAAACGAGTACATATTCTCATAAGAAATATCCTTCTACTCATGGTAGCGTCGATCTTGCCAGGCATTTATTAAGCGAGCGATTATACCCCGCTAATCATGATTAAGGGACAGAAGCATTCGCAATCGCCGCATGGGGAAGAGAATCAAGCGCGAAGGAAGCGCCGTTGCGACCGTGGCCAACCCATGACTTGCGCACAGCTTAACGAGCGGCTGAACGATCCCGATTGCGCAAGTAAGGTTTTCCAACCTAAGGCTGGAGAGTTGTACCTTGTTTATCACAAAGAGTCTCAGTGCTGGCTTGCCGCACTCCTTCTTCCGCTTACGGATTTGGAGAGCGTGGGTGTCTCAGCCTCTCTTAAAAGCTTGGGCCTCTCTCGCAAGTCGCCCAGCTGTATTACGTATAACGTTAACTCTGGAGAGTTCGAGTGGCGGGATGAGTACAAGGACGGCGGAAAACTTTCGCATGAACGCAAGTACCCTATAATATATTTTTCCAGCTCCAAATTCCCGGAATGCAGCGCAATAGGGTGGGTTCTAGCGAAAGACCTGCGGCTGCAAGATGAATCTACACTACAGCCATCTGCCGTCCCATACTGCGGTGTTGCAAGAGCTTTTATGAAGAGGCGTACCTCACGCCGTATCTCAGAAGACAAAGTGAGAGATCTAGATTCTCTATTGAGTATGATGCCCGCCCACTTTTTCAAGTTTATTCTCGATAGTGATTAATCCTTGACCGTACAGACGAACAGAACAAGAACCATGTAATCCCACCACATCTCAAACTGCCAGCGCCACGCCCCACGTATCCGAGCTCGCGAATCCATCGGCGTATGCCATGCACCTCAAACTTACCAGATTTCTATATTCTACCTCATTGTATAAACATACTCGAGAAAACTGAAGATACCAGACTCCCTCGTCTTACCGACATACATACAAGCGAGTATGGGGCGCAATTGGGTCTTTTTGAGTGGCCAAAGGACCTCCCGCAACGTCTCATGGATCAGCTTGCCGACAAGTCCCCAAACCCAGGGATTAGGCCGCTTCCGCACGACTTTAAGAACCCGCAAGGATCACTCAGTTGCCCGTTATGCCGTAAGGCCAAAGAGTTTTCACAAGTCACGCGTTTCACAAGGCATTTGTTGTGGGAGCATTTGTAATTATCTAGCTACTTCGCGATCCCGTACGGCGACGCCAAATCTCGGAACACCATCCTCGCATTAATAACATCCTCCGAGAACCACCTGCTAGCCCAACGTGCATTACGAGACAATGCAGCCATATTCTTGCATTCTCTTTCCTCTGACCTTTGTTTGCGTTTGTTTGGCACCAATTGAGCTAATGGAAGTCTGGGTGGCTCGAGAAGTGATGCCCTCTCAAAATCGATCATCATAACCCTATTGACCTCCCTATTGAATAGCATATTTTCTAATCGAACATCCCTATGGATCACTCCCTCTTGATACATGGCTCGTAGTGATGTGATGAGCATGTTCTGGAGATTCTTTGGTGCGTCGCCAGACTTCAATGCGTCAACAAGACTGTCGCCTCCCCAGGACAGAAATGTCATATGCACCACATAGACTCGGTGGAAGTAGTAGTAGACCTTGTTCATCGGCCGAAGATCAATTGCGCCCAGGAATATAGGCACATCGCGACCTTGAAGTCGGCTCAGACGTCCATATACCGCAGCTTCATGTACAAGATCGGTAATGAAAGCCTCTACTGTGCCCTTGGCGAGAAACGTGTAGTCATAGGCTAGTAGTGTAACCTTAAAGAGAGCACCACGGGCGCCACTTTGTTCTAGCCGCGTAATCCCATCGTCTAGCGATTGCTCTAACTGTTCTCGCAAAAGCGCAAGCCATTTGCTGTGACTAATAGGATGGCGCGCGTGAGTGAGACTGTTCTTGCAGTGATAAGCCGCATTCGGGCATTTCGGGTCGAGGAAATCTCCTCTTACTAGTCCGAGAAGACATTTTTGCGTGCAATACTGGCGGCCTTGTTGATGGCTACCTTCACGGGGCCGCCTTGCCAGTCGTTGGCTCCGCCGGCTCGCTTGCCCTGTACTGCGTCCCGTTGGCGTGGGAGTATCCGGTGGCCTAGTCGATTCGTCATCAGATGGCTCTCGCCTATCGTCCCTTCTCGATGAAATTTCGTCGGTTTGCGGCTCAGCAGCTCGTCGCCTTCTTCTGCGTAAGAAGTATGGTGATCGCTCGACATCGGTGTAAGTGGTTGGTTGGTAATCGGGTGAATGCTCCGATGATGCCGATCGTTCGTTTTCTGGGATTGAGCGCAATGTTGTCTCGAAATCTTCTGCCCACGTTTTCAGGTTGTTCATGACCCTTCGACGTTCTTCCTGTCCATGTTCGTGTTGCTCCCCAGGTGACCCAAGCGCCATCAGTGTGAAGGCCAGGTATTGGCCGACAGCCGTACAGATGTGAAAGCTATCCGGATGTGCCGACACTTCGTGTTTAGGTTCCGCCAGATGGTAGAGAAGAGTTTCAGGCTCACTCCAATCAATCTTTAGGAAGACAATAGCTTCGCCGATAGTCAGGTTACCGTATTCAAGGCCACTCTCAATCATATAGTGATACGTCTGCGTGATAGCAGACGCAGTCAGTCTCTCCGCATGATATCGAAATAGCGCGTCCGGGTCCACAGATGTCGGGATAGTCTTGCGATTCACCACTTCCTTATAAATATCCATTGGACGCAGACCGATCCGCAGATGTTGAACAGTCAATTTACAGGGTGACTTGTATTCGGAAATATACACCATCGTGCTTGGCGCAAAGGGTTCGTTGTTAGATCTGGTAACGCATATCTGATCTGGTCGTAGTTGGTTGAGATCTCGTCCGTGATCTGGCGTCTGGGGCGTCGCTCGGGTCTCTCTTTCAACCACCTCCTCGGCAGTGTCACCAAGAGCATGGGGATGATTCTCAAACACAATGCCATCTCCAATTTCGAAGACTGCTGTGACCGTTTCAACCTCCTTGAGTTGTTCTATGATGACCCTCACTGGATCCTCCACGCTGTTGTGTAAGAAGTACTCGAGCGATTTTTCGTCTGCTATTCGCCGCCGGGAGACTCTATCACCCAGCCCGGCCAAGAAAGCGCGGTTCTCAAAAACACGGCTATCGATCGGGAATGTATCGTTAAGTATGCCAAAGGTGAGCCTTTGTTCGTGGATAAAATCGGTCCAAGGTTGTAGGTTTTTGGGGCACCATTTGTTACGCGGGTTGGTAATGGAGCCCCTTGAAGACAATTTCGGATCTGTTTCGATGGTGAATCTAGAGTAGACGGATGTATGGCAGGCGGTGATGTATTCTTCGATTGTCGTGCGTCGTGTCTCTTCCTCTGATGCATCAGCGCGTTGTCGTTCGTCTTGCCGTTCCCTCTCTGCATCTTCGGCGCGTTGTCGCTCCTTCTCAGCGCGTTGCCATTCTTTCTCAGCGCGTTGCCGTTCTTTCTCAGCGCGTTGTCGTTCGTCTTGCCGTTCCCTCTCTGCATCTTCGGCGCGCTGGATAGCCTCTTGGAGAAGCCGCTCCAGCTCACCCGCGCTCCTTCGATCGGCCATCGGATATTTGCCGCGTGTTTTCGATGCAAACAATTAGTTTGGTGCGTCAGAATTGTTGTTTTCAACGAGTGCTGACAAAAGGAACCGCTGTTGCCGAGGTGATGCCCTTATCAAGGGCGCGCGGATTGGTCAAGATTCAACAAACAAGCCCACCAATTGGGGCAACCCAAGAAGTGGAGAAAATGTTGGTCACACCGGAATCGGATCCATCTTTGGAGACCTTGTCACCAGAGCCTTTAACCCAAAGAAGCCTAGAGGTTGAGAGAGCTTACAGCGAGACCCACTTGGAGTGGCAAACTCGTCCAAACTTAGGCAACCCCACCTAAGCCAGAGTAATCTCACCTGGCAAGCTCACCAACTGAAACCCAGGCTGTCACACCAAGAGTGGAATTCTTGCAGGGTTAACTGATGGTTACACTGGAATGCTTATACCTCGAGGAACCAGGCCCCCAGACTGATTATTTGTATCATACCTGTGTTATCGAATAGCTGTTAATTGTTCATAGTCGAGAAACTCTTGGTAACTTGGTAACTAATATGATCGGACGAGATTACGAGCGCGCCCGCTCTTGGGCAATTTCTTCTTCTGACGCACACATAGTAGAGCGCTCAAACACGCTTGCACTATCCTCCCTTCGACGAAGCGATTAGTAACTATGTGGATGAGTTAGAGGAATACCAGAATTTGCACCCCACAAAGCAGTAGTGGATAGATGAACTTAATCCAATTAATTAATACTAGTCTATGTAAATTGCCATTTTATATTCTCTACGGTCAGCTCAAAAGTCAAATTAAAACTCATGAAAGAGATCGTCCCAAGGAAAGACAAGGTTTCGCCACACAGACTATCAGCGATTATTCCATGCGGAGCCGATGGTGATCAACCTCCATATGATACAGTCCCATGTACTGTCTCCGCGTGGTTTTGCAAGTGCATCTTGTCGTCTAGCGTCTCATCACACAAGCGGCAATGGAGCTTTTCGTTTGGTTGGATATTAGAGAGGTGGCGTCGCTTGAAATGCTTGCTTAAATCACCAGGGGAATAGAAGGGATTTATGAGACGTTCGATAGCCGGGTCAGAAGGCTGGAGGGTTGTGGCCCTCCCGATGCAGAGGAAGCACCTACGGCTTCGCTCGTCCCTGTTCGCCACAAAAACAGAAGCGATTGCAGTGCCGACGTCGTTCCTCGGTTGAGGTTCCTTGCCTGCTGTATTTAACATAAGAGGACTCCTGTCTTTATTAACCATCGCTTGATTTCTGGTACGAGGTAATGGCGATTCTTGAACCGGACAGTAGGCCATGACGGCCAGAACTGCATTATTTCGACGCTGATACTCGCCCTCGAGTGTGTCAGCCATAGGGGCTGTTAGAGCTTCGAATAGGCGTTTCTGGGCAGGGTGTTGTTCCTGCGCAGAGTAGGAACTTTCATCTGATAGTGAAACTGGTGATTCTTCGAACGTTTGTCCAGCCAGTTGCCGCTCGATATCAACCACGGCCTGTTTCCGCGACCAACCTTGTCGATACTGCTGCTTGAGTTCTCGTCGTAGCTTCACTCTTAAACTTTGTAGAGCTTTGGTGATGCTTTCTATCTTTTCACGAGCCTTGGGAGACCCCCTGGCTACTTTGCGAAGCTCTTGTCGTTGGTGCAAAAGCTTCTGAATCTCAGAGTCGCCATCCACTGCAGCAGACTGTTCAGCAGTGAGGTGTGTGGGTCGGCGTGTGCTAGCCGAGTATCCGATGCTGCAGGCCTGACGCATCAGGGCGTTCTGTTGCTTTGTGCGCCTCACAACAGCCATAGTGTCAACCGAAACAACGCGACTAAGGTAATGCTTTCTGAAGGTATTTGAGTTTGCATGCTGGAGCAAAAGATTCCGGAGTCCGTCACTGATATTAGCTGGGACGGCGGTTAGTGGATTTGTAGATTGGTGAATGAAAACCATAATACGCACGACTATTATCAAACTCGTTTGCAGAGTTATATCGTAGAGTATACAAGATAACTGTGAATATAAATCCAGCAAATACCCCTATATCCTTTGTCCATTTAGATATCATTCCGTATGTGATCTGTTTGTTTGAAGATAATATAAAGCCCTTGACAGCGGTTTTATCGGTATCTCGGAAGACGAAGGTCTCATCCATACACTTCTTTAATGGCAGAGGCAGTTCATCTTCATCAGGATGGATATCGAGTTTGCTCAAATGCTCAGGAGACGTCAGAGTAGGCGCTTCAAAAGCTTTGTGACGAAAGATGAGCCCAAGGAGAAGAGTGTGGGGGCTAAGAAGGAGGCTTGAATCAAAGATGGTCTCAGGCAGGGTCAAAGTGTTACTATATCGCAGGCTAGAGTCAGATATAGCCTCTGTCACGCAATAAGCCACTACTCACATTTCTTTCTCCCCAAGAAACGTCTTAGTAAAACAGAGTTTGAAGCGAATGAGAATACGGTGTGGGCCACCTTCGGGATCTCGTGCTAGAGAGAGCTCGAGGTCTCCATAGCGCAATAAGAGCAGGGCCTGTGGCCTGGAGCCACTTGGCGCGATAAGGAGGAGGAAGAGTAACGCATATATGCGATGTTCGCCGATTCGGAATCTCTTTTTAGTTGTGCTAATTGTAGTCTTAGCCTGCTTCTCCAGGTTCTCGATCGTCATGCACCGATTCTCACGCCGTTGGGCGGTTAGCCCATGCTTCTGAGTTAGCTTGTAGAGAAACTATACAGTGAGAAAGTGATCTGAAAATCTTCGGGAATAGGGCTTCATACATTTGACATCTTTCGTTTCAAGACGTCATCAATCCTCTTCTTTGTTTCCCTCCAGTAGACCTCCCGAAAGAATTTCCAGTATTGCTTGAGAGAGGAGGCTGATTTCAAACCCCGAAGTCTTCTGCCACCTAAACCTGTCTTCTGGATACAAATCCAGGTAAAGAACCCTTTGGTTTTCTGATAATCCAGGTTCTGGAGACAATCTTTAGGATTCCGATTGGTGAAATTGCAATAGCTAAGATCATTAGTCATATAGCCTTGAAAGTATGGTCTGGTCTTTTACATACGCCTTCCAGCGCCGCTCGATTCCATCGAGCTGTTTTAGTGTAGCTGCAGAGAAAGCTGTTTGATCTGCGTCATCGTCATCGGATTCATCTTCAATCTGAAGAAAGTAGTCTGGAGATAGGTCGCAAATATACGATTCGGACTCAGACTCAGCACCTGACTGGCTCGTAAGATCTGTTTCTATATCTGACAGCTGGTGCTTATTAGTGTCAAAAATACTGGGTGGACGGGTATCTTCGAGATCAGAGTCAAATTCCATATCTGAATTATTGGTAGGGTTAGTGTCCATATCTGACGGCTGGTATTCATCAGAATCGAACATTATGCCACTATCTTGGGAACCTGATGAGATATTTGAGAAATAAAACCTGCTGCGATTATGCATACTAGAAAGGGCAGGGAAGTTAATAGAATAAAAATGAAGATGAATAGATGAGAAATTCCCAGTTGCTGGGGCGGGTGCCTCCTTTTATGTTCGTGAAGTGCTGATCAAGCGGGCCTCGAGAGAGGCAGATAAGAATGTGCTAAGAGTGATCCGGCGCTTACATGCCCAGACACCAAGCGATATTGGGCGCTTAGCATAGAGACTTGGTCGGTACTTGTGAGCAACATGACCAGGGTAGTGAGGCTAAATGTGGGGGCCAGCGCCATTAAAGCGGCGTGAGTTTTGCTGGCAAATGGATATCAGGAAATGGCTGTTAGACTTACTAAATACAGTAGGTAAAAAGCCGCGACATTGTATTAAGGAGTAAGATAATATAGGAAAGTTATACTTTATTATATTTTATTTATATAAGCTATATAGAGTAAAGCTTAACTATTTAATCTATAATAAGGAATTTTTAGTAATTATTAATTACTTTAAGGAGTTTAGATATTACTTTATAGAAAGTAAGTATTAAGTTAAGGTTTATATTAACTATTAAAATATATTATATTTTACTATAACTTATAAACTTAATTAATAATAATTATATTATATAGAATACTTATATAAGTTTAACTTTATAATTATTTACTGTAAAGGATTAGAGAATAATAGAGTAGATATAATTAGCTATAAATTAGATTATAATATTAGTACTGTAAAGGCAAAAGAGTAGGTACTAAAAAAGAATAAGAAAGGAGAATATAGATTTACTTAATAAATGTAAATACTAGGATAGATATAGCTAGTAACTATTAAGGAAATCTTAGGTAAACCTAAAGAATTTATATAGAAATTCTATAGATATTTAATATATAGATATTAAGGAGTTATTAAGACTTTAAAAAGACTTTTATAGTATA